TATACACTCGTAAATGACCCTATAGGTTGAGGAGTTTTATTGTAGTTTACCTAAATTTTATTATTCATTATCTCATCCACAAATTGGGACCGTTTATTAGTTTGTTTCCCTCTATCATCATTTAGATGAAACGAGAGGCCAACAATGACGGATCCATAATTTTATCCTGAATAAATCAATGTGTGAAAATTGCCAAATGTTTGGTAAACGAAAAATACAATGAAAAATTAAAAGATACTACAAAAATGTGAACTAGCTTTTTAACATTTATCACCATTCTATTAACTAGCTTTTTCATATATACTAAGCCAAAATACACCCTTGCATGTCATATCCAAGTCAAATCCTCCATATCTCATAACGTTTTAATTGCCGCTGTCACCAACCTTTCAAAAGGTCACCGACAAAACTTGCAGAGAAAATTTACGGCATTCACAAGGTCACTTGACAAAATTTAGCCCTCTATCCATCCACCCTTGGAGGCTGGACATGTGGCTCTCTTGGTTATGCAACTACTAATTCACTTACAAGTACTTTTCTTATCAGACACACTTGTAGTTGTAGATACATCAGTTTTTTCAGCAACAAATTGTCCAAGTTTTTACCCTTCCACATAAAAAGGGTACATAATTGATTCTCTCATTGTTTGGTTGCTAGCGATTGATGATGTTATTAATCAACCTAAAAAAGTCTAGGTATGGTCCCTAGCTTTTTGGAGAGCACTGAACTGCTTTATTTGCTAGATCCTCATCCAGGCAGACCAAAACAAACAAAAAAAAGGATCATCAACGTGATGCATGATATGGACAGGAACAAGGGTTACTTCCAAATGAGTGTGTGTGTGTGTGAGAGAGAGAGAGAGAGAGAGAGAGAGAGAGAGAGAGAGAGAGAGAGAGAATCAAGTGATAAGGTAATTAATATTGTATTAAGGTCTCTGGCTAATTATTCTAAAATCTTAAGTGGATATGTAGGGATAGAAATTTTTTTTTAAAAGGTGTTTGTGTGTTGCAAAATATCTACAGCGAAAAGAATTTTATTAAAAAAGAAGTGCTTGTGCTTTGCAAAACACCTACAACGAAAAGAATTGAAAACAAGAAAGTGTTTGTGTTTTGCAACGTGGAAAGGTCATACTCAAAGATATAAGAGTGATGCTAAACGAACCCTAAAATTAGCTGACTACATCGTACTACTAAACTATTTATTGAATTACTAATTTACCATAATATAAAATGAACAAAAAGATATATTGAATTGTGTATCCCAATGTATACACCTTTTTTAAGACTTGACACATGTCTATTGTTATAACTATAGTAAACTCTTTAATTTTAAATCTTTTAAAGTATTTAAAACCAAAAAATAAAGTGAACTAAAAATTAAATTTTAAATTTAAAAAATAAAAATAAAAACTCTCTCCTTCCCGACCCACCCCACCCTGAGAACCTATTCTCTACGCCACCCCACCTCAACAACCCTAGTCACCATTTCTCCTTCAACTCCAACAGCAACTCATTAAAACCCAATTCTCAAATGTAACAATCCAATCCCAATCCCAATTCAGATGTTTCCAAAAAAAACCCATGGTGGTCGCGGTGGAGAACTACAATTCCATGTGGTGGTGGTAGCACAGGAGAGAGGAAAAAAAGAAAAAAAGAAGAGGAAGCCACTGGCGGACCCAGAAATTTTTTAGCGGGGGTGAAATTTTGAAATGCTAAAAACTTTTTGTGGATTGAACATCGAAGGCTTTTTACCTAGATTGACCTTAGGTCCCTTCATACATTCATATCATATATGAAAATTGTTCTATGTAAAAATATTGACTAAGTATGAAAAATGGTTTCTCGGAATAATCATTTTCTTAAGATAATTTTTGGTGGTTTTTATTCCTTATACATCAAATAAGAAAACTTGATTTTATGGGATTTTATTATGAAGTATATATTGACTTAATGAGTTATCATTTTTAGCCAAAATCGTATTTTGCACTAAAACCAATTTTTCAAATTTTGATTTGGAGGGAATTTGATTTTCTAGTATTTTTATTTGAATCCAAATGGAGGGTACTTCCTTATTTACATTGTAAACTTAAGTAAATGGAGTAATATAAAAATAAATGAAAGTAAAAAGACAAAGACATTTACTTAAATGTTGAAGATGGAAATAAAGTAATATATACACCACCACCAGCTGAGCAAATGGGCAATTTCAAGCACCTACAATAGTTTTTCTGTCGAGGAGAGGTGCAGTTGCACCTCCTTGCTCCTTAACAGGTCCACCTCTGGAGGAAGCTGCAACGTTGAGGAGAGAGAGTGAGAGTTTTTTTTGGTTAAAATATTATTTACTTTATTTTTTTAATTTTAAATACTTTAAAAGATTAAAAATTAAAGAGAGTATACCATAGATATTTTTGGTAGTTAAATAGGATGTACTTAGTTAATTTTACATTTTAATTTCAACATTAGGTGTATTTAAATTATAGGGTGTACTCAGTTAATTTTAGAAATTAAAGACATCATTAAATAAATACTTAAAATAATGACAAAATACTGTAGCATTTAATTATAGGGAGGAGTCTTTTCTCTCTCTTTAGATTTTGAAGCTCCTAGAGGTTTCCCTATTTTAGGAGCTGGATAGGGAGCATGGTTGGAGGTGGGTTTTTTTCAATTCTTTCCTAAATTTTAGTTAAGGATGTGATTTATGGAGCCCATTATAAATGCTCTAACTGAGCACCTCAGTTTGCCATTTTCAAAGAGAGGCAAATCGACACAGTAATCCATCTCCAAATCTCGAGATCTGACCAGATCTAGAGATGGATGACAGAAAGAGCACCAAGGAGAGGGAGAGAGGGTGAGAGAAAGCATAGAAAAGGAGAGGAAGAAAGTGTGAGAGAGAGAGAATAGAACCGCATTTTATCATATCATATCAACCAAAAACAATAAACCAACCCTCATGGAAAGATTATAAAGTAAAGCATCAAAGAAAAATAAAACGGAATGGGGCAGTTCTGTTAGGCTTCTATTAGAATATTTCACAATAAGTGGTCAAATAATGTTCAAATTTTATAACTGAATTAGAAACCAATCCATATAAGAAAACAAACTCATGTATGAAAACATTTCAGGACAGAAATGGGATTTTGAAGTCTGTGATCCATTCCTTCAAGCTGGAAAGAAAAGCCATCCCTGGCATCCAAAATACAGTTCAGAAGCGAAAGGAAATCAAGAGAACCCAAAACAATACCTCAAGAGAACACAATAGCTTATGTGGTCAGCACTCTAGCCTATGTGCACAGAAGAAAATGAAGAAAATCACAGTACCTAATAAATGGTCGAGCATACCTCTGGACTTTTAATAATGTACACGAGTTAAGACTGTAGCAGGATCATCATCACATTCTGCCCTAATATTTGCAAATATGGTATAAGGAGAACTCCTTTAGGTGAGGATTTCGTAGAGAGATCCTATTTATTTTAGTTCATATGAATTCTGATAAGTAGTGTCAGAGTAAAGTACAGAATGCCATGAAATGCTTGAGCTGTTTAACACGTCCATTCAACAACGTAACATACAATGTCTGGATTGTCACTTCAAGTTCTTTGAAAGACGGTCATGATACAAAGGTTTCAGAGTCGCACATCAGAAAAAATTGAAAGCTTAATCGTGCACATCTGTACTTCGAACGAAACACAACAAAAGAAATACCACGTCATTGGGTTGGATCTGCGGTAATTGGATATTCAAGAATCCATAAAGCTTCTAATGAATTATGTTGAGGTGATTCTGTGATCAATGCATTGAGGTGATAATCCCCAGTTATACATTCCCCTCATTTCTTGCAGCATATATAAAAACAGAATAACCTACTAAATCCGTAAGTGGCAAAACGGATTTAAAATTTCTTTCAGTCACTAGAACTATCAATTCATACTAGGCTGTATGGATAAGTCAAAACCTTTCAAGCTTCTTACATATCAAAAGCCCTTAAAGCTATGTCTTAAACAGAAAACCGCAAACGTAAACGTGCATTCTTAAACAATATTAGGAAGCTTTCCTTTCTGTGAACTTCCAAAAATCCCTCCGCAACGATATAGATCATGTGTCGAACGCTCATCTCAGTACCCACAACTGCAAATGGATTCTCCAGCACAATCCTTCAGGAAATTTTTGACCACATATTTGCCTCCTCTCCTGCAAAACAAACCAATATTTCCACTCCACAAAACAATGACCACTTCCAGAGATTCTCACATAACGCAAAAGGAAGGGTTAACAAAATACAGAAACCTACTTGAAGCTCTAATTCTATAGCTGAAGATGCCTAAATGAAAGAGAGCAAAGGGTTCAAACCTCAGAGACTTATCTGCCTAAAAATTAACATAGTAATTTTCAGACCAAAAGCTACAATCTTGCAATTATATCTTACAAGAAAAATGGGTAGATGATAAGACTGGCCACAATATAAAATTAAAATAAACTAAAGTAAATAAACTTAGGTCTTGGAAACCTAAGCAGATCAAGCCCAACTTGATCAGTTCCAATGATTTCCAAAAATTAATCTGGTTCTATAGAATGATTCAAAGAAGAAAGAAAAGGATTAATGTCTAATTACACACTTTAAGTTAGCTATGTATAATTACACACTTTAAGTTAAAATGATTATAGCTTTTTTCTCTCTAAAACTCTAATTAAAATGTCAAGAAAGGAAAAACAAAACAGCGTACAGTTTCACAAAAATTCGTTTCATGTTCCCTGGCCAGAAAATAAAAAAAAATTTGTGCTTCCAACCAGTGCAATAAAGCAGATGATAAAAACTTTAAGCTTCATTCATTACAGGTGACAACTGCAGATCCGAGTACGCACAAAAAAAATGTATCTAGCAATTGGTAAAATAGAATAGTTCAACAACCTTTCATTCCCTGACTTACCATAATTCACAGACCCAGCATCATCCTAATCCTGAAGTTGCTAGGATTAGAGGAGACAATGAAACTTTCCAGTAATTACATCCCCGATGTTTGTGGATGTGTAGGAAGATAGGGTTGAGGATTATAACCCTCTTTTCTCAGTTCAAGAAGAAGACTCTTGAGCATTGAATATATCTGAGCAGACTGTGGGTGACTTCCATCTGCTGCAACAAACATATGAGTGCTGTTGTTAACCTCGATCCAACTGTACCCAGGAACCTTCTGAACTCCTCTTTCCTTCATCAAACTTCTAACCTTAAGCACACTCCCCCATTTTCCAGCATCAGCATGTATATTTGAGAGTAGTATATAATACCCAGAATTTTGTGGTTCTACGTCAAAAAGATGTCTTGATGCCTCTTCAGCAAGCTCAACATTGCCATGGACCCGACAAGCTCCAAGCAATGTTCCCCAGACACCAGAATCTGGGGAGAATGGCATGCTCTTTATTGTTTCAAATGCTTCACTTAAACGTCCAGCACGCCCAAATAGATCTACCATGCAAGCATAATGCTCCAACCTAGCTGGGATCCCATATTCCTCAATCAAGTAAAAATTTCCATCATCAACTTGGCCTGCATGGCCACAAGCAGATAATATACCAAGAAAGGTGACATGATCAGGCAGGATCCCATTACCCAACATTTCACGAAACAGGACAAGAGAGTCCTGAAGGCAACCGTGACTCCCATAAGCAGAAATAATGCTGTTCCAGGAAACTTCATTCTTCTCTTCCATCATGTCAAACACACGGCGAGCAAGAACTAAGTTTCCACATTTGGCATACACGTCTATCAGTGCACTCTCAGCAAACAGATCAGACCTAAATGCACTTCTAATCATGAAACCATGAATCTCTTTCCCATAATGAAGTGCCGGTAAGTTTGCACAAGCAGAAAGAGCAGCTGAAATGCTTACACAGTCATACTTGGCACCTGCCATCCCCATTTGACGAAATATATCAATGGCCTCTTCTGGCTTGCCATTCTGGGAATAGCTTGTTATCATTGAGTTCCAACATATGGTGTCCCTTTCAAACATTCTTTCAAAAACTTGATGAGCAAGATCCAATCTTCCAGATTTTGCATACATGTCTGTAAGCGCACTTCCCAGATGAAGCCTTCCGTCAAGCCCATGCTTGAGGATGTTTCCATGCAATTCCTTTCCCAATTTCAGAGCAACCAAACCAGCACAAGCTGGTAAAACACTTGCCAAGGTTAGAGAATTCGGTCGCATTTTCTCTTTAAGTAACCATCTAAAAATTTCCAATGCATCATTATTCATCCCATTGAGAACGAGCCCTGAAATCATAGCAGTGCACATGACAACATCAGTTCTGGTGCTTTGGTTGAAAATTTTGCATGCCATATCCACATTCCTGCACTTGAAGTATACATCAATCAGTGCACTTTTCAAGAACACATCCAAAGGCACACAGTGTCTTACAATGTAACCGTGAATTTCCTTACCTTGCTTGAGGCTAGCCAGTTCAGCAACCGATGGTAGAAAACTTGCAAATGTGATTGAGTCCGGTTTGACACTAGAAGAAATCATCGCTTGAAACAAGCGTGAAGCCTCAACCATAAACCCATTTTGTATATACCCAGATATCATTCCGTTCCATGTCACTAAATCAGTTCGTGGCATCATATCAAACAATTTTCGGGCCTCAGACAAGCACTGGCATTTTGAATACATTGCTAACAATGTATTAGCCACTGGGGAATCCAACTCCAACCCAGAAGCAACAATTAGCCCATGAAGCTGAGTACCAAAACCAATCATAGCTTCTGAGGCACAAACAGACAAAATGCAAGCGAACGTCACTGCATTGGGCTTAATTTCACTATTTCTCATTTCCAAGAACATTCCAACAGCATTCTTTGATTCTCCATTTTTAACATAACCATGAAGCATGACATTCCATAAAACACAATCTTTGTGAGGCATTTCAACAAACAAGCACCATGCATCATGTATACAACCATTGTCCACATACAATTGAATCAAAGAACTACCCACAAATATATCCACTCCAAAACCCATAAACTGGATGGTATCATAGATTGCTTTACCCAATCTTACATTATTCACACCACCGCAAGCTTTAATTACACTTGGAAAAGTGTACTTGTCAGGTGAAATTCCAGAACCCAACATCTTAAAGTAAAACAGCAAGGCAAACTCAAAGTAACCCATCATAGTAAACCCTCTAATCATCAAGTTCCAAGGCAAAGTATATTGCGAATCAAGCTGATAAAAGATGTTCTTAGCATCCACAATGCTCCCACAGAGAAGATACATACCCAAAATCTTTGTACCGACAAGGCTGTTTTTTACAAGTCCACTGCAAATAGCATGTGCATGAACTTGTCTGCCTTGTTGGATAAGAGAATGATCACTACAAGCTTGCAAGATTGAAGCAATTTGGCTTGCCACTGCCCCTTCCAGATTAAGGAAGTATTTGCAGTCTGTATGTACGGACTTGGATCTTTGTGATGTAATGGGTATGAAATGTTTATAGATTGGACATATAACTTTCTTGTACATCTCTTTTGTTTTGTAAGAATTGTCTTTGTTTAGAAAGGCCTGGACATATCTTTTTCTCTTTTTGGTTTTCTGTCTATTGGTCCATAGGGTTACTTGAAAACTACGTGATTGACAACAAATTCTGAAGAAAGATAGAGAATAGAGAACCCACCTTTATCGGATTGCTTTGATGTGTCCTCCCAGCTGCCTGCGCAGACACTACAGCACCAATAAGTCAACTTAGGATTGTTACTAGTGCCTATAAAGTGTTAGTAGAAACACGTAAATATTTGCATAATCCTGAGATAATATTCTCTTATCACTGTCTGTTACCTATTCACCTAATAACACTTTTCGAGAAGCCCATCCAAAAACCATAAAAAAGTGGTTCACAAACCTAAGAAGATGTTTATTTTAACCTTACAAACAATGTATAAAGAGGTTCTCATTATTTCAAAACGCAGATTTCAAAAAACACTTCCAGAGAAAACCAAAAACAGTTTTTCATATCGTCTATGTAAAATAGAAATTTTTATTTTTAGCTTAGAAAAACACCATGATTACTGAAGACAATGTTTTGAATTAGTTTGGAAGTTTTAATATCCACCAGATATTCAAGTTACGAGAAATTTGCACATTACTTTTGCTGTTCAAGCAACTATCTCAACCAACGTTGCAGAAGAATTTGGTTCAACTCTAAGAAGGAGGCATGCATGCATAACAGATTCCGACATGGTGCTTCTCAGAGCATCAAACTGTCCATATAAAGTATACTCACAGAAAAACAATTTCATGTTTCATGTTGCCAAACTGTCCAAACCCAAAACAGGCCAGAAAAAGTGCGCAGGTATGTTTTTGGAAATCCTGCCTTAGTTTACTCCATATGTCCATGTACAAATACAGAAGCAAGTACATAAAAAGTAAGAAATGTTATTTATTAATTCCTTATTTAAAACATAAATTAAATCCCCAAATTTAAACCTATGTTCAACTTTAAATTAAACCCTAAATTAGAAGCTTATATAAACTCTAATCAAATCCTAAATTTGAAATAAATCAGAAACTAAAAGAAGGGAAGAAGAAATACCTGGGCCAGCTGGGGTGAGTGAGCTGTGATTCTTAGAGGAAGAAGATTGTTCCAACAACTCCAGAGAATATTTGGAAATGAACCCTCAAGCCTGTGAGAAACAGGGTTAAAAACAAAAACAAAACTTGAAAATTGATTGGGGCTGGAGAAAATATTTCAAATTTCACGTGTGATACTGGGGAGGGTTAGAAGAAAATAGAGCAAGAAATTTGATTAAAGAAGTTCAAAAGACAGAAACGAAAATGGCCAACTCAATGAATTGGCTTCAAGGTTGTTCTTAAGTAAATTCATCTAAAACCCCTTCAACAAAATAATCCCTAAAACCTTGTTCAAAAACAAAAATTTATCCCTAAAACCCATCAATCAATTGAACAAAATTCTAAATTAAAAAATTTCTACTTTTTTTTTGTCTGATTTTTCAGTAAAATTTCTGCAAATTGTATAAACTCATTCAACAAAAGAAAAACCCAGACTTTTGTAATGCCCAATAAGCATACAGCACTCATTCAATAAAATAACAAAAAAAGTTAACAAATCCATACCTGATGCTGAGGAGTGAAGTTTGAACTTTTGTTAAAGGAGATAGAGATACAAGGGGAGTTTGAGGTTGGATTGATTTTGGTGTAAAGGAGGAGAGAAATCCGTCTTTGCAGAAAATGGCGGGATGGGAAAACGATGAAGTGAAAGAGTCGAAGCTTTCAAGCTTTCAAAACGCGGCGTTTGCTTAAAATTAGAAGAAGAAACCGATACTGAGTGCTTCTCTCGTGCTCCCCTGAATTAATCAAAAAAGAATTTCTATAGCATGGTTAGTAAATTCACCTACAATACTTATTTTATTCACAAATATACGTTTTTTTTTTATAAATACCTTGGCTTTTTTAAATATTTTTCATAAAAAGGGACAAAGCAGATAGACTGAAAGCACAAGATAATGACATGTCATACTAGAATAATTTAGCACAAGAACATGTTCATATCGAGAACATGACGGAAGCATAAGATAAAAATGAATCTATATCATCTCCCAATAAGATTAAAATCAACAATAATAGAAGCGATAGCCGAAACACAAGTCCATATGAAAAGAAAAAACAAAATCTCCCTTGGCATCATCTGAGAAGCACAATCAGACTTCAAAGGCAATCTTAAAAACCAATAAGATCATTATCATCCAATTGTTACAAAATACGTTACGTACCTTATATGGACCAAATGATAAATTCCCTTATACTAAATTTACCATTGGACTAGTAGGGTTGACAATGGGTCGTGTCATGTCGTCTCCTGTCAGGATGCTCAACTCAAATCCAACCCATTTAATAAACGTGTTGTGTCGGGTTCAAGTCATGTTAAATAGATTACTAACATGTTTAAGAGGAGACTGAATTCGAAATAGAGATGAAAATTAGACTGAGGATATCGACTTAGGCTAAGGACTTTAATTTGGGTGGGATGAAATGCACTACCCTATGAGGAATAGAATAGAACATACCACATATTTATTATTATTAATAATAAATTAAATAGTGAGCCACTTGTACCGAGATGTACAGGGAGCCATTTGGGTACCGAGATGTACAGGGAGTCACTTGTGTTTGTTATTTGAACATTTGAGTGTCATTTTTACTGAATTCTCTACATTTATGTAAATGATTTTGACATCTGTTCCACACTGGATTCTTTAGTTTTTCATGCTGAATCCAACCATATGAAGAACATAAAATTTGGATCAACAGTTGGAAAGTTACAGGTAAAAAATGGACAAAGGTCAAAACTAGAAAACATAGAAAATTCATAAATTCCTCTTTGACCAAAAAGTGCTACAGTACCAGGGCAATATAGAAGTCATAGAATGATGATAAAGTAGTGATACAATGGTGATAAAGAAGTGATACAACAGTGATAAAGGAGTGATACAAAATGTTGATTGTATTTATCTTTGGTTTCTTGTTTTGTATTTAAATAATAGAATAAGTATAAATATCGGATTGGTACGAGTTTTCCGTCGAGTTAGGAATGTTGTTTTCGTTAACCAAACCAAACATCTCGGTATAGATCGGATCGGAATAATTAAAATTAAAAAATAATTATTTAACCTAAGCAAACCAAACCATCGGTACGGTACAGTCGGCACGAGGATAATTCAGATGAGATGCCCACTCCTACACCACGTGGTGCGTTCTGGTCGCTCCAATCTTTTTTTTCCTCCAATCCACATACTTTTTTTTTTTTTTTTTTTTTTTTTTTTTTTTTTTTTTCTGGAAAAAATTTGAAATTTTAAAAAAAAATTACCAAAAGATGCTGGAATTTTTTCTATAAATACCTACCAATGTTGTTCACTTTCAATACCAAATCCTCATACATTTTCTTCTCCTTATAATATTATTCACTTTCTACACAAAATTTTCTTCACTTTCAATTTTCATTTTTATTCACCATCCTATGGCATCTTCCATCGAAGCCGGAGGGACGTGGACAATCATGGAAGATATTTTGTTGTGTGAGTGTTGGGTCCAAGTTAGTCAATGTCCGATCACGGGCAGTGAGACGAAATTCTTTCATATGTGGAGAAAATTTCATGCCGAATTTTGTGAAAGACCGGGTTCGGCTCGTATGGAAATGGCATTGGCTAGTAGGTGGAAAATTTTGAATAAAGAGTTGGGGAAATGGAGAGATGCGTTGACAAAAGTGAGGGACAACCATCGAAGCGGCAAAAATCTTGGCAATAAGGTAAATTATTGGTAATTTCCGTTTTGTATTAAATTAGTTGTAATTCTTGTCTTTTATTTAATTAGTAGTATTTCGTAATTAGTTGTATTGCTTTTCTTTTAGTTAATAAAGAAATCATTCAATAAAATACCTTTTTATTCAACACATTGCATGCATCAAACTAAAGCTTAATAATAATAATAAAAACACAACCAAAACATAATTAAAAACAGAACACAACCAAAGCATAATTCAAAACAAAACACAAGTAAAGCATACATCAAGACAAAGCAAAATTAAAAACAAAGTATCTTCACTTCACTTCATTCACCGTCATTGCCTCTAACCGCCCATAAGTGCTCCATCAAGTCAACTAGACATCATTCTTGAATATAAGACGATTGCATCTTCGTATATCGATCAATCATAAGGTTCATGAAATGGCCGTTCCTAACCAACGGTTCATTCTCCAGTGGTTGTCCATTTGTTCCCATGGGCCTTTCATAAATTCTTGTCAAGGCCGTGTTCATGGGATCAAGTTCGAACACGTTTGGAGCATCATAATCATACTTATCCCCCACAATCATGTTATAGAGGATGATGTGCGTCATCATAATGCTCCGAAGCACCTCCCTATCAAACATACGTGCATCACCCCTAATAAATACTCACTGAGCTTAGAAGATACCAAAACACCTTTTGACATCTTTCATATAACCCTCTTGATAGGTAGAAAATAATTTTTCCTTATTTGATATGGGATGCGGAATTGATTTGACAAATGTGGTCCACCTAGGGTAGATGTCGTTTGCTAGATAATACCCATTCCAGTAGACGGTATTGTTGATTTCATAGATGATATTCAGGGCTTCACCTCTCAAGATATCGTTGAATACCGGGGATTGACTTAGCACATTCAAGTCATTTTGAGATTCGGCAACTCCGAAAAAGGCATGCCAAACTCATGTATCGAATCCAGCAACAGCTTCGAAAATTATACTTTTTTGCCCTTTCCTATTCCCATAATCTCCTTGCCAGACAGTTGAGCAATTCTTCCATTACAGTGCATACAGTCGATGCTTCCAATCATTCTTGGAAAACCTCGAGCTTCGGCTTTTTGTAGAAGCCTTTGGAGCTCCTTAGGTATAGGTTTGCAGAGGTAGTCCCTGGTGTAGAGAGTTTTGATTGGATCACATTATCTGACCAAGCTCTCGAGAGTAGTGGACTTCCCTATCCTAGCAATTTCATCCACCTAATTAGCAAATGTACCATATGCCAGCATTCGTATAACAGCTGTAAGCTTTTGCTCTAGAAGAAGCCCCAAAACCCCAGTAGCATCACACTTTTGAACGAAGTATGCATCGTAATTGCAAACATCATGCATGACTTTATTGAACAAATGGGGTTGTATTCTATATCGCCCTCGAAAATCAACATTAGAGTACACAGAATTTGGGATAAAGTAATCTTCCAAAAGATTCTTACCCCGAGAATGCCTATGTCTGTCCACGTTCGGGCCACCGTCGACTTATGAACCACGGTGACGGCCTTGCCTTGATAGATCGAGCATACCCACTGCCATGGCAACTTGTTCATCATCTTCTTGCTGCACCCTTTTTTCTTCAACTCGTCTACACCTTCTTTCTTTAATTTCTCACTCTTGCCTCTCCAAGCATCTCCTTATATCTGACATTGAGGGTGGAGTATGAAATCTAAAATCTGAGAAATAAAAAGATAGAGAAGATTTGGTGTGAGAGGTATGAGTTGAGCCTCTAGTTTTATAGAAAAATTTAGAAGATAGAGATGACACGTTGTGCGATTTTAAAAGGTGAAAATTTATCTGAAATATGATATTTGTATTTTATAATAAATATCGACAAGTGGCACCCAAGAATCTTATCCTAAAATTTTATCTGAAATTTGAGATTTGTTTTTTTAATAAATATCGACACGTGGCAACCAATAATCTAATCCGAAAATTTTATCCAAAAAATTCATTTGAATTATGATATATGAATTTTATAATAAATATTGACAAGTGGGAACCCAAAATCTTATTTGAAAATCTTCTCAAAATTAATTGTTTCTGTATAAAAAATAAAAATAAAAACTAAAAGTGAATAGTATTTGTCATTTGCCATTTACCATGGCAATATGTTGAAACACACCTTGTCTTTTGCAAGGGCTGCCACTATTCATGTGAATAGTAATAGCCCTTGCCTCCCTTTGTCCTTTGCTAGAAACTTCGGTCAAATATCATATTGCCCCTAAAACTTAAAGTGGCCCATTTACCCCGCTTGACCGTGGTTTGGTGACCCACTTTACCCCTTGACGTCAATTCCATCCAAAACTCTGTTAAAATTGATGATGTGGCGGGGGTGTTTAAGTAATTTTGTACACATGAGTTATTTTTATGCTGATGTGGACTCCACATAAGCAATAAACAAATCAAACAAATTCAAAAAAATAAGAACAATAAAAATTCAAAAAGCCAAACGAAAAAAGAAAAAGAAATTAAAAATTAAATTATTAGTAAGAAAACAAAAGCATCACATCTCCTTTTGCTTCCCACCCCACAGCCCCAACTTCTCTTCCTACAGCCATAATTTCCGTTTTCCCTAACTAGATCTAATCATCCACAGCCCATACCCCAACACAACCAATTAGCAATACAACAAAAATGGATCAATGACGCAGCACAAGCAAATAAGGTTTCAAACGAAAACCTTGAGTAACAAGGAAACTGGAATCCACCAGAAATTAAGAGAAACTCTCTTTGATTAATTTGATTAAAATCTGAACTGCCAAAAAACGTTAGACGAACCCGTCTAAATACACAACTCTCAACCCTTGTAACTGCTAGGGGAGTTATTACAATAAAACTGAAAAACAGAATTAATTCGGAGACTTAACTACGTAACTCCGAAACTGAAAAAAAAACAGAATTTATTTTGGGAATTAACTATGTAACTCCGAAACGGAAAAACAGAATTTATTTGGAATTAATTTCGAACTTTGAATGCAGTTTTAAAAGGCCAAACGACTCCAGAATGCCAAAATCCATCGTACATCACAGCAAAGCTGTGAGTTTGACTCGTGGCATTGTTCCCTTTCCGAAATGGTATTTTGCTCCCTAATCGGAGCTCGGACGACAATTCTGCAAATTCCCACCACGTCCCTTTTCTTGCTCAACCGCGATAAAATCTGCCATCTGTTCTACATCAGTCCTCTCCACCTCCGAAGAACTCGACCCCGAGTTATGATCTGGATAAAGAACCTCATCTTCACGGAACTCATATAAATCTGCAACATTAAAAATATTGGAAATTCCCATGGAATCCGATAACTCAATAACATAGGCATTATCATTGATCCGTTTGAGCACTTTGTAAGGACCATATTTCTTCGGTTTAAGCTTGCTGTAAGTGCCAATTGGAAACCTCTCCTTCCTCAGAAATATCATCACAGAATCGCCTTCTTGAAACACTTTAACACGTCGATGCCTATCCGCAGCAGCTTTGTACTTAGCATTTGTTTGCTCAAGTTTTGCTTGACCTCATCTCGAACGGCTACCACTTCCTCAGCCAAATTTTTCGCTGCCATACTGGTTTGCTGGCCTCTAGGCAGTTTCACCAAATCTACAACATGGTTAGGTATAGCAGTATAAACAATGGAAAATGGAGACTTCCCAGTAGCGCTATGGACTGCACTGTTGTATGCAAACTCCACCTGCGGTAATGCATAATCCCATTGTTTCGGCTTCTCTCCACAGACGCTTCGCACCATATTGCCCAATGTCCGGTTTGTAACCTCAGTCTGGCCATCAGTTTGGGGATGGGCAGTGCTGCTACGATTCAAAGTAGTCCCAAACAGTCTCCACAAAGTGATCCAAAAATGACTCAAGAACTTGGTGTCACAATCAGATGTAATGGATGTAGGAACCCCATGCAAGCGAACAACCTCCCTGAAAAACAGTTTGGCTATATTTGATGCATCGGCAGTCTTTTTGCAGGCTATGAAATGCGCCATTTTTGAGAACCGATCAACCACCACAAATACAGAGTCCACTCCCTTTTGTGTTCGGGGCAATCCGAGGACAAAATCCATAGCAAGATCCTGCCAAATATCGTTAGGAACTGGTAATGGCATATATAATCCAGTGTTTTGTACCTGCCCCTTCGAAGTTTGACAAATGTAGCACTTGCGCACAATAGTTCCAACATCACGTTTGAGCTGTGGCCAGTAAAATCTCTCCTCCATCAATGCAATTGTTTTGTCACGGCCTAGGTGGCCACTCAACCCTCCACCATGCAAGTCCCGAATGAGCTTCTCCCTTAAAGAAGAAACTGGAATACACAGCTGGTTGCCTTTGAACAAATAACCTTCATTGAGAAAGTAATCTGCCATTGGCTCTTGATTAGTGCACTTAATCCAAATTTCCCGGAAATCATCGTCACCTGCATATAATTCCTTCAGACATTCAAACCCCACAACTTCTTGAGTCAGCGTGACTAATAATGAAGCTCTCCTACTCAGCGCATCTGCCACACGATTGGTCTTGCCGGAAGTATGCTTGATAACGAACGAAAATTTCTGCAAAAAAGTCATCCATCTAGCATGCATTTTATCAATATTTTTCTGGCTGTTAATATACTTCAACGCTTGATGATCTGTAAACAAAACAAATTCCTTCTGGATAAGATAGTGCTCCCATTGCTTCAAAGCTCGAACAACCGCATAGAACTCTTGGTCATAAGTACTCCACTTTTGACGTGCATCGCTCAACTTTTCAGAAAAGAACGCAATTGGCCGCTTGTCTTGTGAGAGCACAGCTCCGACTCCCACACCGCTGGCATCACATTCAACTTTGAAAACTTTCTCAAAGTTTGGAAGAGCTAGAACCGGTGCGGTGCAAAGCTTTTCTTTTATTTCTGCAAAGCTTCTCTCTTGCTCCTCTCCCCAGCTGAACCGGCCCTTCTTCAAACATTCTGTGATAGGTGCAGCAACGGTGCTAAAATGCTTCACAAATCTTTTTGTAAAAGGTGGCCAAGCCATGGAAGCTTCGAACTTCAGAAACTGTCTTTGGAGCTGGCCAGTCAAGGATTGCCTTGATCTTCTCGTCATCTACCTGGATACCATTCTCACCAACAACAAAACCCAAGAACAATAGCTTATTTGTGCAGAAAGTACATTTTTTAAGGTTCACATACAGCTTATTTTCTCTCAACACATCTAAAACTTGTCTCAAATGCACAAGATGTTCTTCTTTTGTGGTACTGTAAATTAAAATGTCATCGAAATAAACAACGACAAAAGAACCAATAAATGGTCGAAGAACCTGATTCATGAGTCGCATGAAAATGCTAGGTGCATTTGACAATCCGAATGGCATCACCAACCATTCAAATAATCCGTCCTTGCTCTTGAACGCTGTTTTCCATTCGTCTCCAGGTCGTATGCGAATCTGGTGGTATCCGCTTCGCAAATCTATCTTGGAAAACACCCTTGAGCCGCCAAGAACGTCCAGCATATCTTCTAACCGTGGAATGGGAAACCTGTACTTGACTGTTATCTTGTTGATTGCCCGGCTATCAACACACATTCGCCAAGTTTTGTCTTTCTTTGGAACCAGCAAAACAGGAACTGCGCAGGGACTCAAACTCTCCCGGATAAATCCTTTCCGCAGTAATTCTTCAATCTGTTCTCTCAGGATGTCATTCTCCTTGGGGTTCATCCGATAATGGGGCAGATTCGGAAGGCTAGCTCCAGGCACCAAGTCAATTCGGTGTTGTATGTCCCGCATAGGAGGCAGCTCGTTTGGCAGATTTTCATAAAGTAGTTCCTGAAATTGATTCAAAATCTGCTGCACATCTTGTGGAATGTCACCTTCACTTCCGCCAATTTTCAACAACCACTTCAACACCTAGGGACAAAAACACTCCGCTTCTTTGACAGCCTCGTTCAACTCCTGCTCGCTGCGAATTAGGGTTAGGAAACTAGAACTCCTCGTCTTGGGCTCCACAGATTGCTTTGCGGGCTGTGTGGTTGCCATTGCAATTTTCCGGTTGTTCCAAGAGAACAGAATTACATTATCTCGTCCCTTGAAAGTTCAAATTGCCAAGGTCGCCTTAACAAAATATGGCATGCATCCATGTCAATAACAGTGGCACTCGGCAAGTCTCAACTACACGAACCGAAGGGCCTTTTTTAACCCAACCTAGTGAGTAAGGGCTGACATGAGGCTCCGTAGATAGCTGCAAATACTCCACCAATTTCTTTGACACGAAATTCTCACAACTTCCATTGTCGACGATCACATCACACACCTTGTTTTTAATTGAGCAGAGGGAACGAAAAATACTATGACGCTGCCCTTCCTCCTTTGGTGCCAAAAGAACTCTCTGCAAAACCAAGGTAATCTTCTCCATTCCTTCCTCAACTGCAAATTCAGCCCCTGCATAATCATCTTCCCCGACTTCATCGTTTTCCTCATCTTCATCGGCTTCTTCGATAAAGTTGGCCTGCTTCCGCTCTGGACAAACATTAGAACGATGCCCTGGTTTTTGGCAACGGTAACATATGTCCGTCATGGGCTTAGCATACGGATTCTGGGACTGGTTTTGGGGCTGCCCTCTGTTGTAATTCCGGCTGCTACCTTCGTTGAAATTTTTGTTTTGGCCAACTGTTGCTGGTTTTGTCGATCCTCCAAGATTCTGCTGCTGTGCTTTCCCCTTATCTCCTGAGCCACTAGAAGCACCAGCAGTATATTCAGAGGCTTCCGTCGTGTTCCTGCGGAAGTTGGGTTGGCGTTTCTCCTTCTCCAACAATTCAGCCTTCAATGCCATGTTAATCGCCTCCTGCAAAGTCCATATATTCTGCATACCAATTTTTTCCTGGATGGAAATCTTCAGCCCATTGTTGTACCTCGCGACCTTTTGGTTGTCAGTCTCGGTCAAATGGTTTCCCTCTGCCAAACGCATGAATTCTTCGGTATATTCAGAAACTGAACGGGTGCCTTGCGCACAGCCTAGGTACATACGGTAGAGAATCTGCTCATAATCTGTGGGCAAGAATCGTTCCATCATAAGCGACTTCATCTTCCGCCATGTTCGAACCCGCTGCTTTCCTTGCCTCTGCCGTAAATTTTGCAATTGATCCCACCAAACAGCCGCTGTAGCTTTAAGACGGAAAGCTACCATCTTCACCATCTTATGCTCAGGAACCTCCATAATATCGAAAAACCTCTCCACTTCTACAAGCCAATCCAAGAAGTCTTCAATCTTCAGATTTCCCCAAAAGTTAGGAATTTCTGCTTTAATCCGATAGTCGCCAAAATTCTCGTAATTACGATTACGATTACGAGGATTATTAGCCGGTGGTGGTGGTTCTTCAAGTTCTTCTTCTGACTCTGACTCACTATCCGGAATAAGTTGCCTCCTATTATCTCTTCTCTCCCCATCTCTACCTTCTCTTTGATTATCATCCCTGCCTTCTCTTCTTTCGTCATCCCTGCCTCCTCGCCTATGGTTGCCACCAAGAGCTTGCAACAACAATTCTCGCATCTCCCCAAATTGGGTGGTTAGGTTGTCGATCCGTTGGTTTTGAGCGTCCAGATCCGCTCGAGTAATTGGGGCTGGGACATCAGCTTCACGATCACCCATGATAAGACAAGAATACCAAGACGGGAGAGACCCGCTCTGATACCACTTGACGCAGCACAAGCAAATAAGGTTTCAAACGAAAACCTTGAGTAACAAGGAAACTGGAATCCACCAGAAATTAAGAGAAACTCTCTTTGATTAATTTGATTAAAATCTGAACTGCCAAAAAACGTTAGACGAACCCGTCTAAATACACAACTCTCAACCCTTGTAACTGCTAGGGGAGTTATTACAATAAAACTGAAAAACAGAATTAATTCGGAGACTTAACTACGTAACTCCGAAACTGAAAAAAAAACATAATTTATTTTGGGAATTAACTATGTAACTCCGAAACGGAAAAACAGAATTTATTTGGAATTAACTTCGAACTTTGAATGCAATTTTGAAAGGCCAAACGACTCCAGAATGCTAAAATTCATCGTACATCACAGCTAAGCTGTGAGTTTGACTCGTGGCATCGTTCCCTTTCCGAAATAGTATTTTGCTCCCTAATCGGAGCTCGGACGGCAATTCTGCAAATTCCCACCACGTCCCTTTTCTTGCTCAACCGCGATAAAATCTGCCATCTGTTCTACATCAATCAAAATCCATGAATACCCAGAAGATGGTTTGACGAAGGGAGGCAGGGGAAACCAAAGGCCTCCAAATTTGTAACGAGGTCTCACAAAGCAGGGCTCTAGTTTCCGATGGGTAGGAGATGGGTGCACGGGTAATGTTTTGGGGATGGGCTTGAAGCTGCTAATGTGCGAGAGAGAGAGAGAGAGAGAGAGAGAGAGAGAGAGAGAGAGAGAGAGAGAGGGTTGGGGAAGGGGGGCTGGGTTTCAAATAACCCAAATCTGAAATTGGGTGTTGAGGTTGAGATGGGGATGAGAGCTTGGGAGGCTGAGATAGGGGTGGGATGAGTTTCTTTCTTCCAAGGTATTTGCAAGAGACGAAGGGTGTGGGAACGGAGGTTGGGCGGCTGGGATCTAATTTTATTTTGTGTTTTTTATTTTAATTATTTTAATTAGTTTTAATAATTAGAACATCTAATTATATTTTTATGTGTGTGGAGGTGGGCTCCACTTGCCACATCACCCCTCAATTAATGGATAATGATCTGTGTATGAAACTACGAAAATACCCTTGTCACGTCATCAATTTTAACAGAGTTTTGGATGGAGTTAATGACATGGGGCAAAGTGGGTCACCAAACCACTGTCAAGCAGAGTAAATGAGTCACTTTAAGTTTTGGGGGGCAATATGAGATTTGTTCGTAGTTTAGGATTTAGGAGGACTACAGTAAATAAGCCTTATTTTAATTGTGGTAGTTGAGCAAATAAAAGCAGGATACGGACAAGAACCGTTAGCGCAAATTCCCCTACTTGGCCTAAGACCTTGTGGTTTACCATCGATGATTGGGTAGCGGCTGGACATGAGGAGGAGCAGAACCACTGCTTCGGGACAGAATGATACAGTTACAGTGGCAACTGTGGCATCCTCTACACCTTGCACCAAAAAAACCCATTGGAAATTTTAGCAGACCACTAATTTGCTTTCTATCTCCCCATACTCTTCTCAGTCGCACCAATTCCAAATCCAGCTTAAGCTCCAAAGTTTCTTTCAAGTGCTTTTGTCACAAAACTGAAAACACCCATGAAGCCTCTTCTGAGGTTCAACTCCGCTCATTTTTCTTTTTGAACTTCTCTTTTTTATATATCTGATATTTTCTCAGAGGATTTTTATGCGTTAATGGTGAATTCATTCTTACAACTGGCCTGTCAACCATGTTCTTTTGGGTTCTTTGGTTTTTTTTGTTCTTGAACCAAGCATGAAATGAAATAGGCTTCTTTGTGATTCTAAATTGTAGGGATTCTCGGTTTTGGCAGCAGATGCTTCATGGGACCATGGAAGTTTATGGAGCACTATGGCTTTCTATATGTTCAGTTTGCACATTCCTCTGAGTTTTGGAGGGTTGTCTGTGGTTGCTCATGTATTGCATGAACCTATTCTTGATCCACAGATAGAGGTGAGTTTGTTTCTTGACTTGTATGATCGACCTGGCCCAAAAATGCCTTTTTACACTATTCGATTCTCGGAAGAATGGGAAATGTGAGAGGATACTTACACAAAATGCTTTACTGAGAAGGGCAATCTTACTTCTCTTTTCATCATTTAATATTTAACATTGACATGTAGGTGTCGTTTTTGGGGGCTGAATATTGGATTTGTTTGTCTTCTGTCCTTGTGTATGGATTGGCATATGCCTTATGGAGGCTAATGAACCACCCTATAATCAAGTATAGCCCATCCAGTCCTCTCTTTACATCAAACTTAGGATTCAAAACTCAAAAAAGTGACAATGGTTACCAACGTACATGGTTCTGTAATGCAGAGATAGGAATCCCATCGGCATCTTCGAAGTACCAATTGAAATTTGAAACAAGCAACAATTAGCATCCCGTGGTATAGCATTGTTCCCACGCCCATAAGATCTGTAGTTCAGTAGATAACTCATGGATTCTGTTCTGCACTGATACCTAATTTGAACAAGTTCATATATGGACTGTCTAGCATTTGAACAAACTTTAGCCTTACATTAATAAAGTTGCACACTTATAACGGATCTTGGTTTCCTTTTTTGGTTATTGCAGGCAATATCATTGCTTGGAGCTCAAATTTTAGAGCTCATTGCAGCTCTAGTTCTTCTGCAGAGCACTGCTAAGCCACAATATAAGTTTGTGGATTTCTTTAAAACTAACAAAGTATCAAAAGAGAGGAGCTGGCTGTTGGCATCAGCTGTAGGATTTGGGTTTCTATTCATGTTGGTTTTCCTTACTTCCTTCCTTGCTGATAGTGTTGTTGGGCCCAAGGTTCGCTTGATAAACTTAACTGCTTATGGTTTTCTGCTCTTTTTATAATATTTCATGAACTTTCTCATCCAAGAAAAAATAGGCAATCAGAATCTGTGATAAGTACCTTTTCTACAATTGGGTAAGCTAAGTATTTGAACAAAAGGAAGGCCGATATATGCCCTTTCTTTATTTTTCGGTACTGTACGTTATATTTTTCTTTTGCCTAGAGCATACATGTATAATGTCATACAAATGATAGAAGGTACAATGATTAAGGTATCCAAATATGGTAAATAAATGGTTTTTGAGAATAATACAACCAATCTGATGATGGATGAGATCTGATAGTAATTAATGATAAGTTGCAGGAAGGAGGTTGTATCCTTCATTTCACATGATTCATAGTGCATAGAGAATTTGAGGTATGAAATTGTATAGGGGACTGATTCTCATTCACTTGTTAACTCTAGGCTCACAATGTTTTCACTAGCCAAAACTGAACAAACTGACAACTACATGGTCTGATGACTCAGTTTGCTGTGATGATACGGCAGCTAATATAACATTGTTTAGTGCTTGATAAAATGTTTCTGATATTAATCTTAATTTGATTTCACTATTTATGAGTAAGTGGCTGTGGTTTGATTTTAACTAGTTTAGAATCATATAGTGCTTGGTAGAAGAGGCTTTACCAATTGGAATTAAGGATTTTCTGCCTAAGTTAAAATGATCTCACAACAGCATCAGACAAGAAGTAAAATATGTTTTGAAAGAGCCCAAGAATAAATGAATAAGGGGATAAAAGTCTAATCTAACTCACTGGAAATTTCCCAAATCAATCTTGCATTGAAAGTAGAAAAGATTTCTTGATTTATTATATATCTTATTTCGTCTTTCTTGACCTTTTCAATCTACATGTTTTCCAATGCAATTTAACCCTTAACTCTAAGCAGTTGCTTCAACAATGTGTATCATCTGAGTCCTTAATGCAAATAGAAAAAACTTCCAAAGAAGTTGGCTCATTCTCTAGCTGTTGTAGAGTTTCCTATAAATTGTTTTTGCCTTTTCAAATTGTTCTCAAGTCCTTATTACAGCTCATTTATATTTTTCTAAATAAATATATCATTGATTTAGTAATTTTATGGAAACTCTGTTCCTCTTTCAAGGATTTTATTTTACACCATTTCATTGCAGGCTATAAACAACCCTGTACTCAAAGAAATCCTGGTAAGCAGCAACATCTCAAAAGCTGCTTGCGTCCTTGTATATTGCATTGTCACTCCCGTGCTGGAAGAAACTGTTTACAGGGGATTTTTATTAGCGTCGATTTCTTCCGCTATGAAATGGCAGTCAGCAGTTTTGATAAGCTCAGCTATATTTAGTGCAGCTCACTTGTCTGGTGAGAATTCCTTACAGTTGTTCATCATTGGATGTGTGCTTGGATGCTCTTATTGTTGGACCGGGAACTTGAGATCTCCCATTTTAATACATTCCCTGTACAACGCCATGACTCTAATGATAACATTCTTATCTTGAATTTCACATTTAAGTCTCCACACTTCTTTCCTGTTTCTTGAAAGTGAACCTACTTTCGTTTATTAGGAGTCAGGTAATTGATGATACTATGGCTTTGAATTAACAGTGCTCACATGATTTTCTGATCAATGTTATTAAACCACACGATGGCTTTGAGCCTCACAATATGCAATCACATAGTTGAATCTGTCAGTTTTTATACCAGAAACTGACAAAAGACTCTTCTCCACTAGTGCATTTTCTAATAAATGAAAGACTAGGCTTACATAAAATATTACTGAATGAGCATGATCTGCATATTTAACTCCCTTTTGGATTCTTTCTTTGGTTATCCTTGAAAGCTAAGTCTTGAATTTGGCATCCAATTAGAGACGGATGCCATAACATAGGATTGTCATGATTCTTCAGGTCAACTGAAGATCATCGGGAGTGATTTTCATAGCGTCTAGGATTCAACTAGCCCAAGATTTTAGTTTCCTCCTCTGTTTATTCTTCTCCTCAAGATTTCTATGGCATTTAGGATTCAACTCTCTGAATCTACATACGCAGTCATGTTTACCATAGAATGTCATGTATGTTAAAATTTCTAGCAGGGTGAAAATACTGTGTTTTTTTTTTTCTCTCTGTAGCTGTGCACTTGCAGGCCAGCTAAACTTGAATGTTAATAGATGACTAGACCGCTGGTAACAGTGATATTCATGGCATACTCATCTATGCTCTGCCCACCTTTATTCCTTATCCGAATATTACTTCCATAATCTGCACATATTCTGTTTAATGTAGAACAGGCAGACGTTTAGCCGAGAAAGATTTTTTTTTTGTCGAAAGCCGAGAAAGTTAAGATAGGAGAGAATAGAAAGAGAGAAGAAGATTTGGATGAGGGAATTAAGGAAGCAGAAGTTTTGTTCATCAGTCATCAAGTCGTCTAACCAAGAATGGAAACATGATGACCTACCTATAGAGGCAAATACATTAGACAAAACCCTAGAAATGATCCAAGATAGTCACAAATAGCAAGAAATCATAATCTAGAAAAGCATAGAAAAATACATCAAAATCTTAAAGTGATACCAAAGTGACATCCCAAAGGAAATCTGTTCCCTTTAATTTGAAGCTGGTATGATGAAGTTTCGATGGGGCCATGGTGATTTCAATAAGACACAATTATGTTCTGCAACAGAAATGAGATTTCGAAGGAATCATCATTCTTCTTTTCTGTTTTTGCCCACCTGTTCCCTTTGGTGTAAAGTCATTGTCCCACACACACCCACATATAATAATACGTATCGAAGTGACGTCGTTTTAAGATCAGTTTAGGGTTTACGGTTTAAGGTTTTCTATTAGAGGTATAAAAATGTTCTCAAGTTAGCTTTGCCAATGTCAAATTTGTTATTAAAAAAAAACAAATTGGACTTACAATGGATCAGTTTGAAGTCATTTTCTAACACAATATTATAGTAATGCTTTTGAAATGTAACAGCAAGTCCAGTCGACCCAACGCACAAGTTTCATATAAATTCCAAAAGTTTGTGGCCCCAGATATATTAAAATAAAAAATTTCAATTGGTCCGACCCGAATTTTATTATATAAACCTTGATATTTCCTTAAAATTCAAAGTTTGAAATTGGGTAGGCCTATTTTTTCAATTATTGCCCTACGAATCTTATGATTATTTTATGGACTTCAAAGTATAAAAAGACTCAGAGTCACACATTTCCTTGTTTATGCTTATCCAGCTGGTTCTTTATGCACCAGCTAGCTGTGCTTTGCTCATTTAGCAAGAATATGGAATGAGGAAATTTTTTGTTTCATCGATTCTTTTTTGGTCCCAAAAAAAAAAGAATTGATTCATCAATTCAAAACAATGGTCTAAGGTCCAATAATTAACCCAATTAAGAAAGGAGGAATCGAACCTACAATCTTTGGTCATGGGTAAATGCTGTTACTCATTTTAACTACAAGTTCCTTACCTTTTCAGTAGGTACCAAGTCTTCCTAAAAACTTATTAATTGGATCTCCCATTTTTAGTTTGAATATAAATTTTTGTGCAATTTCAATCACTAATTTGGTTATCAAATTAGCTCGTGAAATAATGTGACAGTATTTCATTTGTTTAACTATGTTATTTTGATTATTTAACTAAAGAAATGAAACGCATTCTCATTTTGGGTTTTTATTTTTCTAACAAGTACTATACTGTTATTTGTACATACACAATATGGGGAGAACAATATTAGTGGAAACTATTTTTGGTGAAAATTTTGCTAACATGCGTTATTCTTTTTTCATTCCTTTTAAATTTGTTATCTGTCCTTTTTTTCCCTCACAAGAAAAAGAAGTTTGTATCTATTTTCAAAAAAGAATACGATAAATAACTTTATTGATTGTGTCATTCTCACAAATAAAAGGACTTGCAAGTGACAGAAAAGGACATAACATATTTGTCACACTCTATTATGAGAATTGTGCTTTTTTCCAAAAAAAAATCGATAAAAATTTTCTTTTAAAAATAAAATAAATGATATATTTTCTATAAATTCGTCGAATATATCGGTGAAGAAATAATAAAATTATCAATGGTATCTATCTGCCCATCATAAAAATGGCAATATTGTAAATATGATATGTTTGCATGGGACAAAAATTATAAAATGGTTAGAATTAGAATAAGGTAAGGGTTGATAATATAAAATACATGTCAAAAAATAAAAATAATAAAAATAAAAACCTAAAGAATATGATTCTGGAAAGGAAAAATCTGCTAATTTGTCAGGAATTTGGTATTGGCCTGTCCACCCTGTCATGATAATAATTTACAGCCCAGATTTATATGCCCAAGGAGTGGTCCCAGCAAAATTGGTTGGGCCCCAAACACTGATGCCACAGGCTCAGTTGGGTTCGATTTTAAAATTTTCAATTAAAAGCCACACATGTCACATGCCACCTCAGCCTTATGCTTATCCCGCAATTAACGTCGGCTAATCACGCAAGACACGATCAAACCATTCCACCGTTGGATCTCCGCCACGTGTGCCCTATGAGTTGGATCCGCCATACAATAGCCCAGCCCACAGCACCGCCAAGAAATAAATAAGCCCTTAAGAACCCCCAAAACCCTCAAAACCCAAGCATCTCTCTCTTGTTTACTCTCTTTCTCTCTCTAGAACTTTGCGTCTGTGTTTCTCTCTCTAAAAAGCGAAAAGCAGAAGGAAGAGAATGGCAGGGTTTGAGCATAAGGTGAAGGAGAGGGCCAGGGAGCTCACGATCTTGGTGAAGAAGGGAGTGAAGGTTGTGGGAGATTCGTGCAAGAAAGGGTGGTACAAGGTCAAGCACATCAGACGCTGATTTCTGATCCAAGTATGGCTGATTTCAGTCTTCAATTTCAGAACCACCTTTTCTTTTTCTACTTCTATCATCATAGGGCTTGATTTTGATGTAAAGATCTGAATCTTTTTTTCCTTTTCTTTTTTGGGTTGTTTTCTTGAACTTTGTAGTTTTTTTTGTGGGTTTCGGATTGATTTTTAATATATGAATTACATCTTTGAATGATTTAATCTCGTTACAGAGATATTTTTTTTCCTTGGTTCCTTGTTGATGGCAAAAAAATTAAAATGAAATTATAAAAAAAATAAAGTTATTCTTAGCAAGTTGGGATATGCGGATTCGAATTCGTTCCCTTTCATCTGCAAAACGATACGTTTAATTGAGATTGAGAGGAGTGTTTGTTTGGGATGCTGATGCCATTATTCAGTAAGAAGAAAACTAATTTGAATTATAAAAATAAAAAAGGGGTAGTTATAGGGTGGCTTTCTAATTGAATAGAAAAACGCGATGGGTGATGCGTGTAAAGCTGTCAAAGAGACGAGGCGACGCCAGTTTTTCTGATTGAATAGAAAAACGTGATTGATGGGTGATGGATGATGGGTGATGGGTGATGGGTGATGGGTGTAAAGCTGTAAACAGGATAGCTTTCTGGATCTGATACATGTTTATGCTTATGAACGAAGCATTTTTGCCAAAGCCCATTTGGGGACACCTTGTTTTCTTTTGATGGGTCCCTTTTATTTGTAAAGGTTTGTGTTAGATACCATTTAGAAATATTTAGTTATATACCCATTTTAACACTAAAACTATAAATAAACCCTACACCCCTTAATTTCTATAAACAAATTCAAAACATGACAAGCCCGATTGAATTTAATTTTAATTATAAAATTACTTTGATGTCCTATTGAGTGTTTTGGGTTTTTTTATGAGGTTTTTAGGTTAGGTTTGTTTTAAGAAATCAATAGCAACTTTGTAATTTAAAAGAAGTTAAAAGTCTTTTTGTTATGTTGTAAATGAGTTTCGGGTGTGTTTCCAAAGCTCATTTCATATAGTTTTTTATATATAATTTAGGTTCTTATATTGGGTATAATAGTGAATCTCTCTTCACAAAATGGTTGCACGTTGATCTTAAATTTTGGGGCAAAATGGTCATTACAAGTCCAACACCATCACTCTCCCACCAGTTCTGACACTCTCACCATCACTTTGTACTCAAACAAGTCCGCAACAGTCACAACCCTTACGACTGACTTCGTTCTTCCTTCCCTCTACTCACTCAGCCTTAACTCCTCCACCACCACCCATCCCCATAATCCTTCAAATTCCGACACGACCCCCACTCCCTCAGGCCATCTCCAACCCAATGTGTGGAAACTCAAAATTTGAGTTTTGAGCCCAAAACTCATCTCTAACCTTTGTATTTTGAGGGGTGAAATTTGAGATGGAATACCAATCCAAGTTTTGCCTGGACTGATAATTTGTGTGGAGCCCAAATCCTTGCTCTGCAGCCCATGTGAAAGAAGAAAAATAGGCGGGCCCCATGTGGCAGCAAGCTGTCTACTTGCACTTTGGTTGTGCTGACAGGACCCGCCCCGAATTTCCCGAAACTCGAGACGAACCCTGCGGAGACCCCGGCATCACACCCACGCCGGGTTCACTCCTTAAAACTATGTCCTCTTTTACCAGAGAGGATTTAGGGCACGAGACTTTCTGCCAAAATTTCGGCAGAGTCTCCCCTGTAAATTGAACATTCACCAATTTATATCCTAACCCACAATATCCATTTAACTCAACAACGCTCAAGACCTGTCACTAAGGTCATACTAACCCTCAAATAAAGGTAAGACTATCTCGGAAGTCTCACGGTCAACCTAGGGTCAAACGGGCCTGCGGGGCCCACAACCTCCAAACTCCAATCCGAAAGTTCCTATAGGTTCTATAGGCTCTAGGACACATGTCCTGCAAGTTTGGTCCAGATCGGACGGTCGGATTGCTCACGATCACACAATCGGACAGTTACTAAAACCCTAACCCCAGGGTTGGCATTTCCGGAGTATCCGGGACTCCGTTTTACGATCCGTCGAATCCTACACGATCCTGGTAATACCTAGATCAACATATTATAATATCAGGACCATCCAACGGTCCAAACCCAGCGAACCCGGAAAATACGCGATATGCGATATCCGTTCGGGACTCTAACGATATCCAAATTGAGATCCGAGCCCACCTGCGCGCTCGTGACATCGAGAGGATCACAATGGGACAAAAATGCCCCTCAGCTACAGTGCCCACGCGCCGCCACACGCGCCGGCAGCGCGTGGGTGTCCAAAGCGATACCCATCGCCGGAAAACTTCCAAATCGTGAGCCCAGACTCCTACCCTAGGTAAAACACCTAATTTGGAGTCACTTTTGTTCTTGGACGTACCCCAAAATCTGACCGGAAGTGGCCGGAATCTCATCCCGAAATCCGGCCGAACCCTAACTCAAAAATCAGATAATCTAGGCTCGAAATTAACGAAATCCTACCCATCCATCAGCTAGATCATGAGGAAAGGATGAATTTCCATACCTTGATCGCCAAAAATGGCGGCCGGACGACGGAGAACGAAGCCGGCGAATTTTCTGTCAAAACCGGAGCTTTTCTCTTCGTTTTCCGGCGAAACCACGGCGGCTGGCGGCGGGACCTGGCCGGGGTAGGAAGAGGACGGCGGCCCGGTCATTTTGGTACCGGCCCCGTCGACTTTGGTGGCCGGACGAGAGCACGGCCGGCCAAAACGTGGCCGGCTGTTCCAGTCGTCGCGCGAGAGGAGAGAGAGACGCGCCGGAGGAGAGAGAGAGAGAGTGTGAGAGAGACGGGGGCAATTCCGTCTTTTAACCAAAAATCCCACTTCAAAATATTTACGATTATGCCACTGAGCTTCATTTGATCATATCTCTCTCGTTACAACTCCGATTCGAGCCCACTACATGTCTACGGACTCATCTCACCGTGCTCTACGCAACGATACAACCGGAATTCCCAAACTCCTTCCGGATAAGAAAATGACTAAAATACCCCTATCCCACGGGTAATTTCTCAATTCCACTTAAATAAATTAAAACATGGGATAAATTGGGGTCGGGGTGTTACATGTGCGACAAGTGGCAGCATTTGGAGAAGAGAGACGTTGCAAATCCCAAATTTGGCCTAATTTGAAGTTAGTTTTTTTTTTTTTTTTTTTTTTTTTTTTAATTAAACAATACAACTGCTATATCCACATCAACGATTAGGATTAATTTTAGGCAATTTGAACCGTAAAATTTCACATCCATCGGCTTAAATTTAAATCCAACGGACAAAATAATATTTATAATTAATCTAAATCAAATCCAACCCCAAAACTTATTCCAAACTCTATAAATAGTCATTCATTTGGTAAATAATCAACCAAAAATCAGTTTTTTTCCTTTCTACCTTTGGTAAATAAAATGTTGTTGTACTTTTTTTTAATTATTTTTAAGTGAAATTCTATTATGCTTTGGAATTTTAATTTTTTTAGGTTAAAATGTTTAGAAAATTAAATCATGAATGTTGAGACAAAAATAATGTTAAAAAAGTTAACAAGAAAAAAAAATTAGGGTTTAATCATTCTTAAACAATTTAATAAAATTGCGGACTCAAATTATGAGTCTGCAAGGTTGGAGGAAAAAAAAATTTGAGTCCTAAAATTACATGAATAGTATTATTTTGGTGGGTGGAAATTTGAGTTTAGCCCCAACATAGTTGGAGATGGCCTTAAGACCATTGACTAAGGCTCCGTTTGGGATTGCTTTTTTTCCCCAAAAACCTAATTCACTTTACAGTTAAGCAATTTAAGGTGTTTGGTAAAAATAAAATATCCAGATTATTTTAAAAGCACTGACCTTTTTACAACAGCTTTTAAAAGTAGGTTTTGAGTTGCTTTTCAAAGCTACTTTCAACAGAAGCAGAGATGAGCCTTTAATGAATTTTTTTTAATTACTAAAATATCATCATTCATTTTGAAAAATAACACCACCTCCACTTCCACATCCAACTCCATCACCACATTCACCACCTATGCAACCACTGCAAACATCACCACCACCACCACATCCTCCTCCTCCTCCTCCTCCTCATCCTCCGCTGCCACCACCACCACCACCATGCTGCCATCACCACCACCAGCTCCACCTCCACAACCGCCATCCCTACCACCACCACTACTACAACCACTAGCTCCACCTTCAACACCACCATCACCTTCACCTTTATCTCTTTCACCCCCACCCCCACCCCACCCCCACCACCACCACCACCACCACATGATTAGCACATAACACTTTCAACATCATGTATATTTTAGTCATTATTCACAGTTACAACAGTTTTATATTAAAATTTACCAAACGATTTTGACACTGCTTTTTATATTAATAGCACTTTAAAAATATTATTTACCAAATATGGAGCTACTTTATTTTACAGCTAATTATTTTTAAAGCACAGTAAAACAACTTTTTTTAAAAGTGACAGCAATCCCAAACTGGGCCTAAAACCCATACCCAACTTTCGAATCCAATACAAGTGGAGGTCGGGGAAAGACGGAGTGGGTATTTGGGGTGGGTATGTTGGTGTGCGGGGGATTTTGGTGGCTATTGACCTCCCATGTGCAGCTTAGGGATTCAAGTTCAATGCGAACAGTCCTCGACACTTGAATTCCCTCAAATGCTATGAATTCCTTATGGAGCTTTAGTTCCCTACAAATAAAACCCCTGCCACCCTCCTGAGAGAAAAAAAAAAAAAAAAAAAAAAAAAAAAAAAAACAAACAAAAAAAAACCATATGATTCTTGACAGAAAAAGAAAATCAGTTAAAAACATCACAAAAATTATAAGTAATGGGAATTACCAAATGGTGTTTTGTGGTTTTCATGTTTGTAAATCTTTGTTTTACTTCCTTGAGATATTTAGTCATATACCCATTCTTAGCATTAAAACTATAAATAAACCCTACATAATTTCATTTCTACAAACAAAGCCAAAAAAAATCCAAAAATGACAGCTGACCCTATTGAATTTAATTTTAATTATTAAATTACTTTAATGCCCTATTGACTATTTTGGGCTTTTTTTTAATGAAATTTTGGGGTTGGGTTTGTTTTAAGAAATCAATGACAGTTTTGTAATTTAAAAGAAGTTAAAAGTTTTTTTGTTATGTTGTAAATGAGTTTTATGTGTGTTTCTAAAGTCCATTCCATATAGGGTTTTTTTTTTATAATTTGGGCTCCTATATTTGATATAATAGTGAATCTCCTTATTTCCTTTGTGACCTGCATCTTTGCGAAAGACATAAATAGAAAGAGGAAATTCTTATAGCAAATAAAAATTAATCAAATAAATGAATGAGCATGCAGCAAAAGGAGTAAGTTTCTCAAAATTCTCATACCCACTGTAATTTACTGTTCCATTTGGACGTGGGTCTGATATGAAGGCAGCCATGAGAACCATTCAACCAACATACACGATACAGAACTATGCTAAATCCTTCTATGTTGATCACACATCATGAGAAATATGCGATATATTCTACTATGGCGTTCTCTTTATTTGCACTTTACTAGGATGTTGGCTTGGCTTTATAAGAGTAGAGATTTGTAAACTGGGTTCGTTTGTTACACCTATCTAACTTGGACTAGCTTGGATAAAAAAATTATTCTATATTTGTTGTCACATGATTCTAGTTTTAAATGGGATTAGTAATCTGGGGCTCACTAAAAACACCTTCTTAGCTAGGCTTCCCCTGTGTGTGAAGGGGGGGACAAATAATCGCCTCCTCATCGCTCACGACTTCCTCCCCTCTCCGCTCCACGCCTTTGTTTCAGCCATCACCTCCCACCCAACCACACACCTCGTCGCAACCATCACCTCCCACCTAAGCACACACCTCATCCATGTCAGCTGCTCTCTCTCTCTCTCTCTCTCTCTCTCTCTCTCTCTCTAAAAGTTTGCTACAAAACCCAAATGGAGGAAATAGATCAATTAATTCAAATGGCTTTTTCTTTTTCTGAAATTGGGGGAAAAACCTCAGAAAAAAATAGCTAACCATCAAGCAATACACCATCAAAGAGCCCACCCAGACATGAGCCTCCTCAAAGAAGCAAATTCCCAAATTTAGATTGTGGGGTTTGGGTATGTGGCTATTGAAGAGAGAGAGGAGGGTAAAGAGAGAAATAGTGAAATAGGAAAATGACATAATATAACATTTTAAAAATTAAGAAGTAGAGAGACAAATAAATTGAGAAGAAGAGGAGAAGGAGAGATGAGGGAGAAGAAGAAGATGAAAAAGCAGTGAAAGAAAGAAGAAAAGAAAAAACAAATAAACAAATAAATCCACTTGACTTCTTTTTTGAAATTAAGAATTAAAAAAATAAAAAAAATTTAGTCCTAATCCAATCCTACACCAAACGTAATACAAGTCTTATCCAACTTATGCCAGGCTAAGCCAATCCAATACAGTTCCGGTATTTAGTCCAATTCATGACAGTCCTGCGTACCAAATGACCCTGCAGAGTGTGGAACTAGAGGTGGATGCATGTTGGGACAAGAGGGGTCACACAACCCCTTGGGATGCCAGAAATCCAGTTGTGGACTCTATGAGTGACCCTTTGGATAGCAGCAGAACGACCCTTTGTGTGCACACAAGGTGCTCGATGAAAGTCCCCTGTGGGTATGCCTTGCGCAGCACCCAACTACTGCGCGAGCACAAGGTCCAATTTTTTATTTTTTATTTTTTAATAAAAAAGGTCTGGCCAAACGACGTCGTTTAGTCCAGGGCTCTTTCAATTTTTTTAATTGACTTGGCCTCAAAACTACGTCGTTTTGAGCCAAACTTTTAAAAATTAAAAAACAAAACAAAAGATCATCCTCCTCTCCTCCCATTTATCCGACTCCACATCACATCCCCAAACCCTTTCATTCCTAAATTAATATCCCACAACCCTAGGAGCCCCAACCTCCCAACCTCCCAACCTCCACCATTACCTCTCTGCCGGCGTTGAGCACCACTGCCTTGTGCTGCCATAGTCTTTCTATGTTTTTAGTGTTATTTTCTCTTAGGGAAAATTTTGACACTTTTACACTAAGACCCCTTGGCCCAAGAATTCTGGATCCACTACTATGTGGAACCACTACTACAAAAAATGAAATAGACGATGGATATTCACCATCATGGTGATGGTTTTCAAACCGTCGTGAATTGACTGTCATCTTTTGAGTGCAACCCACGACAATAATTCATTGTCATTGTTCATGAACAACATGACGGTTCCTAAACAAAAACCGTTGTTCTAGTGCAGTTTCAGTGTTCACATTATTGCAAAAAACTCAACACACTTACATCAACTTAGAAAAAAAAAAAAAAAAAAAAAAAAAAAAAAAAAAAAAAAAAAAAAAAAAAACATCATCATCTATTAAAAAAAAAAAAAAAAAAAAAAGGTTAAATGATGTTTTTTATTGTGACAAGAGTTGTCTTTCTTTAATACCATGTCATTGTTTTTAATAATTAGCAACGTGGTGGTTCCACATGGGAGCGGATCCGCTGTCCCCAATTGGTGTCCCCTCCATGTCCCCTCTCTAATTTGCTGACACGTGTCAACTAACATAACGGGAAGTTAACTCCGTTAACTTTTTATTTGACAATTTTAAAAATTAAAAAATTAAAAACTGCCCAAATAACCCAGCAGCCAGCGAGCGTCCTTCCTTGCTAAACCCAGCAAGCGTTCTTCCTTGCTAACCCCAGCGAGCATCCTCTTCCTTGGGTCTTTCATGTGTTTGGCTATCTTTGAAGAATTTGTGAATTAAATGGTTAATTGGAGTTGAATCTACTGCTGTTATGACATAGAGATTTAGTTATTTGGAGTTTAACGATATTCAAGAGGTGATGGTTTTGCTCTGTCACCAACAACCTTCAAGAGGCAGAGGAGAGGACCCATCACCTTGGATGGTTTTGCTCATGCTCTTCCACAGCTTCCCATACCAACAAGCTTTGATGCCGTCAAAAGCACCAGTTTAATGACTCTGTCTCTTCTTCCATACCCTCCTCCTCCTCCATCATCAGTTTCTGTTGTGACCAACCAAGCAATGGTGCCAGTTGAGTTTGAGTTTGAGTTAATTAAACCTTGTGAAAGAGAAGAGAAGCTGATGGATTTGAACACTGCGGCTGCAATTCCAGAAGAAAAAGATCTGCTCCAGCAACTACAAGGAAGTGCCCCTACCCCTACACCAATCAATGTCATAGGGTCTGAAAAAGTTGAATGCACAATGTGTTTGACAAAATGTTGCAGCGAGATGTATGCATTTTGCCAGTTTATTGACTTACTGAAGATAAATCTTTTTTCCCTCATGAGGGAAAGAATGAAATATAGTATTGTTCAATACTTGTCCTACCACTTAACAACGAGCAATATTCAGTTATAATTGATTCCACATAGTCGCTGGTTTTGTTCCAATAATATATGACATCAAATGCCCATTAAAATTGTCATACATATGAAGTCTTTAACAATACAAAAGGTAAATACATGCTTGCTCCAAATGTCATAACCAAATATTCTTAAATGAAACTTTGAGTCCAAAAGAAGGAAAAATTCTTCAACATTCTTCTCATTCAACATCTTGGACGCACATATCATGTGTCTTGGCACTGCATGTCAATTCAGAGTTCAGCAAGTCTAGTCCTTCAGAGCTCAGTAAGCTTAATTCTTCTTCTTGTGGTAATTCTGCCTGCATATATGTGTATACAATGAAATAAGTTAGTACTCATTCACGAGAAAACAAAAGGTTTAACCAATTACAAGGAATTACCTGCAATAATTCATCATGCTAGTTGGACCTTGTTGATAGTTGCTCAAAGTATTGTGGGTTCTTATGTAGTATTGCTAGTATACAAAGAAGCACACATGAAGAATATATATAAGTTAAGTCAGTAACATATTTACATTACTTGTGAAATGCCATAGATAGACACCAAAAAAAAGATAAATTTAACTTAAACATTACCTGTGAAATATCCATTGTTGCTTGAGATTGGGTTGGCATGTGAATAGTCTCATTGTGAGAATCAGGTTCCTAACATTATTTCAAAACCATAAATTTTAAAATGAGTTAAAATAAAACAAATATTAACAATCATAACTTTTAAATAATAAAAAATATATATTAAAATACCTGTTCCAATAGAGCACATTCTTCTTTATTTCGAGGCTTTTTCTTCTTTGTGAGCTTTTCCAAAGCATTCTTTGGCCTTTTAGAATTGCCAACAACTTTGGTCTTAGTTTTGATTCCTCTAACTTTAATGATATCATCGTCAATACAAATATACTCATTAAGCTTAGATGCACTGGTAGTTTTTGAGATCACCTGAGTTGGTTCTTGACTTGCTTTCTTCTTCAAACACGCATCCACATCTCTCAACGTATTGTTAAGTCCTAATATAGCAGTTTCATATGCATCTTTCGACTCTGATGCTCGTGTTGCTAACTGAGTATGCAACCGACATAATTCTCTGTAACGCCTGACAATTTCTACTTTTGAGTCATTTTCACTAGAGACATTGCAAGTAGATTTTGTACTCTTAGCCTTAATATTTTGGTCCATCTCTTCAAGATGTATTGAGCGGGAATATTTTAATATTTCTGGTAGAGAGGACTTTTAAGGCATGTGCACACAAGATTCCTGCAAACTCATACTTCTTACAACTACATAAACCCGTATTATCTATTGAGTCAAATGTGACTGTGTGGTGCCAATACTTCTTATGAGGGATAACTTCATATTTGCTGATGCTTCCAATCTCACCATTGAATTTCAAGACACAATCATGAGCTTTACACAACTCATCTTGAAACAACTTAAACACTTCTGGTGTATATATATTTGATGCGTGCTTTAATATTTCCACTGGAAATGACAATGCAGGTGAACTTTGACTTGCTCTAAATTCAGCTTTCAACTCTTGATAACGACGATCTTCAACTAACCTCTGAAAATGTTGAAAAAATCGTAGCAAATCATATTTGTAACTAACATACTTCTTTAAAGCACTATTCATGCTTTCACTGCGTTGGGTAGTAGTAATATCAGCACAAAAAGTTTGTCGCCCATAAACTAATGCCCATTGCTCCTTTATATTAAACAATCGCCTCAAACCAATCATTATCCTTGAGATTATATTTTTCAAGCATGTTATTCCAAGCGTTTATAAAATCATCTTCATCTTCATAATCATATATGCATCTACCGAAGTCTTTGGTAAATTTTTGAACTTCTCAAAAGCATTGCTAAGATGCTTGGCTGCATTTTGGTATATGTGCCAAATGCACAAACGGTGACATGTTTCTGGCCACTCTGAAAGCAACGCTTTAGCCATTGCTGCATCTTGGTCTGTTAGAATACTTATGGTTTTTTTCCAGACATAGCCTTGACAAAAGTATCAAAAACCAAATAATGTGTCAGCTGTTTCAGCATACAATAATGCAGCACCGAATACGACAGTTTGCCTATGATTGTTGACACCAACAAACATTGCAAAAGGTCTTCCTTCTTTATTTTTTCTATAGGTCGTATCAAAGCATACCACATCACCAAAATAATCATAATCCACCATCATCCTTGCATCAGCCCAAAAGATATTAGTAATCATATCATCTTCATCCACTTGTATAGCATAAAAGAAATTAGGATCATTCAATTGCATTTGTTGTAAATATTCTAACAGGCCCCCTGTATCTCCTACCCTCATTTCTCTTGTACGCTTTGAACGTAAATAATTTTTATAATCTACAGGAAATGAATCCAAGATTCTGACGTCCACCGGCTTGTCTACTCAGAAGTTCTAGAGTTGCTTTTGGAGCAATTCCCGAAACTATCGGCCATATCAGCTTCAACTATTTGTGCAAGAGACATGTTCCTATGTGACCTAAAAAAATGGGTCTTACAAGGACTAGAAGTAACATGCGTATGCTCAGGCACAAACTCAGTAACACAATACTTATCATTTAGCCGACAACTAATTTTCATCCTTGCTAGACATCCAAATCTTGTCTCAGCACGATGAGATTTCACACTGCCATCACACTTATTCTTTTCACGCTTACCTTCAGCAGAGCAAACAAAAAGTCTGTCTCTCAACTTCCCACATTTCTCTTTATGAAATTTACTTCGTCTAATACTAAAACCAACACCATATGCATATGCATTGTAAATTTAAAGGCTTCTTCTTCTGTCTCAAACTCCATGCCTATTTCAGGAACTAGTTTTTTCTGCATGTTAGAATGGATCAACTCTATGTTTTTGTTACCTTGTGTAGTTTTCTGAAAACTTTTCTTCATTACTTTCACTGCCTGCAAAAGCATTGAAGTCCCCACCTGTTTCAAAAATTAGCTTCAGACTTGCTTGAGTTCCATCATCATCTCTGTAATTATTTTCCCCGTTCATGTCCTTGAGAAAATTGGCAACACGTTATGAATCTATATATAAAACAATAATCATAAAATAACAATTAATTTAATCAAGACAGGGATTGATTATTATATATGACTGGGTTTGATTCCTATGAAATCAAAAGGTTGATTCCTATGAATATATGGCTGGGATTGTTCAAAAGATTGATTACTATGAATATGAAATCAAACATATCATCAAACATATCATGAAGATAAAAACTAACAAAGAAAATTGAATAAATAATACTTTGATTTAGTGTATATTATATAAGTTTCCAATACACAGAGCTTTGCTCACCTCCATCCACGGGGCTTCAACAAAAGGTATAATCGATTGGTTTAATGGTGCTGCAATTTCCAAACAGAGATTAGGGGAGGAGAATTGAGTTTTGCAAGTATTTGAGAGTTGATTGTGGAGAAGATGTAGTGATTATGAGGGAGGAGAGTGGGTATGGCTGGTTTTTTGCAAGGAAGACGACGCTTGTTGGTTGCAATTGGAGAAGAGGAGAAGACTCTCGCGGAGAAGACGATGCTTGCTGGGTTAGCAAGGAAGACGTTCGCTGGGTTTTAGCAAGGAAGGACGCTCGCTGGCTGCTAGGTTATTTGGGCAGTTTTTAATTTTTTTAATTTTTAAAATTGTCAAATAAAAAAGTTAACGGAGTTAACTTCCCGTTATGTTAGTTGACACGTGTCAGCAAATTAGAGAGGGGACATGGAGGGGACACCAATTTGGGGACAGCGGATCCGCTCCCGTTCCACATAACCACGGTGGTTCTTAGAATTACGACATAACATTAAATGCATTTATTTAATTTCATATGGGTATATTGGAAAATTAAACAACTTTGTTTTACATTCCTATGCGAACCAAACATGGGAAATGAATAAAGTGATATTTTATTGTTACTTCTCAGCATTACCAAACATGGGAAATGAACTTCCATTTCCCATCCATTGAGAATTAAACATGGAAAATTATTTCCCACCAAATCTTTTTCACAAACTAAACAGGCCCAAATTAATTAGGCACCTCACATTTCAAACCCATTTGGTTTGGCTTGCTGTGTCTCCAACAGAACAACTAGGTGATGAAGAAGACATGAAAAGGCACTACAGAAAAATGTCCTTCTATGATAGAATTTTACGTAATGCTGAACATTTCGTCACATTTATGTCGAATAAGTTCTATAAATATTATTAAATCAAATCAATATAGCGATGTTCAATATAACAGTTAAATCAATAGAAAATATTGACTTAGATAAGTGATAGAGTCCTGCATTGTTGTAGTGTCCTTTAGATAGTATTTCTCATCTACCCATTGTGCTTGTAGTTAGATAGGAGTCTGCCACCAAGATTATCACAAATCAAAGCCTAAACATTATGACTTTGATTTTGACGAACAATGATATGCTTTCTCTCAAGAAGTGTTTATGTGTCGAGAATGATAATGCAATTCTAAAGTTCTATATTTGACTAGTTCTATATGTCAATAGATAGATGTCTGATACCTCTTCATCTAACAATTTTTAATAATTGTTCAAACAAAAATTTGAATTTTAGATAATGATATTATCTAAAAAATGAATTTCTAATTAATAAAAATAATATTAATTAAACTGGGCTGTGCGGTTGGACCTCAAACACCGAAAATCACCAATTACTAACCGGCTTTTGCAGTCGGCAAACCGTGGTTTGACCAAAAAGTTAACGTTGTTAGGGTTGGACAATCGGGACAGACAATGATGGTACCGATTGTGATACACGGATACCATTCCATTGGCAACCGCAACCGATTGAGTATATTAAAAATAAATAAATAAATTGAAAACTCCATAGAAGATGCTTAGGCAAGGTTTTGCTAAAAATAGAGAGAGAGAGAGAGAGAGAGAGAGAGAGAGAGAGAGAGAGAGAGAGAGAGAGAGAGAGAGAGAGAGCTTAACATCAGTTTTGGGCCCAATATCTTATTTTCTTCGACTCTTTCTCTTCCCCTCTCATCTTTTTCTACCCCTCTCCCCATGTTTTCTTCCTCCTCTCTCTCTCTCTCTCTCTCTCTCTCTCTCTCTCTTGTGGTGTGCGGTAACTACACTAAAACATGTCTAAATTAAACCAACAGAGCCCAAGAGACTAAACTAAGATGAGGCCCAATTATGCCTTTACTAGGCTCATATCTTATTTAATGTTTAAAGGTGTTGGTGCTTATAAACCATAAAAAGAAAGCACTTCCTTTCAATGTGGGACTAAGAGTATCCACAATGATGCTCTCTATTTTTTAGCTAAAATTTGGTTAAGAATATAAGAGCATCCACAATGGGCTCCCTAAACCATCTCCTTAGACAAATTTTAGGGAGGAATCGTAAAAATGTAACTCCAACCACGCTCCCTATCCACCTCCTAAAATAGGAAGTCCTCTAGGAGCTCCTAAATCTGAGGAGAGAGAAAGGACTCCTAGTGGCTGCCTATAATTTAATGCTATTTTATTTAATGAATATTTCAAACCTTTATTTAATGCTAACTATTTTTTATTTTATTTTTTAATATAGATGGACCAATTAAAAAAGAGTTATAGCATTTATGACTCTCCAAATTAAGGAGTATGGTTGGAGTTGAAATTTTTTAGAGAGCTCCTAAAATAGCTTTCTTATATTCTTAGCTAAATTTTAGCTAAGAAATAGAGAGCATTATTGTTGAAATTTAAATTTGATGTTTGCTATTTGACACCTCGGACCTCTCGAAGAGACAAGACAAACATAAGAGACCCAACCCCCCGAAAATAAAAAGAAAGTGTTGTTGGAAAAAAAAAAAAAAAAAAAAAAAATCCCGGCTAAACCATCGCCTCTTTTAGACCCAAAAAATTCCACCGCTTCCCTTCATCCTCCTCTCCCTCCACAGCAGCTGCGACGACGACCACTCCTCCTCCTCCTCTCTCTCTCTCTCTCTCTCTCTCTCTCTCTCAGTCGCTCAACCCTTCTCGTGACCCCATTGTCTCCCGCTTTCAATCACCAACATTTTCTCTTCTCAATCCTATTCCCCCCATCAATAACCACCACTAATTAAGTCCACCTTCCACTGGTAAACACCATTGACCCCCACCCTAAAGAAACCCACAGGCTGTAGTGTTTTTTATATTCTAAAATCTCTGTTCTGGTTAAGGTAAGTTCTTTTACTTTCTGGCTTGTGTTGTTCTAATTTCTCCCTCAATTTGTAATCTGAACAATGTAGCAATGACTAGAAGTTTTGCCTTTTGTATTTTTACAATTATACTCTTCAATGAAAGTGGTGTAGTTGATTTTGGTTTGTGTTCCAACTTTTTTTTCATTTTGTTTTATAGATGGCAACTCCTGGGCAGCGAGGAAAGATGGTGAAGAGGGTTAAGAGGATGAGGGATCCTGCGTCGCCAGCACCTAGGTTAGAGGGTGGAGGGAGGTCGCTCTCCGATCAAAAGCAGAGGGTTCTTCGTTGTCGTTTGGAGACCTTCAAGCACCTGCGATCCTCCTCTCTAGACGAAATCGTCCACCAACTTCGCAATAATTACCGAGACTACCACCGCATCAAGCTCCAGTCTTTCAACAAGTCGTCCAGCAAACCCTAGACTCGCCTTCCTTTAAGCAATCGAAAACCCTAATCCATGTCAGTGACTTAGAAGAAGAAGAAGAAGAAGAAGAAGACGGCCAAAGCAATTCCCAGAGAAGGCAGAAGCGTGCTGCCAGTAAGAGCGAGGATAAATTGCAGCGAATGGAGTCTGCCCACCTTAGAAGGATTCGTGTAAGGAATGGTGACCGTCCATCTACATCTTCTTCTTCCTCTTCTGATGATGATGATGCTGATGAAGATGGGTCTGTGTCGATGTCGGAGGACGCAATATACAGCGAGAAAGTGGAGCCGGAGTTTGATGTGATGAAATCGAGTCTCCGAGCATCGTATATGGAATCGAACAGCGCCATGAAGCCCAAGGCAGCCGAGGATCAGAAGGAGAAGAATGTAGAAATGGAGCTTCCTGGTCGCGACGAAGTTGAGTTAATGGGCGGAAATGGAGGGCCAAGGCGGCCAAAGACATTGCAAGCAGCTGAAGCCAAGGGCTCGGTTACAGGGGTTGAGGTGAAGGGAAGTGAGGGGCCGAGGTTTAGTGACTTAGGTGGGATGGAGAAGGTGATAGAGGAGCTGAAGATGGAGGTGATTGTGCCGCTTCGCCATCCGGAGCTGCCTCGGTGGCTCGGAGTTAGGCCAATGTCTGGGATTTTGTTGTACGGCCCTCCCGGGTGTGGCAAGACCAAATTGGCTCATGCCGTTGCCAATGAAACCGGCATTCCCTTTTATAAAATTTCTGCCACTGAAGTTGTCTCTGGTGTCTCAGGTAATAGCATTAGTCACTAAAAAAGTTTGAATAAGTTGAATTAGAAGCTGAAAAACCCTGTTATTGTTAAGGTTCTTATCTTTTATTTATGTTGATGAAAATTGTAATTGTTGTCATTTCATAAATTTTAGGTGCATCTGAGAAAATATAAGAGAGCTTTTTTCTAAAGCTTATAGAACTGCCCCTTCAATTGTATTTATTGATGAAATTGATGCAATTGCTTCAAAAGAGAAAGTTTGCAACGAGAAATGGAGAGGCGAATTGTGACACAACTAATGACTTGCATGGATGAATCTCATAGGCTTGTACAACCGGCTGATGCAAATTCGGATTCGCAAAGTTCCGATAACAAGTCTGGCTATGTTCTTGTTATTGGAGCTACCAATAGGCCTGATGCTGTTGACCATGCCTGAGAAGGCCGGGGAGATTTGACCGTGAGATTGTTTTAGGTGTTCCAGATGAAAATGCGAGGATTCAGATACTTTCTGTGCTTACACGCAATCTGAGACTTGAAGGTTCTTTTGATCTTCTTAAAATAGCCAGGTCTACACCAGGGTTTGTGGGGGCTGATTTGGCAGCCCTGGCTGACAGGGCTGGTAACATTGCCATGAAAAGGATTATACACAAGAGGAAGACTTATATGTCCATAGATTCTATGAATGAGGAGTGCAATGAAGATTGGTGGAGGCAACCATGGACGCCTGAAGAAATGGAAAAGCTTACTATCAGTATGGCTGATTTTGAGGTGTCCTGAAATTAACTACTTCTACCTTTTCTCCCCATTCTTTGAATTACATTGCTACATATTGAAATGAAAACAGTTAGTATACTGTCTTCATGAAATTTCTCGAGTTGACGGTGTTATCATGTGAGTTCCTGCAGGAAGCAGTTCAAGTGGTTCAGCCTTCATCAAAAAGAGAAGGCTTCTCTGCAATTCCTAATGTAAAATGGGACGATGTTGGCGGGTTAGATCTTTTAAGACAGGAATTTGATCGTTATATAGTTAGGCGTGTTAAATATCCTGAGAACTATGAGGTAATTGTTACTTCCTTTCTTTTTATCTTCTTAATCTCTCTCTCTCTCTCTCTCTCTCTCTCTGAACCCCATCTGTGTGTGCGCGCGTTTGTAGAAGAAAGGTTTGGAATGGCCGATATGGTGAGTGTGTGTGTGTTTGAAGAAGAAAGTCGTTTTTGTTTTTGTTTAAAACATTGTGCCTTTGGTATGGTATGATCTAAAAGATATAGAACATAATCCCTGATGATGAACTTATGTCATCTTCTTTTTATCCATTTCTGCCCCTCGTAATAATGATGGCTGAATCTCCACATTTCATCAGCTCATTGATTAAGGTTCATACATTAGTAGCAATTTTTTGTCATCTATAGACAGTACCGTTTACCACCAATTCATTTTGAACATATTTTCTGTGGCATTTATGGTTAGAGGAAAACGATAATTGACCGGACAATGTAACATACCTAAGAAATCCATTGTCGTCCACTTTTGCAAGTGAAGTGAGCCTAGCATATGTCTTTAATCAGATCTCAATTGGTAAAATGGGTTGCTTGGGTGGGGTTGGGATAAGTCTTTTGTTCAGAACTTACTAATCCATGTACAACAGCACAATCACCAAAAACTTTTAAATAAATTTGATATAATGTTGTGTCAACTGTATTGTAAAATAATGGAAACTTAAATCAAGACATAACTGTCAGTGGTGACTTATTATTTATTACATTGCATATTATGCATGAATATTTTTAGTTTCTATAGTATCATGTTGTTCTATCACTGCTTCATACTTTCTGATGCCTGTACCTTATTCTATTTAATTGTTTTATTTGTCTGCAATCAAATGGCTAATTATAATTTTGAAATGACTTGTGGTTTCAGGAATTTGGAGTAGATTTAGAGACAGGATTTTTGCTCTATGGGCCTCCAGGATGTGGTAAAACACTGATAGCGAAGGCCGTTGCTAATGAAGCAGGAGCCAATTTCATTCACATTAAGGTCAGTCATTTACTTTTTCTATTAGATACTTTTTATTTGTTATGTTACTTCTTTATCTGTGACAATAGATATTTCAGTGAATGTTTTTGCATAAGTTGAGAGGATCTATTTGATTGACATGGCTTTTCTTAACTTGTTAGGGCCCTGAACTTCTGAATAAATATGTTGGAGAAAGTGAGTTGGCAGTTAGGACATTGTTCAGTCGCGCAAGGACATGCTCACCGTGCATACTTTTCTTTGATGAGGTTTGTAGTTCTCTCTTCCTGCCAATTGTTATTGCTACTATCAGCTTCTTTAGAATTTTATCATTTGATTTGAACATTCAAGGATATATAGTGGCATAGATGACTGGCTTGTCGTGATCAAGTTGGATTGACTTGTATGTATGTAGGGTAGATTGGATTGGGTCTTGTGATCAAGTTGGTTTGAATTGTTTGTACGTAGGGTAGGATTGGTTTGCTTATTCCTCCAATGAACCTCAATTATGCTCATCATGGCATAATTTTTGGAGGCATGTGGTGTCCTTCCCTTTCCTCTTCCTGAAAATGTGCAGCCATCTTGTTTTTTAGGATAGTTAACCTTTCTAATATTACAGGACCTTACAAAAAAACTTGTCTTTTGAATGTATGATATAGCTGTGTTTCTCCATTTTTTTTTCTTGCTGGCCTCCAAAAGCACTGGGTGAGAAGTCAACCAAATTGTCTTGATTACTTTACCCTTCCAACAATTTGTCGTTCTTCTTGCACCATTCACCAGCTGTTTATAGCTGTTGTAAAAGCTAATAGGGGTCTATTTGGAAAGAAGAAAGTACCTATACACTTAAGAATACACTGATGCTGGTTCCTGTTCATTGTGTAGTCACAGGAGTCATCTTAATCACACATATTTAGCTAAACTCTCTACCTACATTTTGTGAGCATGGGCATCAGTTCCGGGTGCCGACACTGATATGTGATGTCCAACATGTCAACTTACAAAAGCCTAGACATGAGGACACTACAAATGTGGGTGTTTTATAAGGATAGAGATCTACGTATGTTTGAACATAAATTTGCCTCAGAAAACAACCATATATAAAATCAAAGTAATTAGAAATTAGAAATGATGTCTAATTTTCTCGAAAAGAAAAGAATAATATCTCAATCATTAAGCACCCTCTCTGACTGCATAAAGTTGAATTCCTTTCAAGTATCCAAAGGAGTGTTGGAAACTAGAAGCACATGGGTTTCATTTCCTCAGGTGCCCTGACATGGAAAAAATTTCATGGAAAAAGTGTCCTACAAATCATAGCATTTTAAAGTTTTTCCCCACTTACTGACAGGTGGATGCTTTAACAACTAAGCGGGGGAAAGAAGGAGGATGGGTTGTTGAACGGCTATTGAACCAGGTAAAAAATTTGCGAAGGCAGTGTTGATCTGACTGCTTATAAACTCACTCGTTTTCATTCATTTATGGATACAATGAACTGACTTCTTACAACTGCAGTTACTTATAGAGTTAGATGGTGCTGAGCAGCGGCGGGGTGTATTTGTTATTGGTGCCACTAATAGGTAAGACTCATTGTTCATTCTTCACTTTTGGCGGTGATGTTTATCATTATGCATTTCTTACATGCTGTTATACCTTTTGTCAGACCCGACGTCATGGACCGTGCTGTTTTGCGGCCCGGAAGGTTTGGTAAACTTATCTATGTCGCCCCACCCACTAAAGACGAGCGTGGTTTAATATTAAAAGCTCTTGCAAGGAAGAAGCCTATAGATGCCAGCGTAGATCTGAGTGAGATTGGACAAAGGGGAACTTGTGAAAATTTTAGTGGAGCTGATCTTGCTGCACTGGTTTGTCTATATTCTTTAATTATATAAGCTTTCTTTTGCTTTGTAATATGTAGTTTAATATTTGATTTTAGAGTTGATTTTTCCTTCCTCTCTGTTTGCCGGTACCTTTGTTTGATTGGTGGGGGAAGAAGAAAGGTGATTGGGATTCTCTCTAACGTATTGATCCATGCAGATGAATGAAGCTGCTATGGCTGCTCTTGAAGAGAAACTGACATCACCTGAGAGGAGTTCAGATGCATCTCCATGGACTATCAAAGACACTCACTTTGAGCAAGCATTGGCTAAAATTGCACCATCTGTAACAGACAAGGTATGGATTTGATTTTCATATGCCCAACACCTCTCAACTGACAATTCCTTCTCTTTTTTTTCTTTTCTTATTCTTTTTCTCCGTAACACAAATTTTAAATTTCCATTTTCCATATGGTGGAACAGCAAATGCAATACTACCAGAAATTTGGGGAGAGCCTCAAAGCACCAAGAAACAAAGCCTAAGCCACAAGCGCCCCATTGAAGAGTGTACGTTGTAAATGTCTGTAGAGCAAACAACAGAAGAAAGAATGTGAGAGGGAAGCAGATCCGTTGTCTTGTATTTAATTTTATTATTATATTGGTTTGGTGCCTCGTAAATTTACTTGGCACTTCAATTGGGAAAATAAATTTTGATGAGTTCAAGGCCCGAGATTCTACCGTGAAGAATATTAGAGCAGGGGTTTGCGGAGTAGACGTTTTCTTTTGGCCTGAAGGTGTTGTAGACATTAGTGCATATTGCACTGCCAATTTTGATAAAATATAGTTTGTCAATTTATATTCAAAATCTGTTTAACTAAAACAATAATATAACATTTCAAAAAAGGCTTCAATTGTCAATTATTCCATTAGGGTTCGTTTGGGTGGTAATATATTCAAATCCAAATACTTCAACCCAGATGTGGACATGGTCCGGCTTGGTCCACTTCACCCCCAAAATCTGACTGAATAAAATTACTGGGCTGTTTCGGTTTGGGTTCATTGCGATCCCTACTTGGTTTGAGCTAGAATCAGTTTTTATTTTTTTGGGGGTTATGGCTTGTCCATTATTACTTGAAGCTTAAGTCTAATACTCAACTCCTCTTTAGGGATTCATCAACGAACGCAAAGAGAAACAACAAAAAGACAGTGGTTGACAACATTTGAGATCTGAATGGAGGTTGCAAAGAGAAACAACAAAAAGACAGTGGTTGACAACATTTGAGATCTGAATGGAGGTTGTAAGATTGTGATGAAGATGAGTGACGTTGAGATCGTGATGGAGATGAGAGAAGTTGAGATCGTGAGGACGACGAAGGAGCCCAAGAGAGATGAGGTGGCTAGGATTTTCGCATTAGATTCATAAGAAAAATGAGTTGTATATCAATATATAGGCCGACATTATATAATTGGTTCGGTTCAGTTTTTAAGTGACAAAAACCAAGAATTGAATGGGTCCAAGCCAAATTCGATTCTTTTGGTTTTTTTTTCCAACTCAATTCGGTGTTCAAATGCTCAAGCCTAGTGTATTGGGATGGGAGTGGTCCATCATCATAGTCTTCTCTTCATTCGCCTCTCTATTAGGGGTGGACATCTTAACCGAAATACTGAAACCGTACCCTAATTGTACCGTACCATACCAATTGCATACCGTTTTATTTGGTATGGGGAGATATTCGGTACCGTACCATACCGTACCAATAGAGTATGGTATGGTATCGGTATCAAGATTTTGGTACCGGTCAATACTGTACCGTACCGTACCAAATAGTACTAAAATATAATTTTTGATTCATTTGATAATTAAAAGCTGTTTCATATATATGGTTTCTTTCATTGACTATATTAGCATAAATTTCCATGTATGCATCATAAAAATTGACTGAGCTTTGTTATTGGGTATGGAGCTACATAGGACTCGAAAATTCTCCTTCACCATTTGGGATTTAACTATTTTGGTTTGTAAGCCATAAGGCATGAGTTTTAACCATTTGGATTTGACGAATATGTTGATGGATAAATATTGATTTGGTTGATTTGGATATTGAATATGTTGATTAGGATTTGGATATTGATATGCTGAATATTTGAATTTGTAACTTAGACATCACTTATTTTGGTGAATGAATATGTTGAATATTGAATTGGTTCATTTTTTCGTTGTGTCATTTTGGTACCAAAATGGTACCCATACTGATTTGGCACGGTATGGTACGATACCAATTTTGGCAAACCATAATCTCATATAGTACCATACCAATTTAAATTTCCGGTATCAGTAGCGGTATGGGCTCAATATTGTACCATACCGTACCGTGCCCACCCCTAATATATGCTAGTGGTGAATTGAAATTTTTTTGTTGTTGTTGGAGTGGTGAATTGATTTTATAAATTATATCAGCACCTTCCCTTTTTTTTTCTTTTTTTTTTTCAATGAAAAGAAAAATTAAAGAAATAGTGATAGGATTATTAGCAAATCTGTTCAGAGGCATCCGAAAATTAACAGAGGTTTTGCTGTCATCTTTTCTGGTTAACGGTAATTCAAGCCGTGTCTTCCACTAAAGACAGACCAATGATGGCTTCAAAGGATTTCTTTTCCTCAGGTAATACATACCATTATTCAGTATAGAACAAACAGAAACCACATGATCAAGATCCCAAACCTTCTAAAACCAATAACCAATATATATTGCCTGTACTGGAAACGAAATTGAACTCTACATTCATCAGTTTGTGCAAGCAACAAACTGAACCATGATAATTATATACAGTAAACAAGCAACATTAATTCCTCTGGTTGTTATACATTGTGTAACAAAAACCAAAAATAGCAATATCAACTATGAGCTAAAGATAACAGCCAATAAGGGCCTAGATGGCAGTAAAATGTCTCTGCTTGTGATCATCAATGGCTCTGCTCCTCAGGTACTTACGTTACAGCTTATTTTCTACTACCTGTAATGCCTCCTTCCAAAAGATTTTTCTTTTGTCTTTTTTGTCTGGTTGGCTTTTTCCTGTTGAATGGAGGCTTTTTCTGGCTGTCTAGCAGTTATTTCCTGCTTGGCTTCTTCCTACAAAATCCAATTATATATATTATGATCAATTAGACCCAAAGGTTAATAAAAACACTTATAGACATGCAAACAATTGAGTCTCTTGATTCATGATCATTAAATAAATAAAAAGATTTCATGTAAACGCATTCCTTTTACCTCCCACATAAAAGAACTCTCATCCAAAGTGATTTCATCTTCTTGTTTTGGCTGCTTCATGCTAGTTGCACTCTCCCTTTCTACGGGTTCATAATCCTCGCACTCTCTGAGAGTCATAATCATCATATATAAACAACAAAATCCAATGTACAAATTAATGTTATTGACGAAAACACGAGTAATGTGAAGAAAACTTACGGAGTAAAGCCGAACGTAAGCATGAACCAATTACCGGCCTCGATATCCACAGGAAGAACAATTGAATGTAAGGTCTCGATCATATGTCTTGTTCCTTCTTGGATAATTTGAAACGTGGTGATACAAAGATGTTGAACCTCATCACATTCTTCGTTAGTGCCAGTCTTAACATGAACTAAGTCTTGATTCCCCAGATGAACCAAATAGTCAGTCACAAATTCACCAAATTGCAATGGGGGATCAGCAATCTCAAGGCCGTTCAATTTATACAGTTGCACTAGTGAATATGCAATATCACCGTCATCATTTACCTTCCTCTCCAAGGAGTATGCTATAATCTCATCCACCTTAAGCATATTTAAGGCATAGATAGTCTCGCCTACAACCACGGCCCTCCCTCGGAAAGGAATATAAGTGTTAGTTTGCACTCGTTTCCAATTCTTTGTCCCCACGTGAAAAGCAACGACATCCAATTTTCGGTGTCTGTCACACAATGTATACAAAATAAGGCCGTAACAAACGGCATAACCAGTTACCTTCATAATGTATTCATAAGAAAATGGAAACAAAGGCAGTCGCAACCCAATCCTTCTTATCAGGATTGTATTTCCCAAAACCTAGACTCCGACTTCGTCCCTTGGCTTCAAGAAATAAAGTGTGCCATATGCCGACACAACTGTTCCACGCGGCTTAAACTGTACGGTAGAAGGTGTGAAGGAATCTAATTTCCTAGTTTTCGTATTAAAGATAGACCCTCTAAATGAACTAAGGTCAGGTTTATCCCAATCCTCGTCTGTAAATACATATAGTTCGGAGCGGTCAAAAATCCTTGCACCCCGAACGTTAAAATCACTGAATGTGGCTACAGGTTTAGGTGCTCCTCCTCCGCCCATATCATCCACTTCCCCTCCGAATTTGAATTTAACTTCATATATGGCACCGGTGTATTTGCCCCCATCGAAAGTTACCATTAAAAACACAGATCTATCTTGACCCCCCCTGATTTACCGTCATCCCCTCCATGGGCAAGCTGGACAGAGAAGAGAGAGATATATAAAACAATTCAAGTTAATCTTTTCAAACAACTACCTATACCTAGAGAGAATTAATGAATGAAGCAATGTCAAAGCTACACAATTATATATATATATATATATATACACACACACACACAGAGACACAAACAAACAATAATGCGAATGAGAAAAAACAAATTAAGGAGATGAAATCCACTAGTAAGTAAGGCATGCACTGACCTTGGGTAAGGATGAACGGTCCCATGTTTGCAACTGCCAGCCCTACTGAAGCAAAGCTCGTCCCATATTAATTTCTTCAAATGGACCAGTTGGATTTGGTGGGACAAAAGCGCGGCTAGAGATTTCTCCATCTCTGATATCTTGCCCGGTTCGCCATGAGAATTCTCCATCTCCCATATCTCGCCCAGTTCGCGCAGAGATTTATCCATCTCTGATACCTTGCACAGAGATTTCTCGATCTTTGATGTATCGTGGCGTGAAGCCATCGTCAAGGTATGGTCTTGACCTGACGTGAGCTCAATGGCAGCGGCCATGATATTGGAATACTAAACTGAGGCAAAAGGGAATTTAGGGTTTTGGGATACTGCGGCAGAAGGGAGTTTTGTTATGGTTGGTTGTGGGTATGAAATATATTATGCTGAGGCTTGGAATTTATTCAAGAGATCAATATGCTTTCATTCATGGGTAAAGTACGAATTCCAAAGCATGTATTTATATAATGACCTAATTAGTCTTGCTAGAAACAGGAAAACATTTAAAATATATATATTTGAGAGAAAACAGGAAACTTATAAGAAGAAGAAACTTATAATTGTTTTTTAATATATATATGAGTAATGCTACACTTACCACATTTATATCCCACATTTTCATACCACCTTATGTGGCAGATGAAGTGGACAATTATATCAATTAAAAAGTGTCAATAAATCATAAAAGATAAGAAAACTTTTAATTAATTTTAATTGATGTGTTGTCCACCTCATCTGCCACATAAGGTGGTATGAGAATGTGGTATACAAATGTGGTACGTATTCCCTATTGGGTTTCCCGGTTTAAAATCCCAGCGTTACCTGTTTGTTTATTTTATTGGGTTTTATGATTTTTTTTGGGTTTTAGGGCCAATTGAGGAAGATGTTTAGTTCAAAGCCCTATATAATTGACCTTCTTTGATTTTATTGCTTCACTCTCGTTAATCAAAGATGCTGGTGGACTGGATCTCTCTTTGACATCATCGTTTTTGCTTCATTGTCCAAGATAATCAAAGGTTCATCATCTCATGCTTTCTCAGTTATATTTTAGTTTTTGTTTTGTTTTCTTTTGAACATTGTAGTAGTATTGTTTCTATTTGGTTAGAGTTGTGCATCTCAGTTTTCTTAGGATGTATGTTTTTTTTTATTTTTTTTATTTTTTTAACCTTACTCTTCTTTTTGAGCTCAAGTGTTTTCTAAGGATACTGTTTGTTCTTACAAGTATACTGTATATTTTGGACGATTTTGTTCTCTTCGTTCTTTATCAGCATACTTATAATGAAGTGGAATTTTAAAGTCTCTCTCTTTGGTGTTCTTATTTTAATCTCTCAGTGACAGTGTTGGTCTTTTCAAATTATTTTTGCATGGTGTTGATGTTTGTTTGGTGTCATGTAATTGACTCTTTCTGCACAAATATTTACTTTTTAGAAAAATAAGACTAACCCTGAAAGTAATTTTTGTGTAAAATTTCTTTTCATAGGACTAAATCCAAAAATTAATTGTGATTGTTGCCAGTGGCGAAAAACCAAATAAACTCGTAGTTGAAGGAAAGCCCGAGAAGAAAACGTCTAAATTACTAGATTTGTATTTTGTATCGTGATGATGGATAAGTGGGGTTGGGATGCTGATTTGGAAGGCGTGCATTGCAATTTGTTTGTTTTGCTGGCCTGCTAATTAAAAGGATTAAATGTTTGTTTGTTTCTATCTTTTCTTGCAGTTTACTTTCATTTCTAAGAATTCTTTACGGTAAATGGAGGACCAGAGAACGAAGTTTGAGTTTGTTGAAACGTTGCATCGTGAAAATGGGAAACAAAACCAGGTCATCATTGGTTCTGCGGTTTGTTTTTATAGTTTCACGTTTAATTATAAAATTTCTCAAAAATTGTATCAGGGGTATTTATATTTTGATCCTTACAAGCCACCTATAAATGCGGTATTTGTAAAAGTTGCTGGACAAAATGCAAAAACAGTATTTTAAAGGAATTGTGCAGTTACTGATGGTGTTGTTTTACGGCCATGGACATATTTGTTCTCCCAAAAAAAGGACTTTCCCAACTTGCCTCAAGATACAGAGTTGAGGAAGGGAATTTGGTGTCTATGTTATGATCACTTCGAACACGATCTTAAAGAGTGGACGACTCTAGTGAACAATGGTTATTATGATGAGCTTAAACTACCTATCAAGATTCGCGATGGTTGTCTTAACGACTTTTGGCTTAATTCTATAAGGTAGTTGGTTAGATTTTTATTTATTATTAATTTTTTTGTTTGGTTAAAATTGATTATAGTTTAGTTTAGTTTTTAATTTAATTGTATTTGACATAAATTCTTTGTATTAATTGTTTGTAGGGATTTGATTTCTTGTGTACGTCGCATCCATTCTAAGAGGTTATATCATGGTGGATTGCATGACCGGACTAACTATGTATTTGTTGACAAATGTCTGAAGATAATCAACATTAAAGGATCTTTGGATGAGTTTGAAAGTTATGAAAACGTGAGAAGGAGAAGAAAAAAGATATTACAGGCCTTTTATGGATGTCGGACAACTGGTTCGAATCGATAGTAAAGGGGGGCAAACGTAATTGGCCAGAATGTGACGCGTTCTTTAAGCATGCCAAATATGTTGACACTTTGGGTTTGGGGTGAGATCTACATCTCTTTTATTTTATTTTTTCTTGCTCTTTCTTTTTTATTTCATTTCTTTCTTATATGATGGATGTTCTTTTTGTCTTTTCAGCTATAAAGATTTTGTCGATAAAGTGGAGGGTCATCCGTTTTTGTTAAGCCCTGACGACAGGATGCATCTCTTTGATGTTTATGAAAGTAAGAGGATTGATCCAGCTACTTGTCAAGATGTCAAACACGCTTTGACATCATCTGATTTTGATAAGTTCAAAAACTGGAACAGTTCTTCAACCCTTGCTAGCATGGATAGCCATATGTTGGGTGTTTATCATTATAATCCCAATCGTAAATCTACCAGTCATAATCCTAATCATCATAAATTTACCACATATGGCGGGAGTGTGAAGGATCTTCTTAGGTACCTCAGGAATCTGAATCATCATTACCATGAACAGAAGTTGGTTGTTTCTATGGAAGATGTGGATCGTCGTGTTCGTACTCAATTTGGTGGGTTTTTGGAGCAGCTGTACAAGCATTTATAGGTTCATAGAGGAGTGGTGTTTGGTTCATGGTGTTATTTTATTTTGTGTTATAACATTTTGTAAATCAAAGATTTCATGGCATCAGTACAATTGGTACAATAATTAGTTTAAGAAATTGTTTTGCAACTGCAATATTAATACAAGTACATGCGACACTAGGGGCGTTTTATAAATTTTATACATGCACTACATTTTTCTCTCCTGCAACTTACTACTGCAAATCACTATTACTACCTGATAGGATTTTTAGTACCTGCGCAAACAGGGTTAAAATCACTGAAAATACTTGCAAGAATACAAGGTAATTGTAGTATAAATGCTCATGCAAGGTCGTTGTCCCCAAAGATTGTTTGACTAATCTGTAATTAAACTAACTCTTAATTAATAACTAAAATAGATTTTATCAAAGATTTGAAGTTTATGAATTTAAAAAGATTAAACTAACAGTAAAAGAAATTTGAAAGTTGGGAAATAATAATAGCAAAGAAGAAAAACGATTTCTTTTTAAAGACTAACAATTTAGAGAAAACTAGGGTTGAGCCAACACCGTCGCAATCCTATGCAATTCTATCAATTACTTATGAATTTCCACATATATGCTTTGAAGGTTAGGTTTTCCTAATGCATACTTTCCTTGTGATGTTCAAGCGAAAACGTATATCTAACATGCAATCCGTCTGTGATGTTCAGATCAAATATAAACATGCAAGACTCATTAAGCTTTGTGAAAACCCTTTGAAAAACCATGCAACCCTTAAGAGCGTGATGTTCGCCTTAAGTGAACTTACAATTACTAATCACAAGAAGCCCTCCTCAATTTCAGGGTGATGTTCCAACAGAAATTGCATCAAATTACTTGTCTACATATCCTAATGGTGATCAGTCATTAAAATAGATAGATAGTTTTAAACACAGTGATTAATAATTCAAAGCAAACATGCATCCATTCATAAGCAAATTAATAAAACTACATATTCATGCTAAGGCTTACGGCCTCACCCTAGCAAAAGGAATTAGTTACACATAATCATAATTGAAATCCAATAAAATATCATTCGAATGAGTAAGAATGAAAACACCTGAAAGTAGCGAAAATCCAAAACCCTAGCAATTGCTCCCAAAGCCAAAAAGAAGTTCTAAAAAGGAGATCCCTAACTTGCTGTGAAAAGGAGCTTAAATACCTCCTAAAACCTAGCTACCCAATCCCCATAAGGAAACTAAGTTAAAGTAAAATAAGACTAGGAAATAAAGTCCAAATTGGATTAGGAAAATCTGCCCATAATCTGCCCAGCCACGTTTTAGTCTCAAATCTCCCCCAAATCTGGCCCAAGATAGCTCGTTTTAAAGATAAAAATATTCCGAACACTTCTCCAGAAGGCCACGAACCCATCCGAGGTCATCTTGGGCTCCAAAATCACAATAAAAGCCCAAAACGTCACTATTCCAGCATCGCGCACTGCTCCTTCATTTATTCGCCAGGAAATCATCGCTTGGTGGAAAAGTCTGATATTTTGATACGATCAAGCTAAGTGACTCACGTACGTCCTCCAACTGGAATTACTCCAAAATTCGTCCATTTGATTATGTTTTGCTCCAGAGGAAGTCGAAAGTCCTATATTAGAAATATAATTCAAAGTATCAAAATTCTTCCAACATATTAACCAAAATATACTAAGAATGAGGTTAAATATATAATATAAAATCGACTCATCACTACCCATACATTTGATATCCAACTTTCAGTGAGACTGACAGCATTGAAGCTTCAAACAAACTATGATGATTGGTGGGTGATAATGAAGAAAAACTCACGGAAGCATCATAATTCACAAGTGAGCACCCTTTGTTTGCTGAAACAAAACATCAAATGCAGTGACCTAATATCAATAATTTATTAACGCAAAACTCCACATGAGCCCGTATATATGTTGTTTTTTTCTTAGTTAAAGAACAGCAAAATGAAAAAGTTTAGGCTAAAATTTAATGAATGAATCTCATACAACCACTACACCTTTTCGAATCTTAAGCAAAGTAAAAATCACATTCAATGCGAACAACCCATATATAAATGGGTGAAATAAATAAATAAAAACAAAGGAACTACATTTTGGAAAAAGAAAAGAATTACCACTCACCTCAATGGCTTTGGCAAAGATAAGTAAGCCATTGGCCATCATCAGCAGGAGACTGTGTCAGCAGAATTATCCTCTCTGAGCTCATTCTTCTCATGTGTCACCTGTTCAATTTTCAAACAACTTGCATGAAGATATGGTTGATTAAAAAAGATGCAAATAAGATGCACAAGTTTCTTCTCGGCTCTAACCTACTGATGCATAAGGAATGATCCAAACTAACCAGTCTTAAAAAACAAAAAAAACAAAAAAACAGTAGGGTTTTAGCTAAATACCTACAGAATTAAGTACGCATATATTTTTTGAATCTTCTACGCAAATGACACAGTAACAAAATATTTGGGGGCAAAGAAATTTGTAAAGTTCCTTTATACATAGCTAGATTTTGACAACAGGGGATGCATTCTCCTTTCGTAAGTACTGAATCTGACCAAGCAAGTACTTTTAACAGTCGAGTAGCTGCACACAACATATAGAGGCCTTTCAACTGTTCAGCTGATTTAGTTCTTTACAAGAGTTATCTCAAATTAAGAATGACCCACCATCATATCAAAAAATGATTACAATAAGAGAGTCATGGTGAACTTCTCATAAATAAAAGGCAACTTACAAGGAGCATCAGCCAGCTCAAGAAAAATGACACACGCTTATATTTCTCACTCTCAGCCTTGTGGATTCTCTAAGGAATTTTCCTGTGAATCTTTTTTCTAGGACAAGCCCTGCACATCAAACAGCTTTAAACATCTATCCAAGCAATCTGAGTGATTTTTCATCCTAATAAACAGTCATGCTAATCCACTTGGATGTGTCACATCCATTATTCTAAAGAACTTCACACAATTTGATAATGCCTAGAGGAAATGCAGTTGGAAGACACTCAAAAACCTCTTATAAAGCATGAACATATTAATGCCATTAGTGCAATCATATGGGAGTATGAAGTTCAAAATACATAAAGGAACAGCGGGTTGTTTTTTCTTTATGAAAAACGAATCAGTAATCCACATCAGAAAGATATTTTAACTGACATAAATCAGCTTCATCAACAGGAATCAAATTCTTTGTTCACAATAGAGCCTAAGTGAGCACTTCTGTCAAGAAATCCACATTATTTGAATCCTCTAATCAGTTAGAAAGGCTACCTGTCAAAAACGAATCATATGTATTCTTTCCTTCACATGAATTCCATAAACTTTCTCTGAGAAAATTCTATTCCAAAACGTAGCTGTATTTCTATATTTCTAAGTAGATTTCGACAGGGATGAAACTTATACTGGTTCCACAACATAATGTGTGTACCCTGTATCTTTTTCATCACTCCTTCAGAAATCCCATGTCTAAATTTTCAATTTGCCTTTTTCAAAATGTTACACTACTTTGCATCATAAAGTTTCTAAAGCAGGACAAGCTTTACCGTTCCTAATTACACATGAACATCCAGCCTTTAATTAAGATGCCAAGCATTAGAATATCCAATCCAGATAATAGAAAGTTTCTAGCACTCATAACAATGCTTATGTGCTCATGTGAAAATTAAGATCTGAACAACTTACCCACGCACTGAGGCCTCCGTTACATTAGCCTTGTCAGCCACCGGAGGATCCTGTGAACCCATGATCCAATAACCGTCTCTATGATGAACTAAATAGGGCCTTATATCCTATAATAAGAAGCAATACCAAATTCAGACATTCTTGAATCTTGTCAGATGATCCTCCAAACAACAGTAGGCAACCATATTTATCGTTATTGGGCCTGAATTTTTGCACTCTATGTATAGATATTGAATTTTAAAATGAAACCCTAGTCTGCTTTCCCACAAATGATTGTTCTACCTCAGTGCTCAGTAAACAAAAACCCTTAATCAACTGAACAGAAAAAATATTACAATTAATAAATTGAAGCGATAGCTTTTAACCCTTCTTGTAGAAATTCGATAATTGAACTGCGAAAAAATCGGAATTAGACATCAATTCAACACCAATCCATAAAAAAGATCTTTACTGTTTAGAAAGAAACAAAAAGCCATAATTCCAGAGACCCTAGATCAGAACAAAGAAACCATTTCGTGGAGAAGAAAGAAGAAAACACCCAGAAGGAATATATTTACACAGAAAAATGTAAATGATGAACAAGGTAAGATAACCGTAAGCTTGGCATTTAGGAGGAGGGGAGGAAGACAGAGAGTGTGGCGGGAGAAAACAAGGCGTATGCTATGATCGCCTCGGCCTGAAACATATGTAAGGCATAGATAGTCTCGCCTACAACCACCTCTCTCCCTTGGAAAGGAGTACAAGTGTCACCTTTCACTCGTTTCCAATTCTTTCTACCCACGTGAAAAGCAATGACATCAAAGTTTTGGTGAATGTCAGACATTGTATACAAAACAACGCCATAATTAACAAACGACATAACCCAACAGAGGCATTTGAACCCAATCCTTCTTATCAGGGTTGTATTTCCCAAAATATAGAGTCAAACCTTGTATGAAGGGCTTTCTGGATTCAAGAAAATAAAGTATGCCATATGCCGACACAAGTGTTCCATACTGCTGAAACTGTACAGTAGAAGGTATTAAGGGATCTAATGCCCTAGTTTTCATAAGAAAGATATACCCTCCAAATGACTTAACGCCAGGTTTATCCCAACCCTCCCGTGTAAACACATATAGTTGAGAGTGGTCGAAATTTCCCTGAATGTTAAAAGGACTGAACGTGGCTACAGGTTCAGGTGCTCCTCCTCCGCCCATATCATCAACTTCTCCTCCGAATTTGAATTTAACTTCATATATGGCAGCATTGTATAAGTTCAAAAACTGGAACAGTGCTTCAACCCTTGCTATGTTGGAACTTGGGTGCTTATCATTATAAACCCAATTGAAAATCTACCACTCATAATTCTAATCATAAATCTACCCCATATGGTGGGGATGTGAAGGATCTTCTTACGTACCTTAGGAATCTGAATCATCATTATCATGAACAGGGTTTGGTTGTTTCATCCAATTACCTTAGAAGGTCCTACAACATTTAATTCATCCAATTACCATCAAACAATAGTAGTTTTTAGAGCATTCATAGCATTATATTTTCAGAAATATAGTGAGTTAGTAAAAGAGAATTTATACACAAGTTTGAGTTCGCTTTTCTTGGGGATTGAAGTGTTACTTCAACAAGAAGTCGATCGTTGTATCTTGGGAGACATTTGCCAAGCAAATCCTAAAAGCACCTGTGAGGAAGCAATTTCGTCTTAAGGAGATAGATCCAAGTTCTAGACTTGATCATCTGTAAAGTATTTTTAATTTTTTTTGTCGTTATTTTCTTGTATTTATTTCGAATTTATAGTGAAATTTTATTTTCGAAATTCTATAAATATAGCAATTATCCTTTAATTTTACCAACAATCTTAAGCTTTTTTTTTTTTTTTTTTTTTTTTTTTTTTTTTTTTTTTGGTGGTTTTGTTAATTGCTGCTATATTTTTTTGTTGTGGTGGTTTTTTTTTTTTTTTTTTTTTCTTAAATTTATTTTTTAGTTTCTTAAAAGTTGTAGGTTTACTTTGAAATAAATTGTGGATTTTCCTCTTTATTAAAGGAAAATGATTGGTGATACTAGTAGTGACTGTACTAGTAATGACAAGGGAAAAGGTGTGGCTCATGCTTTACCTGTGGTGATCCCTACTTCCTCCTCTCATGGAGAGAAACTTGAGAAGTTCAATGGAACTGATTTCAAGAGGTGGCAACAAAAGATGCTTTTCTATTTGACCACACTCAATTTGGCCAAGTTCTTGAAGGAAGATGCTCATGCTACTAGTACTACTACAGAAGTGGTTCCTACTGTAGATGCATGGTATCACTTGAAAAGAAATACAAGACTGAATATATGCTGGCATGAAGAAATTCGTGGTTGGTTGATTTCTTGATTTCAAGATGGTGAACTCCAAGACAGTCATCAACCAAGTCCAAGACTCCAAGTTATTTTGCATGAGATTGAGGTGAAAAACATGGTTTTGAGTGAGGCTTTCCAAGTGGCTACAATCATTGAAAAATTGGCACCATCCTGGAAAAGATTTCAAGAATTATCTCAAGCATAAGCACAAAGAAATGAGACTTGAAGATCTGATCTTGAGGCTAAGGATTGAGGAAGACAACCGTGGTTCTGAAAAGAAAACCAGTGGTAACTCCATGGTGGCTAAAGCACATGTAGTAGAGGATGGGTCAAAGAACAAGAAAAAAAGAAAGCACTCAGGGCTAAAGCCCCCTCAACAAGCACGCACGTGAATTTATCGCTTAACTGCGATGCACGGGTTCAATTGTGCAAAAGGCCAGCTGTGCGTAGAGTCCAATGACACTTTGAAGCGACCTAGATTAATTGGCTCTTGCGATCCAACTACTAGCTCCCATATGACGATCTAGATTTAATTTGACCAAATCTAACGATGAAAAACAAAAGATCCAATGGTTGAAATGCCTAAATTAGATCCAATCCCAAAAGTCATCCCAAACTTTATCAATACCCATTCACTTATTTAATAATCCACATCAATTTCTTCCTCTCTCTCTCACTAACAAAGTTTCTTTAACATTCTAATCTTTTTAGGGAGTTTCACTAAAACACCCAAAATGGGGGTTGAAATTATAAAAAAACCCAACACCCAAAACACTTTATAAACACACCCAAAACCCATCATTACACACACTCAAAACCCATTTATAAACACACCCAAAAAATATACAATTGTTGATTTTGAGGTTGATTTTGGGTGTGTTTCTATGTTTAAATAGTGCTTGGGTTTTTTTTATAAATACATGTCTAGAATTGGGTTTATTTATAAATTTGTAATCTTTTATTCTCCTTTCATTTTTCTAAGTTCTTATGTAATTTTACCTCAATAATATATTATCGCTTCGATAAAAAAAATCAATAATAATTCCTCTTTTCTAATTAATATTAAGAGAGATTCACTATTATACTTAATATATGAGCCCAAATTATAAAAAAGACTCTATATGAAATGAATTTTAGAAATACACCAAAAACTTATTTACAACATAACAAAAAAGTTTTAAACTTCTTTTAAATTACAAAACTGCCATTGATTTCTTAAAACAAACCCAACCCTAAAACCTCATAAAAAAATCCCAAAACACTTAATAGGGTATCAAAGTAATTTAATAATCAAAATTAAATTCAATAAGGAGTTGTCATTTTTTAGGTTTTTTTTTTGTTTGTTTGTTTATAGAAATTAAATGGTACAGGGTTTATCTATATTATTAGTGCTAAGTATGAGTATATGAGTGAGACACAGGGTAATAGTAATTAGTTTTGCTAAGGATGTTGGTTGGTATTATTTTATTTTTATTTTTATTTTTTGCTTCTTTCAAATTCTTTTCAAAGGGTAAAATTGAATTTTAGAGTTTGCAAATGTAGGGTATGAAGAGCAAATTGTTGGGCCGAAATAGACTTCCTTCCCCCACATACATATTTGGTTTCTGCTAACGGATAGGATAAGTCCATGGCAGAGTGAGTGAACAGCTCACTTGTTGTAGCTTTAAGCCTTTCCCCTCAAATCAAAACAATGGCAGCCTCTGCAACTCTTTCCTTGTGCTCTTTGTTCGCAACCCATTGCAAAATCTCACAGAACCTTCAAACCCCCTCCGGCAATGTCAGCTTTCTGTCTCTCTCTTCTTCTTCTTCTTCGCACAAGCTGTCTTCCTCCTCTTCACGACCCACATTCCCTCTTCTAACCAAGTCGGCGGAAGCTGAATCTGCTGTGGTCGTCGAGGCCGAGTTTCAACCCTCGGAGTCTGAGGCCAAACCTGATGATACGGAGCCTGCGGCTTTGCAGGTGGTTGAAACCCCTTCATCCCCAAAACGCGAGCAGTTGTTTGGTGTTGTTATGGTATGTATTCAATTTCAATTCATTGACTGAATTTATGGTTACCCAGATGTTTTAAGCTGAAAAAATGGCGTTTTTGGTCATTAATTTTGTTGTTCAGTTGATTAACCAGCTGGCATTTTGTTTGTAATTACGTTTTTGCTTAGTTTCTTTTCTCTAAAAACAAAAGTTCGAATTTTGGGTTCTCTATTTAGATCATAATTGCTAATCTTATGACTGGGTTTGCTTGTGTATGATGTCTGTTTAGATTGGTGGGCGCCAATACATTGTTATACCTGGACGATATATCTATACTCAGAGGCTGAAAGGCGCTAATGTCAATGATAAGGTATGATATTCTTCTCATTCTTTGGTTACTAGTTACTTGAATTCTTGTCATGTTTGTTCCATTTTGGCTTTAATTGTAGTTTTGGCAATTCTTGTTGTAGTTATATCTAGCTTTAACTTAGTTTTGTGAAATTTTTTGCTTTAATTGGATTTTTATACATTGCCGGTACAAGAATCACACACAAGTGCAGTAATTTTGATGAAGTTAATAGGCTTTTACTTCTTGGGTTGGCATGAGAAACATTCCATTTCCAGTGACATGCCTTAAATTATTAACCCCATCAGTTGAGAACCTGTGAAATTAGGTGACTTTCAGCTAATGTTGCATCAAATCATAAATTGTTGGAACCATAGTTACAGAAAACTGTTGATTGAAAATGCTGCGATGAGTCAATCCTTTACAAGATATTGTAGACGCATTAATTATAACTGTGGAAGGAACTTGTTTGCAACTATTGGCCTTCTATTTCCTATTTCACAAGTAATCATTTCAAGACAAAGTCATGGGCGTTTGATCTATGCCGATAACAAATTTCTTATTGACTAATGAGGTTACCCTTTATTGGTAGAAAGGAAAATCAGGAACACGGCCCTCAGTTTATGAGCTTTGCCCTCTCGTGGAATTCTTTTGGGTTTGCTTATGGTTGTAAACAGCTTGGGATCAAAATCTAGTTTTCTTTTTTGGGTACACAATACTTCAAGGGAAGCGTCTAATAATTTTTTTTAGTGAAAGTAGTGCATTAACAGTATGCTCTTCTACTGTACCTAGAATTTTCAATGTTTAGGTGTAAATGCCCTTGCTATTAGTATCTACTTTCATGAATGCTCCTTAAATAACCAAGGCAGTCAATGATAGAGGTAAATATTATGGTAAGTAATTCCATCGCCTATTATAATTGTATAGTCCTTTGGTTTCCTGTGAGATACTGACACTTGATGAGGGAGAATGAGGAAGTACTATGAACAATGGGTTTCCCTTTTTGTGGATGCACTTTTTTGGAGGAGCAATTTCAGCTAAAATATTTGCTTTTCACTTTGGAGAGCTACACTGTTCACTTGTACCTGTATTGGCACTTCTTCAGGATCTTAGTGCTAGATTCTTTTCGTCTTGTTACACTATCTTTTCCATAACACAATTAACGTGGTCTTCTCCTCTGTTATCCTGAACTAAAAAGAAGAAATAAAAAGGAAGAAGAATTTTACAACTCAATTGATAGTTTATCCTCCATTGCCTTGAAATTGAACTATGAACTTATGGATGCTTGAAGAAATAGTGTGCAATCTTGGTTCATAAAAGCTGCATTAAGTTTTGGGTTTAGATTTCCAGTAACATGCTTTAAATAACTTTGGTTGTTCAATTTTGACAAAAACTCTCCTTTGCATTACACCGACCGATGGGTATGCCTTGTCAATGAGAATATGAAATAGTTCAGAGTATATTTCAGCATGTCATGATGGAGTTAGAATATAGGTTATTCTAGTTAGCGACATAATTTAATTTCTCTTTCATGATGGAATTATAATATTTAGAATATATTTCGGTATGTAACATTGAGAACCTTTTTAGGGTTTGTAATGGTATTAACAGTTTGTTGAAAATTGGATAGATGCGAAAGAAAATAGAGAGTAATTGGAAGAATAATAATCAAGATATGAAAACCTATAACCACACTATTGTCTTCTAGGAACCTCAATGTCTCACCTTACAAAGTATAAAACATTCAGAAAGTCCTACGCATTTAGCAACAGAATCTGCAAATTTCTAATAAAATATGGAGATTCTTTTCAAACTTTTAGAAGGGGAAAGACTTTTCAGTAACTAAACAGTGCACGTACTTCACCTAAACAAGGGTAAAAGAAACTAGACTCATGACTAACCAACTTCTTATTATGAATCCGAAACACCTCAAATCTCAAATTATAGATGTACCAAAGCGTAGAGGTTCTTCCCTTATCTCCCTTTATTTTTAACTCCATAGAATGTACTTTTGCTTTACTAGAATCCATCAATAGTTGGAGAATACCGTGGTCTGTTGTCTAGCCTTTAAATAATGATTCAAAATCATTAATTCTTTCATGACCCAAAAAAATCTTTAATTCTTTATATTTATAAAACCAGTGATGTTATCAGCATTGGCTCTTTTATTTGCAAGAACTGATCGTTGCTTTGTTCTCAAGATGTTTAAACTTGATATTATGCAGATTGTTCTGAACAAGGTATTGCTTGTGGGAACAAAAACAACTACCTACATTGGAAAACCAGTGGTGACAAATGCTGCTGTACATGCTGTAGTTGAAGAGCAAGTATGTCACTATATCATAATGAATTGATCGCTTTTACCCTCACAAATAATGTGTCTCTATATGTGTGTCTGCGTATATTTTCTGCGTCTTATTGTGACATATTATTGTGCAGGGACTAAATGACAAAGTAGTTGTCTTCAAGTATAAAAAGAAGAAAAATTATAGGAGAAACATTGGTCACCGACAGGTATTACTTTCATTCATCTCATTTCTTTGTGAGCTAACCAGAACAGTAGAGTTTATTCATGAGTGCAACTAAATTTGTTGCAATGACTTGATTTCATATATGGAAACAAGGAAAGAAACAAAGTTTCAATTTTTTATATAGTTTTTTGGCCTAATAGGATGATAGAAACGAAGTTAGAGCATACAGGTATATGCATTATGCATATACTGCAATGAGACTTTGCTTCTCATTTATTTTATTACCCTCAACTTTTATTTACCCTAGTTTAAATTCGAGTCCTATTTCCTGATCAGTCATGCGCCCAGTTCATTTGACTCTCGAATAAAATGTATAAAGCAGGTATTCAATGCTCAAAATTTCTATTTACTTGACATTTTGGCAAGTTTAACCGTTGGATACATGGATACCCTGAAGGGATACACAAGGGATATGAGATGGATACAAGAGGGGTTTATTGATTCGTGTAGATGTTTTTGGGAACAGCGAAACTGAGGGTAACTTTGAAAAAAGTCTTAGAATTGTTTTTGAAGAGGGGATTTGAGTGGTATTATATAATGTTAAGGGCTGATATGAGCACAAAGCAAAAGATAAAGTAAGAAAGAAAGAAAATTTGATATGGTAGTTCACTATGTGTTATGGATTATGTGACTGTATGCCGAGTCTCACCGTGAATTGGGTCTATATGGACTATATAGGCGACAATCATCTTCGTTAGTGACTAATTCTTTTAGGATTTTGACCCCATGTGGTGAGCACATTCTTGAGTTGTGACGAGATTTTCGGGTATTAGAGTCAATAAAGTACCATACTGACAAGATTTTTGGGGAAATTTATGTATGAAATGGAAATATGAGTGGTGATTTCCCCACTCCAATTTTATCCACTTTCACTCCATTTTATAACTAAAAAAGGAGTGTAAGTGGATAAAATTGGAGTGGGGAAATCATTACCCTATATATATATATATAGGTATCTTACTAGTACAAGCTGCTGAATCTTGCAGAGTGCATCACATGTAATTTACTCAAACCAAACTCAGTTATTTTAATTTATCATCATAGCTAGGACGCAAAGGCAGCAATGTGTACTTTTAGTTTTCTGTATACTTTTCGTCCAGTGCCCCAAGCTAGAAGTTCCTGTATAATCGAGCAAGCACCTATAGCTTATAGTTTGTTATATGTTTTTTTATTTTTTTATTTTTATAATCAAAATTATGAAAACGAAGAGACACATATACCTTTATCCCTTGGGATGAAAACAAACTTTTGTATGTGTTTTTCTTAAGATCTTATATATGTCCTTGATCAAATACACACATCACTTTTCCTCTTAATTGCCTATTCCTGTTTTGATGCTTTTGATTTAGTTTTAACTCATTTCATGTATCCAGCCAAATACACGGATAAGGATAACAGGCATCACTGGCTACCAAGACTATCCAGCAGTTACCCTCGAGTCGTAACCACATAGGGGGAGATTTCGGTTCAGGATTTGTTTTTTGGTTTTTGGTTTTTTGTTTTTCATGCTTCTGAATATATTCTTGAAGTAGTGAATCTGGATATTCTTCCTTCTAGTTTCGTTGCCTTTCTCATTTTGTATGTAAGCCGGTAGATGGATTACCGTTCGTTTTGCCCAAAATGCATAGTGTCATTATCCGTTCTGTTCATACGACTTTCACATGATTGCGAAGTTTCCTTTGATGCATTTTACATGGTTGCCTTCTACCTCAAAGAAAGATAAAAAGGGTAAACAAAAGAAAAAGGTAGGCTTAGCAACTTGCCATGTGAAGCACACTGGTTTCAAACAAATAAAAATATGACTCATTGGCCTATTGTATTTAAATAAATAAGCCATAGCCCAAACGATTTTCAGATGGGTGTTTTTTTTGGGGTTAGAGAATGCAAACCTCTGCATGTGTTTAGAACAGCGGTCGTAGAACAGTAGAATTCCCTGAAATCACATAAATTACTTCAGTCGACTTCTGATAGTCGAGGAGTCTGCAAGTACCTTGAAATCACAGAATTCCAAGAAACCACATCCCTCTCAGGCATAACATCAAAACAAGACTGCGCGAACCCAATGTCGCCACTCTCAGCATACCTGAAAATCATAGTGTTACATGAGACCATGTCCCGATGCGACATTCCATCAAATGCCTTGCATATTCCAAAATGTAACACTACATATATTTGGATCAAACAACTTGTAACAGATACAGTAGGTGGCTCGACCAGAAAAGATCATGCGTGCATTGTTTGCCCCGATTCAAAGCTCTGCCGTGGCAGTATTGCTGGAAAATGGGAGACGGTTGAAGTTCTTGGTGGCAGTTGTTTGGCATTGAGTGAGAGTAGAGAATGCATAAATTGGTAGTGTTGGAACAAATATTATAGGGAGAGAGAAGCGTCTCGTTGTCGGCGGGTAAATTCATATGTTTTTTATTTATAATTTTAATTTATTCTTTAAAGCACAAATTTATTTACTTACACTATTTTATGATGAGCTTGTATCATAAAGAGATCACGACGTGAAGTTTTGTAACTGAATTAAAACATGAAGTTCTTTGAATTTAAATAATTGAGGGAATGAAGTTTCTCGGTTCTAATTGCAACAATCAACATAAATTTTGGTAGATTTATTTATGTTTACGCAACAGGGTATTCGGCACACTTTTGCCGCATGCAAAAACATTTGGTAGTTTGTAGTGTTTCCTTCTCTTCAGGTAGGTTAATAGAATGAGGTATGGTCATTCTTTGTTTGCGATGCATGGAAGCATACCAAGCCGCCAAAAATGGCTTGAATGGAAAGATAGTATGGGATGTGCTTGTAGTTTTGACTTCTAATCATATAATTGTTCGGCCAAGCAAGAAACTTCATTTGGCCTAGGTTTTTTTTTACTTCATTGGGATCAAGAATGGTTAGGTTTTGGATTTTTAATTTTATGTTGTTGGATTTTTAGGATTTATGATATGATGAATGTAAATGCAAGAAACTAAATGACAAGAAAGTAAGTGTGTTTAAACAAAATAGAAAAACAATGTATAAACTTAATAAAGCGAAGAACCAACTATAAACTACCAAAAAAATAAACTTAAAACTAAGGGATTTTTGTACGCATGTCACTTGAGGATGGAAAATTGGATGGTGTTAAAGTCATATGACAAATCATGGATTTTGAAAAATTAAGGTGACATTTCTCTTAATTTTTATTTAAGGTAACAAATTGAAACTGAAGTATAAGTTCAGGTGACATTCCGACAATTATCCCTAGAACTTATTAAGTAAACTTGAATAGAAAAAAACTTTGTATTTAAAGAAAACAACTTAAATTAAAATGACTTGAAATCTAATAACAATGGAATTTACAATGCATGAAAATAAACTAGAAAACTGAAGAACTTGGCTATACTATGTGGAAAGTACGAACTAGACTAGTTAGGAAGTGAAAAGTGCAAGATAATGAAGTAGAGTTTGTGTGTTGTGTTTGAGGTCCTATTTTCTTATTCGGATGATATATATATATATATGGGCTCGTTTGGGAGTGCTTCTTTCCAAAGAGCTTATGTCATAAACGCTTCTACAAAGAAGTAGTTTGTTGTTTGGATGTCACATTTAAAAGTGTTTTTACACTACATAAAAGCACTTTTGATATTTTGTTAAGTGTTTGGTTGACACAGTAAAAGTGCTTTTAAAAGTACTTTACAAAAATTTAAAGAATTCCAAAATATTATAATAAACATAGGAAATAAAAATTCACAGGATCTCAAAATAAAAACACGACTTAAAAAAGTAAGAACTTCACCAAGTATAATTTTTAATCATTTTTTGAAAATAAAAAAGGAATTAACCAGATATAAGAAGATTTGCAATTCTCTCACGTTCGTCAGCCATCTCCCGCCCAGGGGTTAGATTTTGTTCTTCAACCATCTCTTCCCCTATAGTAACTCCCGCCCCTCCAGAGGGAAGTAGCTCATCATCATCATCATACGGTTGAAATTCTTGATCTGTCATGGAATGACATCTTATAAAGTTTTGAAGAGCCATTGAAGCAACAACTATTTGTATTTGTTTTTCCATAGGAAAGTTATGCATTTGTCGTATCATTCTCCAACGATTTTTCCAAACACCAAAAGTTCTTTCGGTTATGCATCTTAGGGAAGAATGCATGTGGGTATTTTCGGCATTTTAAAAGTTTCATTAAAGGGAGTCAAGTGCTTCCCGTGTTTTTGTCCTGCAGCGCTTTTAAGAAGAAGCACCTATCAAGTGCTTCTTCCAAAACCACTCCAAGTGCTTTTGGATCTCACCCAAAGCACTTTTGCAATTTTTGCAAAACACCATTTTTAAAAGACATAATCGCTTTCACCCATTTAGAAGCGCTTTTCACTGCTCCCAAAGCACTCCTAAACGAGCCCTATATATTCAAATTGTTGGGCATGATTGGCACTTAATTGTAAACTAGCCTCTCCGCACACGCTTCCGTGACTGCGAGAGGTTTTTTTAAACAAAAAATAAATTTATTTTAGAATTAAAAAAATATAATGGGTAGTTGTGTTCCATATAATATGATCCATTATCTGATTTTTTTTTAAATTTTTTTAATATTTAATTTAATTTTTTTTACCAAGGGCATTTTCTAGTATTTTGGATGTTTTACCATTTCTTGCATTTTGCTTTATATATACTAGCCTCTCCGCATGCGCTTCCGCGCATGCGAGAGGCTTTTTATAAAAAAAAAAAAAAAATTATTTAGAATTAAAAAAGATGATGGATAGTTGTGTTCCATAAAAATAGGATCCATTATCTAATTTATCTTTTAATTTTAATTTTTTTTTAATATGAAAAACTATGAATTTACCATATTATCCTCATTTAATTAATAATTTCAATGCTTAATGTTTGTACTAACCAAGGGCATTTTCTGGTATTTTGAATGTTTCATCATTCTCTGCCTTTTGCTTTATATATATAGATATAGATTAAGTGGATATGTTTAATTTAATTTTCTATTAGAATTTTGTACCTATATTGTTTTATGTACGGTGTGAAACCGAGCTTCCCAAGTCTCTCGTTCCCAACGGCCCTCTAGAACGTAACCCCCCTTCCCCACCCATATTGCTTGGATTATTCTTTCTCTTCTTTGACTATTTAGTCAGGCAAGTAGTGCATGAGAAAAGTGTGCTTGTGTATAGCAACATTAATTCGACAAACAAGAAAGTAATATCCTTCGTAAGTGTGCTTGGCTATTTAATCAGGCAAGTAGTTTATCTTCTTTAGATATACAAAGCACCATTAATATCCCTCGTAAGTGTTACGACATGAATTCGACGAAAAAAAAAAGTAATTGTCACGGCATGAAAAGTTTTCAGAGGTTTAAGATGGATAATTGAAGATGTTGAATTGCAATTTGCATTCCTATTGTCAGATAGGTGTAGGTAGTTGCGTCTTTCATTCAGGTATTGGAAATTGATGTGAAGCCTGCGTCTATTCAGCTAATAAAAATTTCATCATCCATTTGAATTCGAAAAACTGGATTTTTCGAAGAGTTTTGAAACATACATGCACTCAACAATTTTTTATACTGAATTTGGAAGAGAATTTTCATTTTGAACTTTTTTGGATTGGAATTGGAATCCCCTGATTATGATATGAAGTCCTCATGTAACATCCCACATCGATCAACGAAGAGGGGGTGATGTGCCTTATATGTACATACCCACCTCTATCTAGCACGAGGCCTTTTGGGAGCTCACTGGTTTCGGAGTCATAGGAACTCTGAAGTTAAGCAAGTTTGAGTTAAAGTAATCCCGGGATGGATGACGCACTGGGAAGTTGCTCTTGAGTTCCTAGAAACAAAACCGTGAGGGCAAGTGGGGTCCCCAAAGCGAACAATATCGTGTTACGGTGGAGCCGATTAGGAGCTTGACATAATGGTATCAGAGCCAATCTGCCGTGTGGTGCGAGTGTGCCGACGAGGACGTCGGGCTCCTAAAGGGGGGTTGATTGTAATATCCCACTTCGACTAACAAAGATGGGGTGATGTGCCTTATATGTACATACCCACCTCCATCTAGCACGAGGCCTTTTGGGAGCTTACTGGCTTTGGAGTCATGGGAAGTTCGAAGTTAAGCAAGTTTGAGCTAGAGCAATCCCAAGATAGGTGACCAACTGGGAAGTTTCTCGTAAGTTTCTAGAAATAAAACCGTGAGGGCAAGGGGAGCCCAAAGCGGACAATATTGTGCTATGGTAAAGCCAATCCAGGGCTTGACACCTCAGATTAGGAGATCCAATTTCAAGTGGTTAAGAGCATTTACCTAAGCACCTGAGGTCTTAGGTTCGATTCTCCCTCCCCATTATCACTTGTATAAAAATAAAATAAAAAATCTTACATAGTGGACAATCATTGAATGCTCAGTTGGTCATTCAGTTGACATTACTGAACCCATACCTCATTCGGTGGTTTTCTCTTAAGATTAAAGTAAGCCCTAAACCTTACTAAAGTTAGGTTTCAAGAAATGAGATAAGGTACCAAAAAATTGTTTATAGGCATCATTTTTTCGTTGTTGCTTTGACAATAGGAAGGTGATGCTTATTAGAAAAGACATCGGGGAAAAATCAATGCATATTACCATAAATAACGACGGTAACTTCAAAATCAACTGATGCTTAATAACAACGGTCCACTTATGCCTAGACAAGAACCACTCCACTTATGATATATTTACAAATATCTTAAATATGTTTAGCATCGGTTATTTCTCAAACAATGCAGTGTCTAAAAATCATAAGCATCGTTTTCTTCACTTCTGTTGTATTTCCTGATATCTTAAAATATGTGTAGCATTTAGTTACTTCTCAAACATTGTAGTGTCTAACTTTCGTAAGCATCATTTTCTTCATATTTCAGAAGCCTTTTAACAAGAACCACTTCACTTTTGGTATATTTCCAGATGTGTTAACAAGTAAAAATAACAATTTCATGTTATAACATGATGTTTAATTATAGTTATGCCATTTGTCCGAACTATAGCATAATTCAAGTGATGTTTTAAGGACAACACATTTTTTTGTCCCTTGCAGTTTAACTATTGTAATGTCAAACTAAAAAGTCATATCTTCATTAATTTTTTGTCCCTTGAGTTTTTAGTCCATACCTCACATTGTTATTATGAATAACTACATGTACAGTGTTGTAGTGGTCGAGTATGGAGGGTAAATTAGGTTTTTCAAAAAAATTAAAGCCTTTTAAAATAAAAGAAACTATATTTTTATTTGAAATTGATCATAAATAACAAAAAAAAGGGGGTTACCTAAAGAGAGAAGCCTCAAAAGGTGAAACTTTCAAAAACCTAAACCATGGTTAGTTAATTTGATTTTTTTTTTTGGTGTCAAAAGTTAGTAAAGGGGAGGGAGATTTTCTTACATACACTACTAATTTGCCATTGTGATTTGAACCTGACACACCACTTGTCTACAATTCAAAATAATTTTTTAGGCGGCTTGACCCTGTTATCATGGTTAATTAAATTGTTAAGAGACTATGGGGGTCTTTTTTGTTGAGAAGGCTTAGCTGGGCTTGATGGTTGCTAGGTCTTGAATAAAGCGTTCAAGTCCCCTTTTTTGAGTAAGCAAGAACTAGACCCAAAGTATCCCGAAGTAGAAGCAAGTCCTAGGGAATACTCTGTTCTTCTTCTAGCAGCTCTTTGGATTTCTATGGCTGCATGAGTTGATATAGAGACCACATGAGCTTGGCATGGTGAGTCAGAATATTAAAAGGCTTGGCATGAGAGGTCTGTGGTGTGGGAGCTAAGTGCCCATAAGTTTAGCATGAGAGAGAGACTTGCATGAGGAATGAATGATTATGGCAGTGTGTTGTGGCATGGTTTGGGTAGTGTTTAAGGCTTGAGATGGTATTCAGGGCATGGTGATAACGGCTAGAGGATGAGCTTGCCTCTGGCTACTACTTGGTTGTGTGGTGGTTGTGTTGGTGTTTTGGGCTTGAAGTGGTATAAGCATGATGGAGGAAGGCTTGGGCTTTGTATGTTCATGGCAGTGGGTTTTCTGGATGATGTTCATGACTTGGAGTGGTTTACAGAAGAAGAGAAGATATGGCTACTGCTTGGCTATGTGGTGGTTGTGTTGGTGTTTTAGGCTTGAAGTGGTATAAGCATGATGCAGAGGTTAAGGCTTGGTTTTGGGTATTTCTAGCAGCTAGAAGATGAGCTTGCCTCTGGCTACTGCTTGGCAGTGTCTGGGTTTTACAATGGCTAAGGCTTGTTGGTGTTTTGTAAAGGGTGAGATTGCCTCTTGTTTGTTTTTAGATGATGTGCAAGGTTTTAGAATGGCCAAGGCTTGGTGTTTTCTAGCAGAGGGTAAGCTTGCCTCTGCCTCTCTTCCCCCCTCCCCTCTTGGCAACTGATGCCTCCCTTCTATAGGTGTTGGGAGTTCCTGGCAGTTGTGGAAGATTGGGTTGTTAATGCAAGAAGATGAGGCGTTGGTGGCTAAGGCTTTAATTGAGTTTGACTGGTTTTGCTGCTGAAAGGGTTGGGTAGTAGGCACCACAACCTAGTTATAGAGCTGCTGGAAGGGTTTAGTGCCCGAAGAAATTGGGAGTTGAATAATAAATGCTCTAGCTCGACCGTTGGTTACGGTGTGGGTTTTATTGCTGGGAGGTTAGGCATGTAGCTTTTAGTGCTTGAAAGTTGGCAGCTGGGGGTTGAGTGCTGGGAAGAAAATGTGTGATCTCTCTCTGCTTACCCGTGTGTATTGGGCTCAGGAAAGTGGGCATCAGTTTTGGTGCTCCCAAGCAGCCCAAAACTTCCACTTTCTAATCCCTCAACAAGCCTTATATACCCTTGTAACTATCCACACCACGACTCGCTCAGTAAGTCCCAGACATGTATATTGGCATAGCATGACTTGTATATTATTTAATGAATTAATTTCCAAAATACAATTTGGATTAGCATGTGATAATTATTGTATGTTACATTGAGCTTTAAATATATTTGGGCTTCTTGTAACATTTTGGGCCTCAACAAAGACCAAATCCTAATATCTTAAGAGTGAAATAGTACAAAATTGATCATTTAACTGAAATTCTAGGAAGAGCACAGAATTATGTAAGCGATGGATATGTGCCCACCCACGCATATGTTTACAACAATAAAAGAAGCTAGCCGATGAGAAAAAGCAAACACTACAATTGTTTTCAGAATTGCAAAGTTGCAACTGAAACAAAACCGCATCCAAAACGTTTGTATCCTTATCCAAATTTGTCCTAACTCCACATGTTTACTATATGATCCTTTTAGGGTACATAAACATGTATATAATATGTAACTCTTTAAAAGAGTTCATTTGAATTTCTGGACATTCTCTTCCCACTCGTATGAAACATCTGAACTATCTTAATATTTTAGTTTCCTCCAACATTTCACCTACAAAGTAAACTAATACATCTTCTTTTCTTTTTCTTTTTCTTTCTATTCTAAAGAAAAACTTAAGTAGAGCATTCGTTGCATTATGGCAAACAGTAAGATAAACAGTTGAGTTTTTGTTGTTGAAAACTTAAATAGTTAATTTGAAATTAGACATCATACATTTTTCATTTCACCTTCATATGAATTTTAAGTTCATCATATATATATTTGAAACATCACACATTTTCCATTTCACCTTCATATGAATTTTAAGTTCATCATATATATAATTCAAATACACACACACACATATATATATATATATATATATATATAAACTTGATTCTTAGGATTGAACTGAAAGCCTTGTTAAATTCTTAGGGCTGTCCTTTGAGTGATGTAGTGATTAATTTAAGAATCTTATGTGTGGACTCTCGTTGAATGCTTAGTTAGTCTTTCAATTGACATTTGCTGAACCAATACCTTATTTGCTGGTTTTCCTTAGATTAAAATGTTGTAGTCGTTGAGTAAGGAGAGTAAATTAGGTTTAAAAAAAAGATTTAAATGCCTTTTAAAATAGAACAAGAGTGTTGCTATTTTCACCTCCTGTCCTATTTTTCCACTCACCTTATCTTCAAAATTTTAAAGACAAATTTACCCATTTGTAAAATGATTTATAAGGACTTACGGACAAATTTACACCATTCTCTTTTAAACATTTACCCATAATATTTTCAAAAGCTACAAGGCATAGAATAAAAAAAACTAAAAGATTCATAAAATCAAAATATTATACTAAAATATTTATGATTAGCAAAGAGAATTTGCTTGAATTAATAATTTAAGGGTATTCTTATTCTAGGAATAATGGTGGGTGAGAATAACAGCACTCTAGAACAAACTAAGTTTTATCTAAAATTGATTAGAATTTCAAATGACAAGAAATGAGGTGCAGATATGGGCTTGTTGGCTAGAGCGGATGTGCTCTTCACTTTGTATCCGAGTTCAAATTCTCCTTCCAATAGTTTAGATTAATTTAAATTAAAAAAAAAAGAAAGATATAATATCGCTTGTATTAAAAAGAAAAAAGAAAAAAAAAGAAATGAAGTCATTTAAAGAGAAAAGGTGAAACTTTCAAAAACTCAAACCAGTAAAAAGCTTATCTTTTAGATGAAATTACAAGAAAGTACAAAATTATAATCCCACATACTATTTTATTAAAATAGTAAAGAGCATACCCTTTCTGTTTTATTTATTTATTGTTTTAATAAAATTAAATTTAAAAAAAAATACAAAATATGTATTAACAAAAATGGCATCCACCAGACAGTTCGCATCCTTATCCATTTTTGTCCGAACTCTACAGCTACACCTAAAAAAACCCATTTAATTCTGTTGAAAATTCGGATATGCTCTCTCCCTCCTCACTTTTGCAGTGTTGATCACGACTCATCAACTTCATACTAACAAATCCAACGGTTCAGATTCAGTACTTCACCATCTGATCCTTTTACCGTACTCCGCGAAGCAGAGGATAACTAATCAAACGTCACAATTATAAGATCAAGATAGCGTGAAGCCTAAAGCAATTATTCAGAAAATTGAAATCTCAACAGTTTGGTTTCCTTCTTCCTTTTCCATTTGATTTTCCCCCACTTTTTCTCTCTCTCCAAACAGCTACGGAGTTTCTGTCGAGCTTCGAGTGAAATGGAGATGGCTATGGAGGACTCATGCTCTCATTCGCTTCTCTTCATGGCTCGTTACGCTCTGCAATCTGACGGACGAACGCCGCGGTTTCTAAAGAATCCTATACAGAGTACGCTACGAATAAGTAATTTTCCGGTTTTCTGTGCTAATTTCTAGATTTATATAGTTTTAGATTTGTTATTGTCGTCTTCAATTGCTCTTTTGTGCCTGAATTTGAAGAATTGGAAACGGAAGCTCTAGGTTATGGTGAATTTAGGAGAACTTGTGTTTTAGATTCTAGTCGATTTTGGAAGTTCTGTGCTGTTTATGAAGAACGGTGGTTCATGTATAAATTCTAGGGTTTCGGGAAATTCTCGTGGAGTTGAGCTTCTTAGGTTTTCACATGCTTGGTAAATTGTCTGTGGCTTGAATATCTCTTGAAACATCACCAAGTGAAGTTTGACTTTCAGCTCGTGTTATTGAAAGAAGTAGAGGGACATTTGAAGTTGAACTTGATTTTTGGTGGGAAGCTTTAATGGCGGGAAGGTGGGAGCTCGGGTTTCCAAAGACTAGTGCTAGTAGTCTTAGAGAGCAGGCAACAAGAACAATTCTTCGCAATGTGAGGTCGCAAGGGCACACATATGTTGAGCTCCGAGAAGATGGGAAAAAGTTCATTTTCTTCTGTACTTTGTGTCTGGCTCCATGTTATAGTGATAAGGTGCTGTTTGATCACTTGAAGGGTAATCTTCACAAGGACAGGTTAGCTGCTGCTAAGGTTACTCTGTTGCGACCAAACCCATGGCCTTTTAACGATGGTGTGGCTTTCTTTCATAATCCAGATGAGACTGATAAACATTTGGTGATTACAGATGGCAATAAATTTAGGATGTTGGAGTCTCCTGACGATGAAAACAATCTTGCTATTGTCAAGTATGGGGAAAATCTGATATCCAATGGCAATGAGCATGTTGGTACTGATGGTCTTGAATGTAATGGCTCTTTAGATTTTCCGAGGGTTCGTTCAAATTTCAAATTTAGTTGCTCTAATGAGAATTCAACTGCTAATGAAGTGAATTCCTCTGTAGTGATCCCTAGTGTTCTGGTTAGGGATGATGTTACTGACATAGAAGCAAAGAAGGTAGGCTTGGGACAAATGCTGCAAGGTTCCTTGAGAAGGATAAGGTGTCAAAAGGTATTGGTAGAATATGGTGTGAATGGTTGGGGAAAAAAGCTATTGGCAACGAGTATCATTTAAAGGTTCCTGAGCACGACTTCGCTGTTGTTACCTTCTGTTACAATATTGATTTAGGTAGAAAGGGGTTGCTTGATGATGTAAAGATGCTTCTCTCTTCCAGTCCTTCAGTAGAAACAGAAAATGGTGAAGGCAGCAGCAGTAAGAGAAAGAAGTCCTTTTCTGATCCCGAGGATATCAGTGAATCTCTAAGTAATCAGTATGATTCATGTGGGGAAGATTCCTCTGCATCCAGTGGTGCATCATCAAAGTTGCTTTTAGACCGGTACGACGATCAGCTTCTGCACACAAGATTTATTTTAAACAAGTCTATAAGGAGAGAGTTGAGGCGGCAACAGCGTTTAGCTTTAGGGAGAATGTGTGATATATGTCAACAGAGGATGATTCCTGGGAAAGATGTATCAGCCCTCATAAATTGAAGACTGGAAGGCTTGCTTGCAGTAGTCGAAATGTGAATGGGGTGAGAATCCTAAATAACTTTCATCATACCCTTCCTTCCCTCCCCCACGTTCTGGAACTCCATCTTCTTAATTTTGCAATGTATGCATTCAATTCTGCATTTGGGTGTGTTACTCTAAACTTATAATGTAGTTCTTATAATTTTATTTTGTTCACATGCAGGCTTTTCATGTGTTTCATACTTCCTGCCTTATACACTGGATACTTCTGTGTGAGGTTGAGATTGCAAATCAGTCCACTAATTCAAAAGTGAGAAGAAGATCTAGGAGAAAAAATGCAGCCAAGTGCAATGGACAAGATGGTCAGATGAAAGCTTTGAGCACGCAAATCCATTCTGTATTCTGCCCAGAGTGTCAGGGTACTGGTGCAATCATTGATGGAGATGACCTGGAGAAACCAAATCTCCCTCTGTCTCAGGTACTTTGCAGGACAATTTCTTAATTGAATATCTTATTATTTATACATTTCCTTGTCTTTTTTCCTTTTCCTTATTGGCCTTTTGTGCTGACTGAAGTAGTGGTTTCCCAATTTGGGAGAAAAACAATGAAGCACACGTTTTTATTATCAATTTTTGGCAAGCCAAGTAGAGTTATTAGTTTTTCATGATTGTGATAGAGCATGCTTATCAGAAAACTATCTTCTGATATCACAGAGAGGTATAGGCTGGGAAGAAAGAAACCTTAGCAATATGCTCTCTCTAAACCTTAGATTCTTTGTTAATATCACAGATGTTCAAGTATAAGATAAAGGTGAGTGATGCACGTAGAGCATGGATGAAGAGTCCTGAAATGTTGGAGAATTGCTCGACAGGTTTTCATTTCCCTTCCCAATACGAAGAAGGAATCCAAGTTTCTGTAGGTTTCTCCACCAGATTTCCTTTTTAATTGAGGATAACAATCAATGATCATAACAAACTCAAGTTTGCCTTTGTGATTTTGATGCTAGGAAAAGGTGAAACCATTAAAGTTGCTGCATTTCTACAGAGCAGATTAATAGAGTTGGCTTCAAGAACACTGGGAACCATGCGGTCGGTTGTTTTAGCTTCTCACCGTACCATGTATTTTCACTTCTAACGTGCACCTTCTTGTTGTATATGACTGGCTCATGAGTAGGACTTTGGAGTGGACAGGCGTAGGTTGTATGGGGCTGTAAGCTTTTGTGGATAGTTTGGATTAGTTTGCTTGATGAGATATATTTGTACATACCTGTTGCTAACACAGGTACATATATGTTGTATACATTGCTGATATAATGCAATTATTTATGTATAAATGAATGATATATGTTGTATACATTGCTCGTATGTTGAGGCCAAATATTCTTGCTTGGAGGACACAATTGTCTTTTAATATTTTTTTGTTTTTGTTTATATATACACAATTGTCAAAGATTTTTATATGTTTGAATTCATCTCATTGTTGGTATGGCCTGTGTCTTATGGTGAGTGATTGTTGTTGTGAACTGTAATTAGATGACCTAGGTCGGTGTGACCCAGATTGATTCCAACCTTACCAAAAATGTGTTTAGACTGTCTAATTACTCTGTGTCATCCTTTTGTTATTTAGATATCCCAGTCGATGACAGATCGCAGGTATTTTGATTTATCGCCAATTTGCTTAATTTGAATGACGAAAGATTCTGCACTTGGCTTCATTTCAAACAAAAGCAAATGCAAAGCAGAGATTCCGACTTCAAAGACAGTAAATCAAAACTGCAAACTGGAAGCTGGCAGTAAAATACAACTGTAAGCAAAAACACACCATCAATTGGCTTTTATTTCAAACACAAGCAAATACAAACAGAGTTTCCAACTTTACAGGAGGACAGTGCAAACTGGAAGCTGGCTGGCTTACTGCTTTGGCTTCTCGTAAGACAGATAGGAGTAATATGTTTGTACAAGGGTCAATAATGTAACTAAGACGACAGCAGTCGTAAAATTCACCAATTCCAACGGATTTTTAAAATATGTTCGTAACATTCGTTTATGGCGGTTCCATGGAAACCCACAATACTCGTTCACATCACAATAGAGTCTCCGGTAACAACAATTGGGCGGCCTAACATCATTGGAAAGACTTCTAAAAATCAAGGATATGTCGTAGCCCAAAACGTTTTCTATAATTCCACACTCAGCGAGACACTCTACATCTTTGTCAGACGTAATAAGTTGCTCCAACAACGCAGCATAAGAGGTAATTATACTGGCTGTTTCACACTGTTCATACGCAACGAGATTTCTAAACAGAGACTCTCCATTCTTATGAACTCTTATCGGTGGAATACTCATCACTCCAGATTTGAAGGTTATATTGAACATGTCCGGTCCAGTTCCACGTATAAATATAATTCCTGACTTTTCAAGTTCTGTCACAGAGGGCATACGCAAAAAAGAAGTCCGATCTAAGTGCGTTTCAGATACAAACTCTAGTTGTGCAAATAGGAGCAAAGAGTTTTTTACCAAGTCAAGCAAATGCTTGCCTTTTAATGCTCCGCGGACCTGTTGGCACATCCCCAAGGTGTACCCTTCAAAGTATTTTAGAGTAAGCTCGGAAAGTGAATACTTCTTACCTGCATTACTTTCCCGTGTGAGGTTAAACAAACATTCAATAACTCTCCAAGGAAGCTGGTTTTCAAGTAGAAGCAAGTCATTTATGAGGATCGAGTGCATCCATGGCCTATGGAACACAGGATCATTGTTCTCGATTGGCACCTTTCCTGAAAACTTGCGGAAGAGCTCAATGATAAAGCAACCATCGACCACCATCATTTCTACAAACTCATCACTGGTTAGATCAATATTTTCTTCATAGCAATCGCGACAATCTTGTTCCATATCTCTAATGGCTCCAACAAAATCCTCCAAGACAGTAGTTGGAGTTGGTTTTCGCTCAAGAAGGCAATGCAAATACCAAGATTTAATCACTTCCATGGCTTGGAACTGCAATCCACGCTGAAATGGTCCAATTGAAAGTAAATGTGGAACATACACTTCTTTTTTACCCTTAACCAGCACATGAGGGATTCTAAATATGCAATGATCAGCTCGTGATGGGGACTGCTGGTGAAGTTTTGCTTGAATTGAGGATGCTAATATTTCATTTTCATTTCTCACATTATCCGCAGCCATCCTAGTAAGGGAAAACGGAAATTGTTACAACCCAAATGTAATAAAACTTGTTTGAACACTAACTCAGACCTCAAAAAAAAAAAAAAAAAAAAAAAAAAAACTTACTCCGGTTAATCGTTTTATTAGTCTCTGAATTTAGACTCGATTTGCATTTGAGTCCCTCAATTTCCAAAATCGTTCCCGTGGTCCTTCAACTTCAGTTTCATTAGGACAAATGGTCATGCAGTCAATTTTGTTAACCTTTCTGTTAAATGCAAGGGCAAGGGATCTTTTTTTTTTTTTTTTTTTTTTTTTTTTTTTTTTAGAAAGAAACCTCTTGGGTTTCGAACTTGGGTGCAATGGGGGGAGGGGGAATCCACCACCATGGGGTGTATACTGGGATCTTTGCTAGAAGTTTTTTAAGTATAAATTAATGCTAGTTATTGAATGGATAGAGATGAAGATTGAGAGATAACTTACACTTCGGATTCACTTACGGTGAGAGGTAGCTTGCACACTTGTGATTCACTTTTGAGGCAATCGTTCTCCTATCAATATTGCTAAAATGAGAGTGTGAGAAGAAAGGTTTTTGGTTTCAATTGAATTGATTTCTTGTATCACTTACAGCAGAATTTATACAAGGAAAAGGCTTGCTAACGAAGCTCAATATTAATTACAAGTAGGTAGATGACAGCTGGTTTTGGGTTCCCAGTTCCTGGAGAATGCAGAAACAGCCTCCCAAAGTCAAGCCAGACATTAATATTTTCACACTCACTAGCTAACAGTCAACTAGCTAACACCCAACTAGCCATATTAGGTTTAAAAAAAAAAAAAAAAAAAAAAAAAAAAACCATACACATTTATACTTTTCTTGTTTCTCAAATATCTTTGGTTTTCTACCTCTGACAACTAGCTAACACTCACTAGCTAATAACTTTCATCATCCTCATTTTCATCATACCCTTCCCTCCCTCCCTCCCTCCCTCCCCCGCGTTCTGGAACTCCATTTTCTTAATTTTCCAATGTATGCATTCAATTCTGCATTTGGGTGTGTTACTCTAGACTTTTAAAGTAGTTCTTATTATAATTTTATTTTGTTCACATGCAGGCTTTTCATGTGTTTCATACTTCCTGCCTTATACACTGGATACTTCTCTGTGGGGTTGAGATTGCAAATCAGTCCACTAGTTCAAAAGTGAGAAGAAGATCTAGGAGAAAAAATGCAGCCAAGTGCAATGGACAAGATGGCCAGATGAAAGCTTTGAGCACGCAAATCCATTCTGTATTCTGCCCAGAGTGTCAGGGTACTGGTGCAATCATTGATGGAGATGACCTGGAGAAACCAAATCTCCCTCTGTCTCAGGTTTGAACTTTGCAGGGCAATTTCTTAATTGAATCGTTGTCTTATTATTTATACATTTCCTTGCCTTTTTTTTGGTTGGACTGAAGTAGTGGTTTCCCAATTTGGGGAGAAAAACAATCAAGCACACGTTTTTATTATCAATTTTTGGCAAGCCAAGTAGAGTTATTAGGTTTTCATGATTGCGATAGAGCATGCTTATGATGAGTCAAGAGCTTTGAAAGGAAATCTTTTCAGAAAACTATCTTCTGATATCACAGAGAGGTATAGGCTGGGAAGAAAGAAACCTTAGCAATATGCTATCTCTAAACCTTAGATTCTTTGTTAATATCACAGATGTTCAAGTATAAGATAAAGGTGAGTGATGCACGTAGAGCATGGATGAAGAGTCCTGAAATGTTGGAGAATTGCTTGACAGGTTTTCATTTCCCTCCCAATACGAAAAAGGAATCCAATAAAGGTGAGTGATGCACGTAAAGGTGAATGATATATGTTGAGGCCAAAGATGCTTGCTTGGAGGACACAATTGTCTTTTAATATTTTTTGTTTTTGTTTATATATACATCTTCCCATGACCGTATTTCAAAACTCAATAAAACTACTACAATCTCCATTGCCCACATGAATCTCTAAGCGGGGACTATCCCAAACCCCACGAGCTCCCCATGACCATAATGATTGCCAAAGCAGAGCACCAATTCTATTAGCACTATTATTTCATCTTATGCAAGGACTTGTAACTCAAGTGGCTAAGGCCTCGTTTGGAATTGCTTTTTTCGCCAAAAACCTGCTTAACTTTAAAGTTAAGCAGTTTAAGGTGTTTGGTAAAAATAAAATATCCTGCTTATTTTAAAAACAATGGTCTTTTGACAGCAGCTTTTTAAAAGCAACCTCGGGGTTGCTTTTTTAAAGTTGCTTTTAATTGAAGCAGCGCGCTCCCTTTAATGAAATTTTCGCAATTCCACAAATACCCTTATTAGGTTAGAAATCTATCCTCACGTATTTCTCTCAAATATGCAGACACCAAAGTTCATCTTCACGTAGCCTCCCAAGTTTGGAGACAACCATTCGTTCAATCTCTCTCAATCTCTTTGACAAGGTTAGATTCTTCAATCTCTCAAACTTTTTATATACGTGCTGCTCTTGTTTTTTTGTTTTTTTTTTCCTACTGGTTGTCTATGGTTTCTACTAGTTTTATATACGTCCAGATTTTTTCTACTGGTTGTCCATGGTTTCTACTGGTTTTATATGTCCAGATTTTGTCTACTGGTTGTCCATAGTTTCTTTAAGCATAAAGGTGTCCATGCCAGGAAGTTACAAGGGAGAAATACACATTCTTGTTCCAAGCCTCGAATGGGGCCAAATAAATTTGTATTTGTTTCCATCTTAGTATCTTATCCTCTGTATAATTCTGGTTCTATAGAAATTCAGCTATTATTGAGCTTATATGTACCCCTCAAATCATGAGCATTGAAAAAAAGAACCGTCCTAAACTTATTTGGCCCTTTTCATGTATCTAGAGCTCTTGTCACCTACGATTTTAGGGTCTTCTTGAATATCTCCACAAGCTAAGAGCCAAAACTGTGAGGCCAGCAATGCCAGTCAAAATCTGTTACAACCAGAAAAACTAATTTGTTATATAGCTGCTCTAAAGTTTACGAATAATTTGAGATAATTCAAAACTGCAGACCCAACTAGTTTTGCTGCAAACTTTTAATTCCCTTTATTTCTTTGGCTTCCATTAATCTTTTGTGAATAAATATCAAAATTGCAGACCCAAAAAATAAGGGAAAAAATATATGGGAGTGTGTTTGAATCCTTGTCATCTTATACGACTTGGTGTATTGCTTTTGATGTATGTAGTTTTGCTCAAGTTTTCCTATAGGTAATTACTTAGGCACTATGGAGATGGAGGGTGATGCACAAGAAGAATATCATATTACTCAAGGGCCTGTAGCACAAGAACTAGAAACATTAAGGAACAAGATTGCTGCAAGTTTAATGCATGCATCTTCTTAGACAGTTTCTTTATTTCCATTTATTTAAGCCTAGTTTCAATGTTTTTTATTGCTACAATTCAAACCTTATTAGGACAAAGGATTTGTCAAAAAAATATTTATTACTTATTCAATATGAAGGATGATGTATGAACCTACTACCGTGGTGATCTCTTTATCTTTGTTGGAATTTATTCAATACATAATTATCTTTGTTGGAATTTATTCAATTTGAAATTTTCTTTTCTTTAAGCAAAGATTAATATAATTTTTAGGGAGAAAAGTATAAAAGCACTTTACAGTTTTAATTTTTATCAAACAGATTAGTAAAAAGCACTTTCAGCATCATGTCTATTTTAGTCATTATAAATAGTTACAACACTTTTACGGTAAAATTTACCAAACGCTCTGACACTGCTTTTCATACACACAGCAATTTTAAAATTACAGTTTACCAAACGTTTAACTGCTTTACTTTACAGCTGATTCTTTTTAAAGCACAGCAGAAGCAGCTTTTTTTTAAAGCGGCAGCAATCCCAAACTAGGCCTAAGAGTATTTGCTCATGCACTTGAAGTCCCAGGTCTGGATTTCTCATTCTCTAATATGGCTTGTATATAAAAAAATATATATACATGCATATCCAAATCCATAGTGATAATTTTAATACAATCTCAAAAGGTATCTTAATAAATAAATTTTAGATTGGATAAAATAACTTCATTATAATACAATCCTTCACATTTTTATGGGACAACTTATTTTGTTTAAAAGTTGGGATAACATAACCCGAACTCAAAACTTGGGACTCCAAACCCTAGATATGGGACTTCAGCCTCGGAGATGTGGAAATCAAACGGGAGGAGATAATATCATTGAATCGGTTCAAAATTTTATAATTCTATTTTAAGTCATGTGATACAAAACGATCATATCATTCAATCTATGAATAACAATCTAATCTAATCATATGCGTTAAACCATAGGCCATATTTTGGCATTCTTAGGGCTCGTTTGGGAGTGCTTCTTCCCGAAGCGCTTATGCCAGTAGCGCTTATGCCAAAAGCGCTTATGATATAAGCGCTTCTGTAAAGAAACAATTTGTTGTTTGGATGTCACATTTAAAAGTGCTTTTACACTACATAAAAGTGCTTTTGATATTTTGTTGAGCGCTTATCCTCCACACGATCTACATGTCATGATCTTTAGGACTGATCGGCCATTTCGATATGTTCTAATTTCCAAGGGGTTGGGTTTGGCTTGCAATTTTGCCCTAAAAATAGGGTATTTACTCATGACAAAGAAAAGAGAAGAAAAGAAAAAAATTCAATAAAGTGTTTACATAAAAATTGGGCTTTGAACCCAAAAAAAGAAAGATATATATATATATATATATATATTGGGGCTCATTTTTCAAACTTGAAAGAAAATATTTGGCCCATTGGCTGCACCGTGGAGGTTATTGCCCTTCTTTCTGACCATTGCTGAGCTTTTCCTTTCATGTCCACTGAAATCTTAAACCCTTAAACCCAAGCCACTCTATTACCAGAGACAGGGAGCGCCAATGAAGCTTAGTTGTATGAGCAAGCTCATATCCTTTTCCCTTCAAAACCCTCGCAGAAATTATGGTGCTTTACCTTCACTCCGCCCTTCTAAAACCCCAAACCCACCTTCTCTTTCTTCTTCTTCTTCATCCACTACTCTCCACGATCGCATCAAGGTCATCAGAGACCCAAAAGCCTCGGTTTCTACCAGTGCTCGAACAGTGGGTCACTGAAGGTGGAGCTGTTGAGAAGCAAGAGCTTCAGTCACTGGTTCGACTCTTGAAGGACTTCAGACGCTTCAATCACGCTCTTGAGGTTCAAATCTTTCTTACCCACTTCACAGTTTCTTTCCTTCTTTTATTTTGGTTCTTGCAACTCTTTTTATATATATATATATATATATATATATGTTTCTCTAGGTCAATTCAACCAGTTATCAAAACGATTGGAATATATATCTTTTATTTATAAACCTATGCAGTTGGGTTGGTATTTTGTTAATTTCATCAGTTGCGTGTGAGTGTTGTGTTATCCAGGTGTCTGCAATGTATTATCGACAATCTGAAATTTAAATGTATGAACTGTTGACCATTTTAGAAGCACAAGATCCAAACCTTGCTCTTTTTTATTTTTTTTATTTTACATTTCTTGCTTTGAATTTACCAATTGCTGATTCACGTGGTGCGAAGTTGGTGAACTGGGTGATGCAAATGATAAATTGCAGCACCACCAAAGTTCCCTGCAAATATTTTCTAGGAAACTGTTATGGCACTCCAAAAAACTATCATGTACTCCTCCTGTATGAGAACATAAGGGAAAAATTCAACTGCAAGGAGGGTAGGGTGGCTATTTTGGAGTGCCAATAACAGCTCCCCTTTTCTAATATATTGTATTTTTTTTCCTCTCTATATGAAAGGAAATATCAGTTACCTTTACTGAAAATGTTTAAATGTGGTATCATGGCATATCATTGGCGGTTAAAGATTTTTGTATGATCCAATTCATCTCATATATTTGGTTCATTCATTTTACAATTCAGCATTTACCAGCATGGAGGGGTTGTTTAGGCATTTTACTAGGACATTCATTGAATTGTTGGTATGGCCTCTGTCTTATGGTGAGTGATTGTTGTAGTGAATTGTAATTAGATGAACCGGGTCGGTGTGACAAAGATTAATTCCAACCTTAATAAAAATGTGTTTAGACTGCCAGCTTCTAATTATCTCTGTCATCCTTTTGTTATTTAGATATCCCAGTGGATGACGGACCGAAGGTATTTTGATTTATCACCAAGTGATGCTGCGGCTAGACTGAACTTAATCCACAGAGTGCATGGACTAGAGGATGCAGAAAAGTACTTCAACAATATGTCGAAGAGTTTAAAAATCAGTTAATGCATATGGTGCTCTTCTCAGCATTTATGTGCAAGAGAATTCTGTTGAGAAAGCAGAAGCCACTATGCAGAAAATGAAAAAGTTGGGTATGGCAAAGACATCATTCCCTTACAATATGTTGATCAATCTTTACTCTCAAAATGGAGAACATGAGAAGATTAACATACTGATGCAAGAAATGGAAGAGAATGGAATTCCTCTCGACAAGTACACTTTGAGAAATCGAATGATTGCATACATTGCAGCATCTGACATGCCTGGGATGGAAACTATCCTGAATAGGATGGAGGAAGATTCAAACTTCATTGTTGACTGGAAAATATATTCAATGGCAGCAAGTGGGTATCTAAAAGTCGGGATGATAAAAAAGGCTTGTTCAATGCTGAAAATGATGGAGAGAATGATGCCTCTCCAGGGCAGGAAATCATTAGAATTTCTTATCACTCTTTATGCAAATACTGGCCATAAAGGGGAGCTATACAGAGTTTGGAATACATACAAGCAATCAAATGAACCAATGGATGTACCATATGGTTGCATGATCTCATCTTTGGCAAAGCTTGATGATATTGAGGGGGCTGAGAGGATATTTGAGGAGTGGGAGTCACAATGCACAGAGTATTATGACTTTCGGGTGTTGAACAGGCTTCTTGTTGCGTATTGCAAAAAGGGTCTTTTTGATAAAGCAGAATCAGCTGTAAAGAAGGCTGCGGAAGGAAGAATCCCTTATGCTAGCACATGGAATGCGTTAGCAATGGGTTATACGGAAAGTAAGCAAATGCCTAAAGCAATTGAAACATTGAAGAAAGCACTGTCAGTCGATAGGTGGGGCTGGGTGCCTGATTCCAGTACTCTGACAGCATGTTTGGATTATTTGGAAGGGCAAGGAGATTTTGAAGGAATTGAAGAGATCATAAGTTTACTAAAGAACTTGGGTCCTTTGTCCAGGGATTTGTATCACAGACTGCTGAGGGCTAGTGCTGCATCTGGAAAATCAGTTTCTATAATTCTTGATCAGATGAAAGTGGATGGTTTTACTGCTGATGAAGAAGCATACAAGTTTCTTGAAACAGGGCCAAGTTAGCCTATTGTAACTCCTTTCATTGTAAGAGAATTAAGCACATCTCAAATGATCCGAGAGAACTTAAAATTCCAGAGAGCCATCATCATTGAACAACTTGGGTTGGCCTTTTCTTCTTGCTAGATCTTACATCTGCATCAAGTTCAAGAAGGCACCAGCCAGTTGCAGATCATCAAGTGATGGTATCAAACTATTCAAAATTGACTCTGATTCAATACTATGTACGTGGTCTCACAATTTGCAGTGATTAAAAATCTACATGTTAGTATTTTTCTGTAATTTTGTATTGCATATACGTTGAACACTATCTGTCCTTCGTATTTTCTATACAAATGAAACTATAATAGGTTATCTTGTAGATGATATTTTCCTTACATTGTAACTGCAAACAGCTTTACGGAGAGCCTCAGCAATACCTTGCTTTGTGTTTTTCTGCGGATCTTTGTTGGGTTGCATTTTGTTGACGGGTGAAATCAGGTTGGCGGATTAAGATGTTTGAGTGATTCACTCATAATTGGGTTACATCCCCTATAGCTTGGGTTTCTATTTATCCTCATTGACGGGTGCTTGAACCGGCCATATTTCAACTAGGCTGAAACAACTCGAGAGAAAAAAAAACCTTTTTTATTTATTTGAACTACGACTGTTTTTTTGTTTTTTTTTGAGAGAGTACGACAGGGTTAAACTGCAGATCAAGGTAATCAAATAAACTGCATTGAACACCCTTCTTAATAATTTACTTCTCAAATATTACAAGGTAATCAAATAAACTGCAGATCAAGAGGCAGGCAGGGAACCAGTAGCTAATTAAAGTCCCGTTTTTCATTCACAGCTTTGCAATCTAGAATGAATTACAAAAGCAGCTATAGCCTATACTCTGTTATTTATAGGCTGCAAACTGACTAAAATCGGCCAATTGCAAATCCAATTCCCACTCTTTTAAGGATCTATTTCTTCTTTTGTACAACTACAACATCATATAAAGAAAATATTCGAGGTAACCCATAGAACACAATTGCATCTTCGAAAAAGTAAATCTGTCACAGTAGTATTTTAAAAAGAAACCCACAAAATTAAATGATAATTAACTCAGCTCTTGGTGGTAATTGCGTTCCAAGCTCCAAAACATGCTCTCTTGTTGCTTCTAATATATCATCGGTTGCTTTAAACTCCGGCAATATTTCTCGTCGAGTTTCAAGCTCAACGATAAGCTTTTCAAGCACCACAGCACTCTTAATCAAGTACATGGCAAAATCAGTATCGATAATAGACCCAATGCCAAGGAACCCACAAAATTTCACCTCCTTCAGGCAGTGATGAGGACATCTATTAATCTTCTGCATATCTCTCCAACTCTGCTTCTTATAATAATTCTTCCATCTCATCTGCAAGGGGACACAGGTTATTTAAGCATGCAATTTTCGAGTGCTTAATGAAAAAACACAAACGTAATTAACTAAATAAAACCACTAAATTTTTATAGTCATTTCAACTTTTTGTACCTAATCTTTGAATGGAAATCCATGAAAAACTTACATGTAAGCCCTCCAAAAAAAATTGTTTACATTTCTACACTTCTTGGAATATAGGTTGAAAACAAGTTCACCTCTGCGATGCATTTAAATGAATGAATACATACCTGCAACGTCAGTCTATGTAGGGAAGGAGACCGCTCTAACAAGGGGGTTAAACTCAGCAGACTTTGCCCATAATTTGCATTACATACCTCCAATGATAAGTCTTTGAGACAAGTTAATTCTGGAAATTCTTGGGGCATATTAATTTCCTGAAAAATGAAACTAATTGTAAGATAATAAAATGAAAAATTATCCTTCCATTGGATGCTTTTAAGAAATTGATTCCAAGTAGAATGGCCCCCCAATTTGAGAGATCTCTAAATTCAAGCTCATCATATGTAGCTATATATGAAAAAGATATATAACTATATGTACTAATGATTTCATACACTTACCATATCGAAATTCATGCACAGGCTGAGAGTGTGTAGACAAGAGAAACAACTCGACACTGAAAGAAAAGCTCTGGTTATACTTTCATCATTTTCTGCAAGAGATACCTTGACAAGCGAGGGTGCATGTTTCAACACAATTCCTCTTCTGTACACACTTCGGCTGTCGTAGACAAACTCCACGAGATTAGGGGCAAAAATGTCAACTCTCACTAATTGGCGACAATTGCTTACTTGCAGGAACTTCAACTGGAGGGAGGAACCCACTGCTTTCACAGCATATAGATTTTCAATGCGACAAACACAAAGGTGTTCGAGCACTTCACAATGGGAAAGAAAGTGCCCAACAAGTTCATCATTTACTGCTATGTTCTTCAAAGAGAGGTGCCTAAGGGACTTGAAAGGGCTCTCAAGTAGCTTCTTTAGCAAGGAATTATGACCCCCTTCTATCTCAAGCCTTTGAACTCTCTTTCGGGCCGCAAATTCGATACATTTAGTGGCTGGAACAGAAGTAGAATAATGACGATTCATTCGGAACACGTCTAGGGTTGAACCCTGATGCAACTGCAAGACTTGAGTCACCCATTTTGCCCTAGCTGATATTTCAAACTGGTCAAATCTCTTGTTTTGAACTACATCTTCATCAAAGTTGAGACATGTAACATGTGTCCACAAATTTCTCCATCTCTTAGAGATGGCACTGGTTCTTGACGCTTCCCTGGTATTCAAGCGAGAAAGAATTCCAATTAAAATTTCATCTGGCAAGGGGCTAATCCAATCCTGCAACAAATAAGTAATGTCCCCCTTGATTGGAATGTTATGTTGTTCTTCTTGTGTTGATGCAGTCCGCCTTGCTATTGACCCTATAACCTGCACAAACTGATTAGGGCACTAATTATTAAGATCACTTTACAACTTTTTAGCGTTCACCCTCAACTCCCTTATATGTTCTAATAGAACTGAAATCACTTGTTGAGGCCAAAAAAATCCAGAAACTCAAGGGTACTACTTGTTGACCCAAAAACTTAAGAAATTTAAATTTCAACCACACAATATAATCAAGAAATAAAACGAAGTAAGGAGACCAAGGAATTAAAATGGTTTAACAAGAAAGATCTTACCAAGCTAATGCTCAAGGCTTGATGCAGACGAATGAGAAATTGCAAACATCAGACTATACTCTCTCCACACTTTGTCTCACTCACACACTTTAGGAGTGATTTTCTATTTCTTTCACTCTCACTTTGATTTGGAATGGAACGTTACTTGGCCCTACTGCATTCAACTAGGCCAGCATCTCTTTATATAACCATGGGTGGAAGCATGTGGAAACTTTGGAATAGCGAACACCATGCTTGCACAGACTATGTGATAAATATGCCAGCCACCAACTTTTTAAAACTTCAAAGCTCCAATATGTATGTTCATAGTACTAGAGCTTTCTATCACAATTAAGAGCATCTCCAACCGATATGTCAAAAGTGCCACATAGACATTTAACGGTTAGAAATAACATCTCACATCACTCCAACCGAATTGTCAAAGCTGATGTGGAATGAAGGCTAGAGGTTCAGCTGTTATTTTTGACATCCCAAAAGCAAGATGTCAAATGAATATTTTATTATTTTTTAAAGACAGCTGGTTGTAACTTTCATTTATTTTTTTCCTTTTTTATTTTTTTTCTTCTTTATCTTAAATGATTTGACTATTACAATAATTATTTATTTGACATATCGGGTGGAGTAAAAAACTGTGTAAATGTCAAATTGCAACATCAGCCATCAAATTTAAATTTGATGTTTGGTATTTGACATCTCCCTTGGAGATGCTCTAAGACTTCATTTTAAGGCTATACCAACGGATGCGTATACTAGCCACCTTAAGTTAAATAGCTTTGGAACTCTAACCCTCATAATTATCATGGGCTGGACCCAACACTATTGAAATATAGAAAACCAAAAGTTACTAAAATTAGAAATCAATTTTAACACCTTCTCTAAGGCCTTGTTTGGTTCATGGAAAAGATTTTATGCGAAATCATTTCTTATGTCTTTTCCTATGGGATGAAAAATGGAAGATTCATTTTCCATGTTTGGTAAAGTAACCTGGAAATACCACTTTATTTCCCTTCCCATGTTTGATTTGTGTATGAATGGATTACAAATTTGTTTAGTTTTCCAATTATACCCCTATTAGAAATATGAAAAAAGTACAACTCTAAATTGTTAATGAGGACAAATTGTTCATGAAAAAGTGTATTTAATGCTGGCCTTAATTTCCCATTGGGAGGGAAAATGAACCCATTTGACATCAAGTCTCTGCCATTTGAGCTAAGACATGGCTGGCACATCAATACCATATCAAGACAAGGAAGACAATAAAGAAGCAGGAGAGAAGATAACAGATAGGTGATAATCCTATCTGGGAGACCAACTACCTAGATTAAGGGGTATCTCAAACAGGAAATGCAACTTAATTGTTTGGTTGCATAAGCAGACATAAATTCCTAATGCAAAGCTATAAGGAATGCCAAACTCAAATTTTTATATCATAATAATCTGATCTTATGGTTATTTAAAACACTTACTCATTTTGGGCAATTAATCAAAAAAGGTGCACCTCACGGATGTTTTACGAAATTAAGTTATGTTACAAAATGAGAAAAAAGATGTAGGACAGGAATTCAATCAACATATGCATGAAGGGAGGGTACTTTATCTGCGTCCTCACGTCAAAGACAGTCTATTCCAGACAACAAAGAAATGGACAGAAGAGTGTCCACTGAAAAGCAATTTTCAACTTTTGAAGGGCATAAAAATTCATCAGTAAAGCAAGGCTTTATGTGGAAGATTGATGCCTTGATGGCTAAAATATTTGGTAAAAACAAATGAAAGTATAATGTGAAATTTCCAAAATTCCATCCGTGCAGAAGACGCAAATTTACTGGAAAGTCAAGAACCCGAACAAAAAAGAGATAGGGAGGAAATCAATTTATGTGAAATTGAGAGGATTCTAGGTTTAATTACTTAGTTAAATGCCCAAAGAACAATTTGTGCAAACTTTGCAGAAGTAAGATTTAACTCAAATTTTGTGGTAGTCAGGGTTAGCTACCTACCTGTTCATCAGAGTACCTCTCAGAATGTGAAGATACTAAACCTGAATTGTCAGTTTCTCCAGAGCTCTTCTCAGAAGATTTCTTCTTCCACAACCATTTGCTATCCATCTAATGCTCTGTTGTCCAACTTCCCAACTAGCAAATCACAGAATGTTTATCTGTACACACATTACAATTTTACAGACAGCTCATCAAAAATTACCACAAATCCTCTTCAAAGTTGCAGGACACAAAAGAAGAAAGCATAAAATTGCTATCCAACAGTTCAAAATTTATTGATTGTTGCTGGAAAATGGAACTCCAACCAATATAGCCAAGCCTTCTAAAAACAGAAAGCAATGTTCTTTCCAGAAAATCGCAAGCATTTAACAGAAAGAACACTTCGCTTATCATTCTCTCAGCTTTGCTTCAAATCCACTGCAAACCCATCTAACCCCAACAACAAATATTACGAAATTACAAGAATAAAAATGGATCTCTGCATAGCTCAAGAGCACAGATAAGAATATATGACACACCCAAACACAGACTTACTTACTCACTATGAAGATGGAAGGATTTGTAGCTCCACAATCACATCCAACGCAATCAAATGCTTCTGAAATGCCATGAAGATGAAGATGAGTAAGAGTAAAGAACCATTTTTTTAAATAACAACAACAAAACCCATAAATTGATGAAATGTGGCAGAATATGCACTTTCAAAAGACAAAATTCGTATGAATAAAAAACCGTGCTTGTACCAGAACATAACGAAAAAGAAATGAAAGAAGCCAAAATACCCAAGACAAAAGTTCCCATTTAGCAGCAACCCATCAAAGCAAAAAGACACAAAAGAGAATAATATAACACAAAAACTCAGAATTCAGATGCATATAATTTACCCAAGAAAGATTAAAAAGAGCACGACCCAGATCAAATACCTTGTGACTGGAAACCATAACAACCTGCTGCTATGGAGTAGATGGAAGCCAATAATAACAAGACCTAAATGAAAAGTTTGTTCAATAGTAGAAAAATTGAGGTGTCCAAGTTCTGTTTTCTCTCAAATATTCTCTGAACATATAATTACTAGCAGAGGCAGGGGAAGGTTTGACGACAAGTACAAATGAAGATGATCTGGAAATTGGCACAACAAAAAGCTTGACAAAAATCCTAGAGTCTGTCACTCGAGAAACCACAAAAGAAGAAGAAATGATTGGAAAAAGGAAAAAGGAAAAAGGCAATTTCGTGAGAGGATGGACAAGAGATAACAGTAGCTTCAAGAATATTTTGAGGTGGCAAACATGCAGATGCAGTACTCCCATTCACAACTTTTAATCTGTTTACTTAACATGTTTCTATGTTTTCAACGAAACTGTCAAAAAAAAAGAAAAAGATTAACGACATTTCAGTCCTTGGGAGCTATTTGTTACACAGGCTTGACTTGAATCGGCTTGAACTAAATCTAGTCGTATGTTCATTTCATCTTATCCCAATCACAAATGGGAATATCAGGCCCACCAAAAACATCTCCTTAAGAGGAGACCTGTCAATAAATCGGATTTTGATCCGAATCTAGTATTACTAATAGGAGATGGATTGGACTTCCCAATTCGATAATCTGATTACAATCCGAATTTGATAATCTGATTATAAATGGATCTAGAGATGAATTATAGTTGATCTGATCTGATAATAATCCGATCCGACTTAATAAGAAGTAAAATTTTAATTTTTACACATATAAAATATTAATATAAAGCATAGAAATGAGGCACGGCATGAGCACGAGCCCGTTTAAATGAGGCCCGGCCCAACACGGCACGAGCCCAACCCGTTTAAATGAGGCACTGCCTGATACAGCAAGTCCACAATATATTGTGCATGGCCACCAGCTAACATTTGGAATTTACCTCTACCTGACCACATTGCCTTGGCTTAATTTGCCTCCACCTTCTTAAATATTCTTGGGCAGATATGTTTGTTCAATTTGCACATTTTATCCGTTTTTCCATGTCATCTCCTTATCAACTTACATCTAATATACTTTAGCATTGTCAGAATTGGTCTATCCCTACATTCCAATATGGTACCCTTGAAAGACACACACAAATTATTCAACATGCCACACTTCAAATGAGTGTTGAAGTGTGATTTTGACCAATGTCTTAGAGGTTTATCTGGTGTGGTGAGCCATTCATATGCATCGATGGAAACTTTTTTAAGTTCTTCCATGGCCCTTGTAAAGTGGGGGACAATGGTTGCATATGAAGCTTCCCAAAACTTGTCTTTCAAGCTTTTTGCTTTGAATATCGTCCTATAGTTGGTAACAAGGTGTCTTGCACAGAACATGTGGTCACAATTAGTGACCACTTGCTCAAAAGTAGGCAGTAAACCTTTCTATTTGTCGGATATAAAGGTGAAGCCAAACTGATTAACAATCTCACAATCCTTAACCAATAGCTCCAAAAACCAAATCCAATAATCCTTGCACTCTGATTCCACGACTACATATGCAATCCCCCAGGTTTCATTGTTGGCGTCTATATCAACTGAAGTTAACAGTTGCCATACATAAACAATCTTCAAGAAGCACCCATTTGAACCTATCATGGGGTTGCATCCAGCTTTAAAACCTTCCTTAGCTGCTTCTAAACAAACATATAATCTTTCAAACAGTGGTTGGCCCAACTGTTCTTGGAAATCACACTTAATCATAAATGTGGTTCATGGATTAGTCTTCCTTAATTCCTCACAATAATCCCAAATTCTTGAATATTGTTCCTTAAAAGTGCCCTCAATCTGCTTTAGTGCCTTCTCTTTTGCCTTATGAACCTATCTTCTTGACACCCCTATATTATAATCCTTCTCAACAGTCTCTTTGAATGACATATCGGCCATTCAAGATTGGTCTTCAATGTCTCAACATATTTCTTGCGTATCCAAGTTCACTTGACAATAGGGTTCTCCCATAGATGAGTACATTTGTCCTCACCTACATATGTCTTCACTTACAATGCGTTCTCATGTTGCATTTTTTAAGAATATATCATCCACTCACAGTTTGGGTCACTACAACTAGCCTTGAGATTCAAAGACTCATTCTTCATAAACACAACATCCCTATTCTGCAACATGGAGTGTGCTCTAATAAATGCTCTAAACACCTTACAATTAGTAAACAACATGCCAATCTCAAATTTTGAATCTGCCATGTCTGTTGCAGGATTGAACTATGGCCAATTCTTATCACCTTCATTGTCAAAATCATACTTGCCATAAATATGATCAAAATCTTCATAATCCAATTCAATTTGTAGGCCAATCAAGAGCAGTCTCATTCCACATCCTTTAACCCCTGCCCATTCATCATGCTCATTCACCCATTCTTAAACAAAACATCATGATCATCGCCACTAAAGTTGGGATCCACAAAATATGAGTCCTGAGTTTTAGCATAATCAACATCAAAATGTTCAAAGTCTGCAGAATTTGCAGATCTCCTTCCACTTCTCAACTCCATGGAATGTCCTTTGGACTTCTTGATTCCCTCAACAGTTCCTTCCACAACTTGTGTCAAAAAGTCCATCAAATAGGTTGACTTTCTGTTGAACAATACATGCCCTCCTCAAACCTTTGCACCTTCTTTTTCCAAAAGCAACCTTGATCCCATGTGACCTGCCATCTGAGACTTTAACTGTTCTGACCCGGTCCTAAATAAATTTGTAATTATTAATTTTTCAAATAAAAGACTATTTTACCCCTAGAATATTTTATTAGGTTTAAAGTTGACTTTTTGACCATGAAGAAATTTGGGAATTTCAAATGTACCGTTGCGTAGAGTACAGCGAGATGAGTCTGTAGATACGTAGTGAGCTTGAATCGGAGTTGTAACGAAGAAGTTACGAGCAAAACATCACCAGTGGCACAATCGGAAATATTGCGAAAAGGATTTGATAAAAATCAGATCTCTCTCTCTCTCTCTCTCTCTCTCTCACCCCCACACAGCCTATCTCTCTCCTCTCTCGCGACGGCAACACAGCCAAACACGTTTTGGCAGGCCATTCTCTCATCTGGCCACCAAAGTTGACGAGGCCGGTACCAAAATGACTGGGCCACCGTCCTCTTCCAGCCCCAGCCCTTTGCTGCCTTGGTCCTTTGCTCCAGCCGTCGGAAAAAGCTGTGAAAGGGCCAATTTTTCGCTCGATTTTCTCCTGCTTCGTTCTCCGTCGGTCGGCAGCCATTTTTGGCGATCCAGGTATGGAAATTCATCTATTCCTCAAGCTCTAGCTGATGGTGGTAGGATTACATCAATTTTGAGTGTAGGTAACTTGATTTTCGAATTAGATTCTGGTCAGTTTGGGATCGCGATTTCGGCCACTTCCGGTCAGTTTTTAGGGTAGGTCCAAGAACAAAAGCGGTTCCAAACAGGGTATTACACCTAGGGTAGGAGTCTTGAGCCGTGATTTTGAGATTTTACGATGAAGTGTAATCGCTTTGGACACCCACGCGCTGCTGGCGCGTGTGGCGGCTTTTGGGCACAATAGAAAAGGGGCATTGTGTCCCAATGTAATCTCCTAGTCCTCACGAGTGCTTAGGTGTGCTCGGATTTCAATTTGGATACCATTTGAGTCTCAAATGGATATCGCCTATTGCGCGTTATCCGAGTTCGATCAGTTTGGACTGTTGGATGGTCTTGAATTTATTATATGTTAATCTGGACATCCTTAGGAGCGTGTAGGATTCGACAGATCCTAAAACGGAGTCCCGGATACTCCGGAAATGCCAACCCTAGGGCTAGGGTTATAGTAACCGTCCGATCGTGAGTGATCCGACCGTCTGATCTGGACCAAACTTGCAGGACATGTGTCCTAAGCTTTGTAGAACCCATAGGAACTTTCAGATTGGGATTTGGAGGTCGTGGGCCCCATGGGCCCGTTTGACCAAGTTTAAGCAGTTTAACCCTTGGTTGACCGTGAGTCTTCCTAGGTAGTTTTACCTTCCTAGGAGGATTATAATGACCCTAGTGACAGGTCTCAAGCGTTGTTGAGTTATGTTGATTATGTGGGATTAGGATATTAATTTATTGTTTTAAATTGGGGGATTATCAGATGCTATTTTGTGATTGAGGTTTATGCAATATTGGAAATTATATATATATATATATATATTATATATTAAAGATATAAAGATATTTAATTACACTGTGTAAGTACCATCCTGTGATTGTTAGGTCTCACGTGGCGTAGGATTTTCCGGTGTTGAGACAGACCCCATACGTAGCGTTGGATTTTCCGGCGTATGTGGAGATTTTGTGATTATTAGGTCCCATGTGGCGTAAGATTTTCCTGTGTGAGGACAGACCCCATATGTGGTGTTGGATTTTCCGGCGTATAGAGAGATTATGTGATATGATGTTGAGGTAGCACGTGGCGTAGCATTTCCCAGCGTGTTGACAAACCACATACATGGCGTTGGATTTTTCAGCATGAGGACATACCTTATACGTGGTGTTAGACTTTCCGGCGTATAGAGAGATTATGTGATATGATGTTGAGGTCGCATGTGGCGTAGGATTTTCCGGCGTGTTGACAGACCCATACGTGGCGTTGGATTTTCCGGCTTGAGGACAGACCTCATACGTGATGTTGGATTTTCTGGCATATGGGGAGATTATGTGATATGATGTTGAGGTCACACGTGGCGTAGGATTTTCCGAAGTGTTGACAGACCCCATACGTGGCGTTGATTTTTCGGCGTATGGGGAGATTATGTGATATGATGTTGAGGTCGCAAGTGGCGTAGGATTTTACGGCGTGTTGACAGACCCCATACGTGGTGTTGGATTTTCCGGCATATGGGGATATTATGTGATGTGATGGTTAGGTCACACATGGCGTAGGATTTTCCGGCGTGTTGATAGACCCTAACGTGGCGTTGGATTTTCCAGCATATGGGGACAATATTTAGAAGGATCAGTTGGGATAACAATTAGACAATAAGGGTTGCTTCGAGGGAATCCAAAATCTCCAAGTTAGGCAAGCTAACAGTAAGGAATAATATCTAATATTTCATTGATGAAAAGCCATTGAAATTTACACAAACAAGGACTCTAACTGAAAGCATAGAAAGAGGGAAGCTTTTCCCATGACGCCTCCACTATCGAAGTGGATAACATGACTCCTACAACTACTCAACAACTAAAGTCTAGAGACATGCAAACTCCTACAATTATGCAACAACTAATAACCATGTAACCACTTCCACTAACTCATGAGAAAGCACGTGACAACAATCATCTTTAAATCTTGTTTCCATTTTTGTTTTGTACAGGGAATCGAATTGAATCAATCTATCATCAATCCTCGTGGGATTGACCTCGCACATAAATATGTTATACCACCGAAAAACTCGTGCACTTGTGAGTATCACAAGTTGAGGATGCAACTAAATCAATTTTGGTGTAGCTGAATCGACAACAGAGACCCCCAGCCAAGTTTTAAAGTACATAATGAAAATAACTAATAAGTATAGCTATGGCAAATTCTAGCTTATTCAAAAAAATTAATGGAACATAATAAGTATACCTGGAATCCAGTGTTACTCCCTAGTCCCACACACTTCACAAACTAGCGCACGAACATCTCATTCGAATAACAGCCTTTTCCAAATTTAACAATAAGTCACAAGTTAAACAAAGTCAGTAGTATGATCCTAACGCACTACAACTAGGTCTGATTACCTCTTGCTAGAAGAAAGGACTCACCCTGAACTCTCCCTTGGAGTATGAGACATATTTTGGATTGATTATCAATTTATTGCATGTTAGGTTTCAACGCTTGCTATTAGACTAGTTATGGTTGTGGAAAAGAGGTACAAGGCCCATTATAAATGTTGTTGTGAGTAACTTATATCTTGTGCATGATGATTGGTTAGGAGGTTATAAAATGTGTTTTCTTTATATGTGAAATTTTTTAGAGCCATTTTTATGGGAAACCCTACCTGTTTTCCGACAAGAATCAAAACCTCTTGGTTGTTTCAAGTTATGGCAAGAAGGGTATTTTAGTAATTAAGGCATGAGACTTGCAGTAGCAACGACTAGATGGGTCATGTTCTATGCCAGATGTGTTCACCGGTCGGACGTGGTTATTTTCCTACTAATCCCTCAGTTAACGATCGTCGGATGACAACGAAATGTTGTCGGGAATCCAAGGTGGCATTGTATGCCATTTTTTCCAGAGAGAGAAGAAGCTTACTTGAAATTTTAAATTTTGATTCAGCAAAATTACAGTTGTGCCATTACACTTCTGTAAACCATAAATCCTTTGTTAAAACTCCAATTTATTTGTAATATGTGTCTACGAACTCGTGAGAATGAGTTCTATGCAATGGAGCAAAGAAAACTTTGAAAACCAATCCCTAAGAAAAATTGAACCCTAAACAACTTAAAAACACTAAGAGCAATACCGTCAGTTTATTTTAAATAAATAAAATTAAAAATTTGGGAAGGGATGTTACACTAGAGGTATTGAACTAGTTATCTGGACTCCATCCATTTATAAAAATTATCAAGTCTGGCCTAAGCCCACGGCTTTAGCCCAAATGAGACAGGTCGAGCTAGTGTCGAGCCGCTAAAAGGGTCGATATGGGCCCAAGCCAAGTTTGACTTATGTAGGGGTATTTTCAATGTGATAATGGCACCAAAACAATAAACCCGTTTATCGGCCGATTGCCTGCAGTATAGCCAAAATCTAAACCATCGTTGCATTGCACAAGGACGATTACCAAGAGTACCGTTTACCATGGGTGGTGGCGGTATCGCACCAAAACAATGAACCCGTTACCGGCCAACTGCCTGCAGTATAGCCAAAATCTAAACCATCGTTGCATCGCACAAGGGCCGTTACCAAGGGTACCGGTTACCATGGGTGGTGGCGGTATCGATTGGTTACCAAACTTGCAAAATAAATTTTTGAGATAGAGAAATATCCCTAATTCATCACAAACCCAGAAAAATAAGGGAGTAAGAAATTAAAAAATAAAACCAAATTTAGTTCATCACCTAAGAACCAAAGATCAAATAGTGAAAAGGGAGGAGATAGAGATAAGGAAAAAAGAGAAGTGAAGAAGAAGAAGATAAGTGAATACTCGAATTTTTTTGTTTCCTTGGGCAGTGAAAGAAAACCTTGGGAACACCTTGGGCATTAACACCCTATTGAAATATTTAAAAAGCCATATATATCGTTTCGGTTGCGGTTGCCGATGGATTTGGTATCCTACAACTTTATCTGCACCAGCAACATTTTGGCTTGGTCATCCAACTGCAATCGGTCGTTGACCAAAAAAGTCAGAGGTTTCCAGTATTTGAGGTCCAACCGCACATCCCTAGACTTATGTAATGCATTTATTTAAATTGTTTTACAACTTCATTTCAATCCTTTTTACAGTTATGTATATGCTAACAAGCTTTATTATTTGTTGGAAAGAAAGCCCAATAACTTTATTTGAAGTACATCTAAATAGAAAATGGCTAGATTGTTGTTTGGGTTTTAAAATTTGAAACTTGAAAAATAAAATCATTATTTTATTTATAAAGAAAATATTAAAATATTAATATATATTATTAGAGAAAAGAAATAGACTTGAATTTAAGATATAAATATAATAATATTATGTATTATTTTTCTCTATAATAAATATAATTTAATAAGGCACGCCCACGATGGCCTCGTGCCTGCCCAGCCCATTGCTCCGAATTACCTTGTCCTGACCCACCCAAATACGGGTCGTGCCGTGTCACCGTATCGGGCCTTACTTAATTGGGTCATGTTCGTGTCATGCTTAGGCTGACCTGGTCCGTTTGACACCTCTACGTCTTGCTAACTCTATATCAAAGTGCGGGTCTTAGTTGAAACCCTAAGTCAAAGTAGGAAAGTTAGTGTGAAAACCCTAGGTCAAAACCATAGGTCATTACGTCGTAAACCCTAATCAAGTTGCATGAGGGGTTAACCGAATCATATCCTTCGTGCTCCAAGTAAACTTGGAAAGGAGTTTGCAGGCTTTAGACAAGGTTAGAAATAAGTTTGGTGGTGGTTCAAAGGTTTTGAGTTTGGTTCGAAACTTAAAAATATTTTTTGGAAGTTGAAACTAATTTTTGAACAATTAAAACTATTTTTTGGAAATTAAAAACTAAATTTTAGAAGTCCAGCTCACTACTTTAACCAAACTCATTTGAGAGTGATTTTGGATATGCTAGAATCACTTACGGGAAGAAGCACTTCCCACATGCTTCTCTATAAAATCACTTTTAGTTATTTTAATTGACTCTGGGGAGAAGCACCTCTCATGTGCTTCTCCATAAAATCATTTGAAGCGATTATTTAGAGAAGTAACTGTCCATAAAAGTGATTATTTGCCTATCCAAAATCACTCTCAAATGACATGTTAAAGTATGGAGAAGAATGATGATATACATCTTGGATTAAAGTGGTGAGCAAAAATATTTCCATTTTTAGATATACCATTGGGCTTGCTCTTAGGAGGGTGTATTCAATTAAGATTTTAAAAGAGTTTAATGGAGTTATAAAGTTTATAGAGTTCAATATATTTCAATTGATTTCTATAAACTTCACATAGAGTTTGATTGAATTTCTAGACTGATTTCAATGGTGTTTGTTAGAGTTTTTTTTTTTTTGTTTTTTTTTTTTTTTTTTTTTTTTGTGTTTTCATTTTTCCATCAACAATATCTTTATGGTTTCATAATTAAGTTTCTCTATTCTTCGTCGTCCTTTTCCTCTTTCTTCTTTTTCTTACTCGATTTCTTCATTCCATAGTACTCCTTCTACTTCTATCCATAAATTCAATTCCATATAAATATCTTTTTTCACATATAATATAATATAAACAACATAAATAATAAAGAAGTAAAAAAAAAAAAAAAAAAAAAAAAAAAAAAAAAAAGAAAAAAAGCATGTGCAACAGTGATAAAGAAGGCTATAGCATAAATATGATATGAATAAAAAAAAAAAAAAAAAATATCAGCAACCAAAATAAAAAGTTAAAAAAAGAAGGAAAAGTAGAAAGAAAAATAATAATAATTGGGATGCTACTGTACATCGATATATGATGCATAGCAACAGCAACTACTCCAAGATAAGAGATTGGAGCTTTTATTTGTAACAGCAACAACTATTGGGAAAAAGAGAAATACACATTCAAAGACTATCGATAACGAAGATATATGATATATGATGTACAACAACAAACACTGTTGGAAAGACTATCAATGAGAGATCATACATGTATGAAAGCGTAGTAGAAAATAGATTTTTTACCTTCACTTGACAAGCACACAAGTTCAAAGACTGGAAGCGTAAAGCACTTTCAAAGTTTCTAGGGTTGACATAAGATTTGTCAGGCCTTTTGTATTTATACTTACTACTTTAAATTCTAACAAAATCGGGCAACTCATTAATTCCTTCAAAATAAATGACTTTTTGAATACATCTGAACTTTGTTTAACTTCTAAAAAGTCATAATTAAATACACCTAGATTTCAATGTATTTTTTAAAAATAAATTAAAATCTGAATTAAATACGCTCAAACTTTCACAAACTGTTTTAAAATCTTAATTGAATACACCTAAAATTTTAAACTCCTTTAAAAACTTAAATGAATGCACACCTTAATTCACAATATTCTAATGGTTGCGCAGCACTCTTCTACAGTCTATTTATGCGGAGGTTAATGGTCGCTAGCATTACTAAGTGAGCCTTAAAGAAATTTTCCATCAACCTTCTCAATTTCTCCCTAGTCCCTGTGAAATTACGGTTCGATGATTAAGCTTCTTGGTTCCAATCCATGGCATGGCAATGCCATTTCTGGGGTTCTTCGGACACTATTTTACTCAACTGAGGCCCTGGCCTCCTGTTCACCCCCATTTGAAACTCTGTACCATAGAATTTCCCGGGCTGGAAACCCTAGGGTTTCCATTGTCCCAGTGCTCGATCAGTGGATCGAAGAAGGGAGAGACGTCAATAAATCAGAGCTCCAAAGTTTCGTCAAGATGCTCCGCAAATATCGCCGCTACAGCCACGCTCTTCAGGTAAAAGAAGAAACAATAAATTTTTTTTTACTTTATACAATTTTCTTGTATGATTTGTTTTATAGAAAATATAGTCAATGTGAAATGGAGTCGATTGTAGCATAATAAAGTTCATCACAAAATCCGATGATATTAGACTTGAAAGAAAAAAATTCACACGGAAGAGATTATGGTGGAAAATCCTTAGCCCCAATTTATGAAAATTTAGAAGTATAAGCTAACTTTTACATATACAGTGCAGGTTGATGACATGAAAATTAATTTCTATAAGAACTGCATATGCTAGGAGGGCTATGCAGCTAAAGCTGCTAATCATTTTGGGAATTTTTTAAAATCATTTTAAGCAATAGATTATATTCTTTCCATGGAGAAGTGAATTGAATGAATGCAGTTTACATATTTAAAATACGAGCTTCATGAAAACAACACTTTGTTTCTGCATCAAATAAAATGACTGCGGCGGTTTAGCTAGAGGTTGAATTTTCATATCTATGCTTGTTCTGGTACATATGGTTGGGGAAAATGGATGAATATTTATTGGGTGGGTTACTCATTTAACGACCTTATAAGCTCTACATAAATGCATAACTTATTTCATGGGAATAAGACCAAGTCTGTTACTCTTCTCCGTTAGAACTTAGAAACTTTAAATGGTTTACACTGCTAGATTTTTTGTTCTTTTCTCATCTCTAGGGTGATTGTCATTAATATGTTTTTCAAGTGCTCATGGATTGTGTCCCGAAGATGCTTTCTTATTGTGTTATTTACTTATCAAATAATATGCTTAAATACACTATGTTTTTCTTTCTATGATTTTGAACTACCATCACTCTTTTCTAAGACTGCTTTAGCTACTAGAACCCACATGTTTCAGCCTGTAAAGTTCCACAAACCACCATTGAGAACGTAATAATGTATAATACAGATTCATAGTAGAGTTAGTTTATTTTATGGATGCTAGTCACTACTTGTGTGTTGATGACCATGGTAAAAGATTCAGGTTATGTGCTTTGGAATTCTTAAGAAATGTTTTGTAAAGTGATCATTAACTCAAGCCATTGCTGGTTGATAGTTTGTGTTCTGCATGTTATTTATTAAGACTTTGAAATCGTGACCAAAAAACCATAAAAGTGAAAATTGGAAGACCCTGAACGGTGTTATTTTTCAGATTTCAGAATGGATGAGTGATGCAAGGAACCATGATCTATCTCCTGGAGACATCGCGATTCGGCTAGATTTGATCTCGAAAGTTTGTGGCCTAGAACAAGCTGAGATGTATTTTAATAGCCTCCCAGACCCATTGAGAAATTTCAAAGTGTATGGTGCTCTTTTATTCTGCTCTGTAGAGCATAAATCTTTGGAAAAGGCTGAGAATCTTTTTGAGAAGATGAAGGAGTTAGGTTATGTGAAAGGAGCATTGCCTTATAATGTTATGTTAACCCTCTATTCGCAGTTGGGTCAACATGAAAAACTAGATATTCTGGTCAAAGAGATGGAAGAAAAAGTTATTGATTATGACAGCTTCACATTGAAGATTCAGTTGAACTTGTATGCAAACACTTCTGACATAGACAGAATGGAGAAGCTTTTAATGAAGATAGAAGCTGATCCTTTGGTCACAGTAGACTGGAATGGTTATGTTGTTGCAGCGAAAGGGTTCTTGAAAGCTGGCTTATTGGAGAAGGCATCATCAATGCTTAGGCGATCCGAGCAACTTGTTAGCAATCAAACAAGGACACTTGCTTATGAAATCTTCCTCAGTTTATACGCTGCTATTGGGAATAAAGAGGAGGTTTATCGTATTTGGAATATGTACAAATTTATGGCCAGATTTAAAAATTCCGGCTATCTTTGTATGTTAAGTTCATTAGTGAAGCTGGATGACATTGATGGTGCTGAGATGATCGTGGAGGAATGGGACTCTGGGGCAAAGTTCTTTGACATTCGAATTCCCAACTTTCTGATCACTACTTACTGCAAGAAAGGTCTTTTGGTGAAGGCTGAATCATATATAAATAAGCTTGAAGAGAGCGGAAAGCCACTGGATGCAAGCACATGGACTCGTTTGGCGGCCGGTTATCATATGCATGGTCAGATGGCGAAGGCAGTGGAAACAATGAAAAGGGCAATATTGGCAAGTCAACCAGGATGGGAGTTGAATCATTTAATTTTGGCTGCATGTCTTGAGTACTTGAAAGAGAAGGGAAATTTGGAAGTTGCACACGAGCTTCTGAGTTTAATTAGAGAAAGGGATCATTTTTCAGAAGAATTGTGTGATAAATTAGAAAAGTATATTATTTAGTGGTTAACCTTAGAAGAGAGATGGGAAGTATTACAGGAAATTTTGAGATTATTGACAGGAAGTAATGATCTTTCAACAGATTTGTACAACAAATTAGAAGATTATACATATGGTGAATCTCAGGTTTTGGCCTTGATAAAGTGAAATAGGATATTCATCGAGGGATTGATGAAGTCGAAGATGGGTAAAATTAAAGATGGAGACACATGGGATGGTGGAGCTTAAAAATGTGGCAGCAGCTGCTAAATATGTATTTCAATCTGTAGAAGTTATGTTGTTCTATGACCAACACCAAAAAACGAGAGGTGAACATCCCTCCCACACCAGTCCTTTGAATGCTGCAGATGACTTGATAGCTGCTAGTTGACCCTCAGCAAATACATTTTTCACCAAAAAGCTGAAGGAATGTTGCTCTCTTTCGGGTTATCGTTCTATTTGAGGCGGATGGAATGAATGTGTACCTGAGTTCCTTCAAATAAATTTTTTGAAAGAGAGTTAGCCATCAAGAACAACGAGAAAGAGGAAATGAAGGGGTTTCTTTTTCTTTGTGTTCCACAGTGCATTAATTCATTGTTTTGATCTTTTGGTCGTGTCCTATGCCCTATGGTTACCCAAAACGTTCAAAGGGGAAAAAAAGAAGGAATTAACGATCTGAATTATCTATTTTTAAAAGTTTAGATGAAATAAAAAGAAGAATGTATACCCCATATCGTTGAAATATTATATGGAGTAGTCCCACAAGGGTGTATATGTATAACATCTCGTTGTAATTTAGTAATTAAATGGTTTCAAATTCAAGTGATTTCTTACATAGATAAATTTTGAAGAAATACCTAAAAGATAAACGATTTTAATTATTGAAATACAACGTTGAGTGTGCGGAAGGGGCTCCACAAGAGTGTTATTGTTTGAAATCCACTATTATAAAGCAACATTACAGGATAGCCAATCTAAAGCTGGCCCCATTGCCCATTCTCAAGCCTATTATGAGGTTTTCAAAATGAAGCAATGCATTGTTGATATGATTTTGTCGATCAAAATACTTATCTTTAACCAAATCCCTCCTCGTGATCAAATAAAAAACATCTAAAGTTTGAATCTTTTTCAAGCAAAAAACAAAAGTTACACAAAGTCGTAACACAGTATATGCAAATTGATCCGATCGACATGACGAGCATACCAGCAGCCTGAGGGCCCCCACGCAAGACGAAAGGCACAAACCCTAATATTTATATTCAACCATCCTAAACCAAAGGTTATAGGGTTTGCCTGATTGCATGGAGAGATTAAGGTCTTCAAAAAGAGACGCAAGTCAAAGAAGGTTAATCATCATCATTCAATCAAAGCACACCCACCGGCACTGATGAGAGCAGTCATTTTCTTTGAACTTAAGCAAACGAACCCAATTAACCTAAACTCCAATCAAACACCAAACCAAACCCCACTACACTCAAATTTTTGTCACACTCGTGTTTTGCAACGAGCAAAGACAAAAAATAATGGGCCCTTGGGTGTGACTTCAAAAAGAAAGGAGCCGAAAAACGAAAATAAAATATTGAAGTAATTAACGGAGGATTTAATCATGACCAGAAAACAAAATCAAACCAAAACCAATTCCCCCCTTGAAAGCTGGGCCTGCAATTACATCAATACTCACCGACAGAGAGATTACTGATTGGACTTTTGTTGAAGTGGTTGTTGCACCAAATGTTCTTAAATCAAATTTTATCCCATGCCAAAATTGCGTCTTTTTTAAAAGGAGATTCACTATTATACCCAATATAGGGGTCCAAATTATTATTAAAAAAAACCCTACATAAAATGGACTTTAGAAACACACTCAAAGCCCATTTACAATATAACAAGGAGGTTTTGAGATTCCTATAAATTACAAAACTACCATCAATTTTTTAAAACAACCCTAACCCCAAAACCTCAACAACAACAAAAAAAACCCAAAACACTCAATAAGGCATCAAAGTAATTTCATAATCAAAATTAAATTCAATATGGCCAACTGTCATTTTTTGGGTTTGTTTATATAAATTAAATGGAGTATGATTTATCTACATCACTAGTGCTAAAAATGGATATATAACTAAATATCACTTTTTCTTAATGCCATAGTGCTGACGTTGAGCAAGCCTCACAAACTAAATGGTTAAGATAAAAAGGGTTTATCTCCTTTGATGAATTACAAATCTATGGTTAATTGCATATTTGAATTTTTACTAATAAACATTAAACAATACGTACAAAATCCTTAGATTTGTAACACTTTTTATCGGTTAACTTTTAAGTGAAGCAGTTTTCCGGTGAAAAAGAGCAATCCCAAACGGAAACCTAGAGCAATGCACTAACAGTGGCCCTGCATGCATGCGATTATTTCTGTTTGTTTTAGAAGTATGGGGGATAATATATGGGTGACATATCTTTCTCTGAAAGACAAACGTATTTGGATCCATCCTAGCTAGCAGACAGTATTTGGGGTCAAGCAGAGGAAGGGATAGGATCAGAGACGTTTCTGATGTGAATACCAGAATCTTTTAGTGTGGAGAGTGGCAGCAACTTGAGTGCTGATCCCTTCCCACCACCATAAGCAAAGTGGTGGTGACCCTTTTGTACACCATCCATGGGTAGATTTGTCATTACGCATTGGCCAAAGTCGTCGATGGCTTTAAAACTAGTTGACCACTTTTCTTGGAAGGTTCTCCGATATCATCATTCACCTGAAATAAAAATTATTAGGTGTATCTGATACATAAGCCACTTACTTGACGCGGTTTTGGGTTCACGATTTGAGATTTAGGGTTTAGATGGTAATAAAGATTCTCTTTGCAATACGTCTGTTTTTTAGCGTTAGCAACTTAGAATGACCCTTCAGAGCTTATAGTTTATGCGTTCTAAGTCTTAGATTTTGGGTGAACCTAAGCAATTGACCAATCCAAAATTAAAACCCCAAAATCCGAGTTCTAAATAGTGATTCTACCTTTAAATAATCAAACTATGTCAATAAATAGGAGATGAAAACTGAAGAAAATTAAGCAGAGAGTGTCTTAATAACAATACATGTCTTATAATTTGAATGAATTCTATACACTAAGTTAGCATAATTTGAATGTCTTATAATTTGCTGGTGGTGGTGGCGGCTTGGAGTTTCTCTTTAGCTGTGGAGGCTAGGTTTCCTATGTTTTATTTTATGTATTTTATGTTTAATGTGGACTTTATTCTGAATGTGGGCGTAATGCCTCTTTGTGGGCTATGTGCCTTTATGTGAGCTAAATGTCTTATTGTTGACTTTTGACATTTTAGTTTTTGGCTCAGGAGCATGATCTTCGTGCTATACTGTACTGGTTTTAACTAGATTTGTTCCTGTTTGTTTTTTGTTAATTTTCTTGGCGGTGTTTTTGCTCGGCTTTGAGGTTTGCAATGAATTGCAACTTCGACCACACAAAAAAAAAGGTAGCTTATTAAGTAAATACACACGTCTTATAATTTGAATAAATTCTTATACTAAATTAGCATGTTACGTAAAGCATCAGATACGCAATAATTTCAACATCCACACCTTCCAAGTTGCTACCACTAGGTCCACCAGAAGACATGTATGTTTTGTTTTCGCGTGCGTAGTTAATGGGCGAATATGTTACAAAAAAAGATATGGTAGGAAAGAAAATGACATGCCTCGTCAGGTTTGGATATGGATGTGGTGTTCTAACTAGACAAACCAACATTCAATTCCAACACTCCTTTCAGAGAAACATGGTAAACTGAGCTAAGAAATTTCACCACCTCAATTGATGACTATTCTTCATGTGGACCACATTTCTTCGTTTTGGGTTGCCTCAGTCAATATGCAACCATAGTCCATACTTGCATTGGCGTCTAATGACTGAATCGCCACTATTCAAAGATTGAATATTATCAAAAACAAAAAATACTAAGGAAGGAACTATCATAACTAGGGTTAAGAGTTTTTTTCTAAATTTTTTTTTAAAGGAAGGAGGTGGGTAGAATCGAGTCGAGTCGAGTCAAACCGACTACCAAAGTGCTTAAACTTAGATGTCTTTGAAAAATCTGTCGAGCTCGAGTTAAGCTTGATTAACTAGTTGATCAAGCTTGGCTAGTTGATCAAGCTTGGCTTGGATACTTCTTTTCAAGTTTGAGCTTTGCTTTGCATGTAGGATGAGCCAAGCTTGCATTTGGCTTAGCTTTTCCTATATTTGATTTTTAAACCTAGATCTACTTGGAGTAACCATAAGCAATTCTCATATTATTTATTTATTTCTATCAATTATATCTCTTTTTCTTATTACATGGGGCCAAAGCCCAAGCAAAATCAACAAGATCTATATCTCAATAACTTTTCTTGCTTACATGGGGCCCAGAAGCCCAAGGAAACCAACAAGAATAATTTCTAAAATTACAAAAATGATCAGTTAATGATGTTTTTATTATATTATGTTATTGATCAATTATTGGGAGCTGCTATTGGCCTTTCAAAATGGTAATTCTTCACTCCTCCTTGGATCAACAATCAAAGCAAAAACTTGCATGGCAAATTCCTCACAACAAAACAACCAAAAGTACCAATTGTGGAATTCATTACAGCCTTTCCGATCCTATACATGCTGAAAATTTATGCAATGGCTTTTACCAAGATCAAAACGCATCTTGAAGCACAGTACATTCAACCGCTCACATAAAATTGGCAACTCGTCCGGTTGAATCCGCGCGTCTTTCATATTCTTATACTCAATTCTACAGGTATACAATGAGTAAGGGATGGAGCTAAAATTGTGCTCAGAACAAAAGAAGGCACAACATAAAGCAACAGAAGAGGAAAAAACATATTCTGCTGAGCGACTTATCAGCCTGCATTACATGCCTTCTAACCCTTGGACTACCGCTCCCGGCGAGATTGTACGAATTCGAATAAGTGTATAAGTTTGTCATTGAGTTACCGAAGACCCTTGCGTATACCATTTCACCGAACATTCCAATTACTGGATTGACTGTGGTGGTGCCAGCAGGGCTTTGCATCGGTAAAGCAGTGTTACTGCCTTGTTGTGGAGTGTTTAGTTGTGAACTGTAAGGAGAACTCCGATGATGGAGTTGCTGAGTAACGTATGGAGTGGTGGGGGTACCGGCTGTTCGTGGTGTGTCAACCCCGCAAGGACGAAAAGGTCTTCGCGGAATGACTATACCAAGATGGGAAGCCTTGCCTTTGGAGGGCTTTGTAGGCTTTGTCGTCTGGCCCCGACCGTAGAGCGGGACTAGAGAAGATTCATTCACTTCAGCTTTGCAAACAGGGCACTGCGGCTGTTTTTGCTCATCTTGGTATTCGGAGGACGGGCTCTGGAACTGAAGCCACTTGTATATGCAAGGCCAGCAGAAGAGGTGACCGCAGAGGGTGACTACTGGCTCGTGCACAGAGTCCAAGCATATGCTGCAGTCGAAGCTACCACAGGATTTGTTTTCAGAGTCTGTGACTTCATCAGAAACAGAGTTCCACTTTTCAAAGGAACATTTATCTTGTCCAATGGAGTCATTTTGAACCATAGCCTCTGGAAAGTGCTGCTCTAGGGCCATCTTAACTGATCGAGAAAGTGGTATTTCTTAGCTGCGGAAATCTGAGACATGGAAAAACAAGAACGTTAAAATATGGTCTAAAAACAAGCCTTCAATGAAAAAGGCTACAGAAAGATACATCTTGGCAACAAGAAAGCATCAAAATTACACGATTAAAAGATCATTGGATCCAAATGTTTAAAATTAAAATAATCCCATCATTTTATAAATAATCAGATGACTACAGAAAAGTTCAACCAAAGAGCATATGATAGATCAGACTGAGTAGATTTATCTATTGTATGCAGTCCTTCTAGAAAGACTTGAACAAGACAAACATTTTAAATTAAAGATCAATAATTTCAATCTCTTAAAGATGCTTGAGAATTAAATATGTGATCTAAGAATTTCAAGTAGACAAAACATGAAAAATATATAGACAGAACTTGGGTTAGGTGAGAATTAGGCAAAACAAATTTCATCAATTGCTAATAATCTGTGCTCAACTTCCAACCAGCTATGGTTGGGAAACCTAACAGAAGTATTATTTCTCCCAAACCTTCACCAATGAACACATCAAGTTGAAAATCATGGACTTAACCTAACTTCAAATTGACAACCAGAGAAACTCTTCTGTAGAAAATCAACAGAAAGGCCAAGAATACCAATATTTCAATGGTTGTGGTTGACCTGAAAAGACACGGGTTTTTTCAGGGAAACAACTTCTCCTTGTGTCCCTAATTAATATCTAGTAGATTTTGGAAATTTGCAGCAGATTTCATGGATCTCCATTAAATTAGGGAAACCAAATCCTGAGAATCAGATTCCCAGGAAATTTCAAAGCATGTAAACCAGCTACACCACAAACCATCACCATGGTGGGTATTTACAACTTTCCTTAAATTTAATATGCAGGGGACCCATTTTGAACAGAGAAACACAAGTTCATACTTCAGGGGAGCCACCAAACCAAAACCAGCAGAATGTTTTATGCAAGTTAGGCAAGAACCTCTTCGATTTCTCAGAATCCAAGATTCTTGAGTTGAAATCGATTCACCATATACGAGCAACTCGAAAGGAAACAAACTTTTTGCTACCCAAGAAGAGAAACCATTCAAAGAGCAAGACCCACACACATGAGAATGAACAGACAGATGCATAAGGATATGAAGCAAAGAGAGACAAGTGCATACCAGTAGTATTTGAGAAGTGGGTTTTGGCTATTCTTTGTGTATGTAAGCTGTGAGTGCGTAATTAAGAGCTTTGGTAACAGAGCTTCAATGGCAGAACAGAGAGAATCAGAGAGAAGGAAGGAGCGTTGGTGGGTATGGAGATGAATGAGAAAGATGAGAGGAAAGAGGCATGGGTGAATGAGTATATATAGAGACAAAACATATTACGTCTTCGAGAATAGATTATTAGATAAATGATAAAAGCCATGAGCCACTTTGCTCTTCACGCACGGTTCTTGAGATTTGATAATTCTGATACCACCCTCTCTCTCTCTCTCTCTCTCTCATATACGTGGCACCCATCATTGTACTATTTTCTTTTTTCTTTAATTTTCTTTGTAAGATCATTTCTTTGCTTCTTCTTTTTGTAATAATTAATAATAATAAATTTGTTTGATTGTTTGTATTTTCTCTTGGAGCTGTTTTTTTTCCTTTTTTCACCAATGCTCTTGTAGCTGGGACTCTAAAATAGTTATCATACACGTTTTCTAAGAAATTTCCAACATTAATCGCCTATAAAATTAAGGGAGTGCATTTAATCCGTACTTATAAAGATTTTTTATAAGTTAGTGACTTTTATAAAATTGACAAATTCTTAAATATTTTCATAGAGTTGATAAAAGTTCCTAGTAAATTAGCAAGACTTTTGTTATTAATAATTAGCCCTAAAAATATACAAAAATCATTCATTTAATAAACTTTTTAAAAATCATTAAACTTTTAAATACTTTTTAAACGTCATAACTGAATACCTCCAAATATCATTTTTCCGTTGCTAACCTTGTTTTATTGTTTGTTTGTTCAAGTGGAGTTTGTTCGAATTTGGAACCATTGTTTAAAGAAATTTAAAATTACAAAAAGAAGTTGTTTAATGGGTTCTAGCCCAGTATAAAAGGGCATTAACTTGGAAGCCAGTGAGCTCGGATTTGACCTCTCATGACACCTTGGTTGTGTGTGTATGTGTTGATTCCTCTAGTAATTTAGGCTATCGCTTGTATCTACCAACAACAACAAAAACTTCGCCTATATTCAAAGAATAAATTACACAAAGAAAACTAATACCAACAAAGAATTACAAACAAAACAAGAAAGTATTGCATTTTCGTATTTGTTGTGTTGTGGGATTTCTTGTATTTTTACTTGACGTGATTTTCACATGATAATTGTGGGAATATTTGGATTGTATGATTACATATTCGAGATTCAAAGTGCTTTGTTTTACTTCGATTACATCCAAAATCAATCTAGGATAATCTAGAAGTTCTTAATCTTTAAAGCATTTGGCAATGTAACCATTCCCATTTGTAACAAATGGTATAAGAGCTAATTTTGTTCCACCATATTTTTCTTTATAATAAGGAGAAATTTTTGTATAATCATAGAATACAGCTAGTTGTCATAATTCATCCACATATTATAAACATTCACTTATATTATAGAATACAGCTAGTTGTCATAATTCATCCACATATTATAAACATTCACTTATATTATAACACGTGAATAATTTACATCACATGATTATATTCTAGTACCACGTTATAATTAATATGTACAAGAAGAAGGATTTCAGAGTACCCTAGTTATTGCGACAAACACATCCTTAATGTAATTTTTTTTTTTAAACAATAAATTTAGAGAGGAAATTAGAATATTATTCAACGTGACAGAAGAAATTCTAGAGTCTAGATGTTTTCAACTTTTAACACAAGATACTATGGATTTTCTTGGAGACCGAAAGTTCGTTGAAGTTGTAGATGGTGGAATAATAAATAATAAACTTTGGGAGAAATCAACATACCATACTTCTAGAAAGAAAATTTAGACCGATGCTTCACTTTTAACTACTACTCAACACGTTCCTTTTCTTTTATCTTCAAGTACAATATTATATTTATTTTTTAAAATACAAATAATAGTGTAAATTATTTTAAATTTATCTAATTTACTGACGAGACTCGAATTTGAGTGTAAAAGACGAACTTACTACCGTGACTAATTGACTTAACCCATATATACTCTTTATTGATTTATTTTTTTATAAATACAGCAACACATATTTTTCTCTCGAAAATTGTCTTCTTCCTCTAATCATGGTTTCATTGCAGGTGGTTTCATACATAAAACATTGAGCAACCATTTATCTCGTGATGCCTGACATATAATAGGGACCTCACATGTTAAATAAAAATATTATTTTATTACATAGTATTTATTGGTTTATAACTTTCTAGGCACGTTAATTAAAAGAAATAATAAAATAACATCACGAAGTCAAATAACAAAAAATAACAGCATGAGAGAGAAATGTTATTCCACGTAAAATTTAACGTTTTAGTTGAACTGAGTCTCAACTATTTTTTCTACATACTAAAAGTGCCGCATTTCTTTGAAAATAAAAATAAAACTGGACACATTTCTTTAAAAATAAAAATAAAAATGCGCACACTGGTTTGTGTTCAAATTGTTTCCTTGGTAGAAGAACTTGTGATACACTTCAAATAAAATGTACTCAATAAAACCATCTGCAAATTCTTGGACAAAAACAAGGCGATGAGAATCTGCTGGCATTCGAGTAGTAGTTTGAGAATGCTGTGTTGACCATTATTGTCTACATTTGAATTTTACAAATAGGAATACTGAAAGGTTATAGCTATGACAAGTACAGGTAACATCAATTCATATGTTGCACCACTTAAGTCTAACACGTTACAGCTACGGTGACATGAGAGTACATATGACTCTAATCCATAACTTATTATGGAGAAGACGACGATCTTTTAAGCACTAATACAAAATTTTCGTTTCCCTCGTTGAATAATACTCTCAACAAGAAGTATGTAGATTTTTATAAATAAAAAAAATTCTAGAGTTTGTCCCACGTTTCACTCAAATTCGCAGTGTACTTATTTCGTGGAGTGTAAGTTTAATCATAAAGACTGCTTACTCATTTTGGCAAAAGAAAAACCCTTAAAACCAAGTAATTGATCTTCTAGAAAAGGAAAAAAAAACAGTGATATTGATATTGCAACTAAATTGGTTCACATATTGATATTGTGACTGAATTAATTGGTTGACAGCTTGATGTTGCAACTAAATTCATAAAAACAAGTTCCTCATGTAAACCTGTTAATGTCAATTTTGCGTGATGTGCCACTCATAAATAATAATAAAAGAGATATTTTATTTAAAAACTTATTTTAGCATGACATATTATACAAAAACTCATATAGAGTCTATTTCGAGAAAGAAAAAAAAACTCAAAATTAGCCACTTGTTATTTTCTAATTGATTATTACTGTGTTAAAATTTTATAATAACCAATTAAAAAATAACAACTAGCTAGTTTTGAGGTTTTCACTCCAGAAAGGGCCTATTAGAGCATCTACCTTTTCCACAAATGAGAGGTTAACTTTTGTACCAAATTATTTTTCTGAGTATGCCGAGGTTTTTCTTTCAAGCAAACTCTTTGGATTTTGACAGTTAACCTTTTCTTTGATAACGGCGTTAAATTCTAAGTTTAAGCTACCAACCACCAAATGGTCTAATGTTAGAAACAGAGGCATACAAGATCTCAAGCAAAGTGAACAAAATTTCAGAGTAATGAAAATATCTCATCAACCCTTTTGGTGGTGGTTTGTAGTGAAGAAGAAAGTGAATCGTTAGGTACCTTTGAATACAAACACAATTGAATATTATACGCGTACATACATAATTTTTTTAAAATATTTCAGTTTTCCTTACACTACTTAAGTATATGGAACAATATGATTTCTATAAGCAAAATAT